TCTATACTAATTTTTCATATAATAATTAATATTCAAATATCAATACGTAAAAAATAAATAAAACCATTAGAGTCGGACGAAAATACTAATTTTTTTTTTCTAAAATTTCAATAATTTCCAAACACTTCCAAAAATTTCTATATAAACAAATCCTAAATTTACATCTAATTGTCAATTAAATTATTTTCCAAAAATCCCTAAACATAAACAAGCAAGGCTGTGGGGAATAACAATAACTGAAATAAAGGAGAAGCTTTCGAACCAGTCTGGCCTGTAATGATTTCAATAAGTGGGCCCCTTTTGTGTCTTTGTGGACTCCAAATGCCAGCAAGGTTTTATTTATTACACTGCTCTGCTTGTTAGGTGGATGTAATCATTTTCATTTTTTTATTTTTTATTTAAATCCAGAATTTATCTAAAGCCCTTTACTTGGAATTTGGTAAGAATCATTAATAACTAATTTTTATTAGTAATAGGAGGGGATGGAAGTTTGTTTTAAATTTAATTAATTAGTCGACTTGGTTTTCGACCTTACGTTGCTCTAAAAGGTCGCCCACTGTATAAAAAAGGCCAAATCATAGTCAAATGAAATTCAAATTGCACTCAAATGTTAATTTAGCTCAAGCACGAACAATCTTGTTCAATTCATTTGTTGACTCAACCCACTTTCATTCATACGGGCGGTATTTATTTTTAAAAAAATATCAAATCAAATATTAATAATATATTTTTAAAAATTTTCAAAATTTCAAAAAACCTCTGTTCGAAGAAATGATTTTTCACTTCAGTAGCATTCAAATTAACATCACACGGTTGCTGATTATTTTAAATTATAATACTCTCTCTGTCCCAATACAATAGTCTTGTTTACTATTTTTGTCCGTTCTAAAATAATTATCTCATTTTCATAAATAATCATATCACTATAAAACTATCATTGTGTTCATTATCATTACTTTCTACACTAATACATTCACAAAGGCAAAAAAGTCTTTTACCCGTACTTTTTACCCACTAGTGCCAAACACAACCCAGACTATAGTTCTGGGACGGAGAGAGTACAATTTAAAAAATTATACCAAACAATATTTTAGCAAAAATTATGAATGAACGAAATTTATTAATCCCTCCTTCGTTCAAATCTATTCTCATTTTTCTTTTTTGGTTGTCATCCAAAATTATTCTAGTTTTTCTTTTTAGTAAAAAAATATCACTTTTCTTTATCAAGAAAAATAAAATTTTTTATTTTTATATATTTTTCTTAAAATTAGTGCCCGATCAAATGAGCAAACAATTGGACGACTGATGGAGTATTAAATCATTATGTTTTAGGGTGTGTTTGTCTGAGGGTTTGGATTTTGGGTTGGGATTTGAATAGTAAAAATTTTGAATTTGAATAGTTGTATGATGTGATATAAATAAGAATTGATGTGATGTTTCGAATGTAAAATTGATTTTTTAGTATAATATAAAAAATAAAAAATAAATGTTTGATTTGATATTTTTGGAGGGAAAATTTTGTGAGAATAGTAGAAATCCCATAAAATCCCCAAAACAAACACACCCTAAGTAGAAATTCAATAATAATAATAACAAAAAAAAAAACGATGATTTGGGGTTGGTCGAAACCTCATTCTCTATATACAATCATTTTATATATATAATTTATTGACAAAAAATTTATTTTAATTTACAATAAAATCCAAAAAACCTATTTGGATTAATAGGTAGTAAATTATTGAAAAAAAAAATAGTGAGCTTAAAAAATGTTCATATAAGTAGAGACATAAATTTAATTTAATTTCAATATAATTAAAATGAAGTAGTCCATGTGTGATGTGATTGATTGCTAGCATTCCATCGATTATTATCATCCAATTCCCGATTGCATTGATTACTTGTATTTTCATTATTAAGTACGTCGACACTAAAATGGCCACCTAAATTATTTATTATATATATATAATTTTCATTTCTATTAGCAATCAATATATATGGATATGATATTTGATGCATAGCAATTTAATACTCCCTCCTAATCATACCATGTCCATGTTGCCATTTCTGTTCATCCCATATATCATGTCACTTTTCTTTTTTGGAAAATGATTACACACTTTAATCTCATTTTAAATTTTTTATTTTTTTTAATTTTTAATTAAACTAATTAGTTATCTTAATATTAATTTATAATTATTTATATTATAAAATAATTATTTTCACTAATACATTCTTAATTATCTACTAATTACACCCATCCTAAAATATCGTGTCTACAGTATAGCAGACACTCTATTTGGGACGGAGGGAGTATTAATCAAAGAACATTTAGGGTGTGTTTGTTTTGGAGTTTGGATTTTTAGTTGAGATTTGAATAGTAAAAATTTTGAATTTGAATAGTTGTATGATGTGATATAAATAGGTGTTGATGTGATGTTTTGAATGTAAAATTGATTTTTAGTATAATATAAAAAATGAAAAATAGGTGTTTGATTTGATGTTTTTGGGGAAAAAAATTGGATGAATAGTGTAAATCCAATCCAATATCCCAAACAAACACACCCTTACAGTACTTAAATATTTTGAATCGAATAATTGAAATATATCAGATCAAATTTATTACATTAGTCACCTTCATATTAACCACTACATTAATAAATTCATTAAATTCAATCATAAAACAAAACAACCAAATCAAATCAAATAATGGATAAGAATATTCTCGGGACTTTTTAAAAAAGATATCTTAAATTAGAAAATTATTATTAGTAAAATAAAAACTTCATATACAAGTATAGTAATTAAATTTGAAATTTTATTTAAATAATATTTAATATTATGCTCACTCCCGAATTTATTTATTTTTTATTTATTTTTAATCAGTATGCTAAATTTACTTTATTAATTTTGGCATCAACAATTAACTATTACTGTCAATTAAACATCAGTTTACAATAAATATATAACACTAATTTTATTATATTCTTTTGTTCATTTTATTTCTTAAAAAAAAATTTATAACTAAATTTAAGAAAATACTTCAAGTATTCTATTACTTTTATCATTTTAAATAAAAATATTTATTTATTTTTAATATTCGTGTCAAACAAAAATTTACTAATTTTATCGAACGAAAGGATTATTTTATAAAAAAATATATTTTATTTAGAATATTACTAATTGAATGATGATATATATATATATATTTATCTAAAATAAAAAAACAACCACACCAATATGGGTTTGTTTCGAGAAAAAAAACCCGGACATATTTTTTTTTATATTAAAAATATTAATTATTTTTTATATTATATACAAAATTTTCTATATCTTCCATAAAAAAAAAAAAAAAAATCTCTTCAAATCAAAATACAAAACAAACAAATCCTAAAACTTTGTTTACACAATATATTTATAATTTTGACACAATTTAATTTATAAATAAAAAATACTTTATATATATATTTTTTCTCACAAAAAGCAAATCAAATACAGAGTATTTATTTTTTATTATTTTAAAAATGTTAAAATAAAGAACTTTATAAATTCCTTTCTAAACAAAACTTCAAAAGTTCTGACAGAAAAAAAAAATAGGAAAATACAAATAAACCAACACTCCCAACAAATATTAATTATTTATATTTATTTAATTGGAGTAACTAACGATTAACAAACACTTGGCCAGCAGCTTTGCACGAGGTACTCAAATTTAATTCCCAACAAAATTAATAATAATAATAATAATTATTATTATTATTATTGAAGAGACATACGTATAAGATTCCATGCACGTATGCTCTCCCAACGCACAACACTACACACATTTTCATGTTTTTAAATTTAAATTAATACTAAAATAAATTAATTTAATATATTAATTATGCCGACAGAATCGACTAAGTAAATCGTTATGAAACACCACATCTTGCGACATAACACCTTCCCTTAATTTTATTTAATATTTTAAAATTAAAATGCAACTACAATTACACTAAAATCAATATTAATAATAATAATAATAAATTATTGACACTGAACATTATTTTGAATTTACAATCTAGCTCAAAATATAAACCCAATCCAACGGTCATTTTAATATATATCAATTTTTGAAATGAATAATTTAAGTATATAATTAAAATACAACAATAAAAGTTATTAGATTTAAAATATATAAAAATAAAGAAAAAATAAAGAATATATGTCTATATATATATATGTATGTATATGTGCATGGGCATGATCCCACATGTGCATGCACATACAAAATTGGGCCCGCTTAATCAAAGCCCACATGGTCTGCCCATTTTATCAACCGACACCCATGGGTCCCACATCACATGAAATGATAAATTTAATAATAATAATAATATTATGCTTTTTTAAAAGTAAAATAAATGCTAATTACTGGTATTATTATAAAATACAAAAATGTTACGAAATTGTTTTGGTTTAGTAAGACATCATCAGTGGCTAGCAATTATTAATTTAATTGATTGATCGACAGTACTTAATTTTTATTAATTAAAAAAATAATTTTCCGAAATTTGATTGAAAATTAGCTGGTCGACGAAAGGCGGCCACCAGCTAGCCAATTTGGCTTGCAATCGGACGGTCCAGAATCCAGCGATGAAACTCATCGTGGCCGTCGATATATTTTAGCTTGGGCAACGGTTCCCTTCTTTTGGCATCAAATCAGACTAAAATTTGTCGTGCTTTTGCCCAACAACCGCATCTCTGCGTGTCCCCACGCATTTCCGTCGCTGTCGCACGCTCCCTAAGGCGAGTGTTGATCACGCGCTTTAATATATGTGGATGTGGGCATGTGGCTGCTGCTGCTCAGCGGCGCGTGGGACCACTCACGCACCTGTCATGCAAGTCATGCACACGGGGATTATTTATTTTATTTTTATTATTTATTTATTTATTTTTTTTTTTATGGCACCCACATTGTGCGCCTGCCCCTAATAACCGCCTTATATATATATACAAAACCCTTTCATGGCTTCCCACTATCTCCACAGCTCATTCGCAATTCCCGCTTTTGCTCAAGGAGAAAGAAAGTCGTGAGTCGCGAGCTTGTAGAGATCTGATTTAGTTTGGTTAAAAGAGGTGAAGAAATTTGAAGAAATGGAAAGAGGAGCAGCAGTGTTTGAGAGAGATTTGAATCTGAAGGAGACCGAGCTAAGATTAGGATTGCCTGGAGCGGATGTGGTTGAGGAGCATCAATCGAAGAATAACAAGAGGCCTTGCTGTGAGACAGATGATTCTCGCCTGAAGAAAGAAACTGATAAGGAATCCGGCGCTCCGGCTACAAAGTGAGTTGGATAATAATTTTTCATTTTTTTCTGAGGATTTCGTTGTGATTTATTTTGGTTTTGGATTCGTGATTTTTATGGATTGTGTGCAAGTTGATTTGTTTTCTGATTTCGATTGTTGTTGCTTGATATTTTAGGGCACAAGTTGTCGGATGGCCGCCGGTTCGATCTCACCGGAAAAATATCCTTCAACAGCAGCAGAAAAAGCCGGAATCCGACGGATCTGGTTTGTTTGTAAAAGTGAGCATGGATGGAGCTCCATACCTACGGAAGATAGATCTCAAGTTCTACAACAACTACTTCGATCTACTCAAAGCGTTAGAACACATGTTCAAGTGCACCATAGGTAAGACTCATCGAAATTCCCAAATCTAAAACGCTACACACAATAAAAACTTTGTTTCCTCGACACGATTCACATCTCGAAATCTCTTAACGCTCCTTTTGTTCATGTATGTTCAGGCGTGTACTCCGAGAGAGAAGGCTACAACGGATCTGAATACGCACCGACCTACGAAGACAAGGATGGAGACTGGATGCTCGTCGGAGATGTTCCATGGGATATGTTCATTACTTCTTGCAAAAGGCTGAGGATCATGAAAGGATCCGAAGCCAAAGGTCTCGGCTGTCCATAGACATGGCGGAACAAGGACCACCACCGCAGCTCCGGCCATGGAAGCAGAGAAACCCTCGACGGCCTGCGCCGGCCGTCCACGAAGCACCTGATCTGGAATTCGACAAATGAACGGCCAGAGATCTACTCCCTCGAAGAAGGCATAAAAATTTACCACGGAATTTCCGGCCGCCGGACGGCTGATCGAAACGCCGGAAAAGATTAAACCGCCGATGGCATCGCCGTCGCCTATGTACAGAAGTTTAATTTTCGTTTTCTTTTGTGTCAATCGACTTTCGAGTAATATTTTTGCAACTGTAATGTATATTTACAGGAGAAATACCTCTGTGCATACAATATAAATACATGTACTGTACTTATTCAGATCCATTTCTAGTGGCTGGAAATGGAGAAAGCTAAAACTAAACTTTGAATTGCTTTTCGATTTGTAAGAAAAAATATTGTTGTATCAAATTACTAATATTTTTTAGGCCAAAAGAACTTAACCAAAACAATTAAACGTGAAACCATCGAAACAGGGATAACCATAACCTTATTAACTTTTCTACTTCAACTCCACAGTCAAATCTACAACAAACTTTGAAAATAGCATGCATGAACATGAATCCACAAAGATATGACTAAACTCAAAAAATTCGTTTGAACTCTCTAACAAGAAAGTCATAAATTTTTATTTTTTCAAAATTATGGGTTCCCAATGTATGTGGGATGTAATGAAAAAATTGTTATTGTAAATCAAACTAAACCTAAATACTCTTTAGGTAGATGTTAAAAAGTAAATAGAAAGTAACCACAAATTTAAGCAATAGAAATTAATATATATGTATATATATATTTAAATAATTATGATTTTTTTTTTAAATACATTTTTTTTTTCAAGAAAGTAAAATAAAATATTACATATTCATTCAATTATTTTAAAAAATACATATTTTTTAAAAATAAATATTTTATTAAAAAAGTGATATAGTTGAAAGTATTTTTGAAAATTTAGATGAAAAAATAGTATAATAAATGAGAAGAGAGTCAAGTAAATAATTAAATATTATTTATTGACTTGTTAATAAGAATAAATTTGACGGAAGGGAAAATATATATTTTTTATATTAAAAATAAAAAACATTCATTTAAATTATTTCACAAAATAAACATGCTTTATATTTTTGTTTTTAAGTGTAATGGGCTTTTATATAAGAAGCCCAAACGATTAGTAATGGACTGGGTCAACTACTGATATATATGTATATTTAAAGTGATTACTAAAAATTTCAGCCCAATATGTGGCCATGTGTGGAACACGCGCCCATTCCTCACACCTTATTTCATTTCCTCTCAGAATCCTCGATTCGTCTCCTTCAGCCTCTTCCGGTCAATAGAGCTCAGAGTCTCCTGAATTCACTCTGAAAATGCTCGCGCGTCTCGCAGGACAACGCTTTCGTGAGATCCGACAAGCATTTCGTCAATTTCCCCAGGTTTGTGCTTCTTAACTTGTGCTGTTTTACTTTATCAGGATCCCCGCCAATCTGACTGACACTGTACGGTGTTTTGTGTAGCCATCCCGATCGTTTTCGACTGCACTGAACTATGTAAGTTGAAGGATTTTAATTTTATTTTAATTATTATTATTATTTTTTTCCTGATTGAGGAGGCTTTCATGTTTTTTATGGGTGAATTTTGAGTTATATTCCTTGTTTCTATTTATTTATTCTGAAATGATATTGATCTCCGAGTTCTGGAATGCAGCATCTAGATGGTCCGGATAATAATCCGGACCTTCCATGGGAATTCAACGATGCGAACAAAGAGAAGGTATGCAGCTCGCTTAATTTTTGATTTCATTCGGATTTATTGGAACTTAAATCGAATCAATAGATGGTACTTTACTTGAGGATGTGATTCTACTGTTTTCTGATTTTCTGTTATGACAAATGTTGTCCACCTCAATTACTCGTAATTGTTCTTAGATTATCCATGTCGTTGTGGCCGACCTCAAAACCCTAGTTTCTAGTTGGTTGATGTGTTACAATTAGTTGATGGAATGGCGTTTATATAAATATATATATATATATATAACTACTGACTTCTGTGATTCTATGCAGTTACAATATGGTTCTGCGGGTTCACTGTATTTGTGTGTGTCATAAATCATAGTGTCTAAATTCTCCATATTTATAAGTGAATATGTTCAGATCAATGTGTTTATTTGTTATTTGGCAATAACTTGTTGCAATACTTCAGAATAAATGTCCTAATAGGGTATTTGATTGCAATTCTCTATGTGGAGAGAAATGGAACCTATTTTAAAGTTTTGCCTTTATTAATTTTGAGTATGCCCTTCAGCCTCCACTACTTTCTCTTTTCATTGGTAAGTTAGAATTAGATGCTCAAGTTCAAGGTTTTTAGAGACTGATATTGAGCCTTCTCTAGCGACGAACTCTCTACTTGGTGCTTATTTGAATATGTCCAGAATCATGTTAGTATTTGAAGTATAGTCTATGAGTTTCCTTATTTGAATTGTGATGTAGTTGTTTATGAGTTTCACTTATTCAAATTTCACAAACTACACTGTTGTGGTTCCAATTAGATCATGGCTCATGCTATATTTGTTTTGTTAGTGATGCTTATAATATCCTTATATCCATAAACAATTTTGATAATTCCTGAAACTTGTTTTACTGTCAATTATTTATGTTTTGCGGGGCTTAGGAACTGAGTATTCAATGCTTATATGCAATATTCGCCTCCTCTTGATATTGAAAGTCAAGCCTTTTGATGAATTAACTTGTTAATGGTTCCTTGTTGAACCTTGTGTAATAGCAGTTACATTTTTTTTTTGTCAGGCTAAGGAGATATTATCCCACTATCCCTCTAACTACAAGCAGTCTGCTGTCATTCCTTTACTAGATCTTGCACAGCAGCAGAGTGGGGGTTGGCTGCCAGTTTCAGCAATGAATCACGTATGTTGTCATCAGTTATTGCTAGTACCTTTAGTGCATGAACATATCATTGAAGTTAATTCTAATACAATTGTATGGATATTTCTTGTACAAAGGCTTGAAATTTGATTTATGCCACTCCTGACACTGGTGGCTCATGGTACTATTGTTCTTGTGTATTTCTCATCAATCTAGGTTTTGATGCCATTCACTTGTTTTTCTAAGTTACAAATAAGATCCAAAAGTATGGATTGCTATACACTTGTGTCTTGTATTACATATACACTAGTACACCACAATGTCCTGTGATCGATCTAATTACTTCCATGTGGCAGTAGGGATATCTGAAATATATATATATATATATATAATGTGACAAGTTATTTCTGTTAAAATGATTGAAATTCATTCAGTTTTCTGCCTTTACTAAAGGTTGCCAAGGTAATCGAAGTTGCTCCAATTCGTGTATATGAGGTTGCAACATTCTATTCAATGTTCAACAGGGCAAAGGTGAGTTATTCTACTTAAACATAATGACTCCAATTTATTTCTATTATAAATCTCATTGGTCAAGATTTGTGCTGGCAATTCAAGGTTGGAAAATACCACCTTCTGGTGTGCGGTACTACACCTTGCATGATTCGTGGATCTAGGGATATCGAAGACGCATTACTGAAACACCTCGGGGTAAAACGCAACGGTAATATTCTGTATAAACATTTTATTTTTTCTACTTTTCTTTATTACGAACATTTTCATTTAGTTTGTACGCCAATTCCTGTCAAGTCTCTTCTGCTTGTAAATTCGAACTATTTGCTGTATTTTGCAGAGGTAACTAAAGATGGCCTATTTTCCGTTGGAGAAATGGAATGTATGGTGAGTTAGATCATCGAATCTCTTCTAGAATAACCTTTCAATTTCTTTATTTATTCTAAAATCCCTTCCAAACAATCTCGCTTCTTGATGCAAAAATTATATCTTCGTATTCGCATAGAGACAGCCCCTTCAATTTAGGTTAAAAGATTATGATTAGTGCTCTGTATGTGACTGGAAAATTTTCCGAAACATGTCTAAATAAGCCTTGTGGCCACAAAACACACCTAACTCTCCTATGGCAGCAAACATTGAACACCACTGTGCAACATAAGGCTGAAAACATTAATAAATACTATATAATATAAGATCTATTGTGATGTGTTCTGTAATATATGATGGGTTGGATTTTTTGGTTCTTGTAGGGATGTTGTGTAAATGCTCCGATGATCACAGTTGCCGACTACTCCAACGGATCAGAAGGATATTTCTACAATTACTATGTGAGTACACTATGAGTGTGTATGTTTAGTAGTGTTTCAGGTATTTTTGTTCTTAGGTATTATGAATTGTGAAAGTGTTATAAAGAATGGTGTTTTGTGTGTTTTTGTTCACTTTATATTGTTATGTGTGTATTATTATATTTTTTAGTTGGAAAATTTTGTGTTTCTTTTCATTTGTTTGAATTGGGTTCGGAGGTTTGTGATTTTTATTTTAATAATATTTGATGTGATGTTTTGTAAAAAAAAAAAAATGTATAAAAACTTAAAAGGAACACAGTGAACGAACACACTCAACTTGTCTTATCCATCTGCTGTTTAACATCACACATTGAGGTATATCTTTTTAATTTGTTTCAGGAAGATGTGACTCCAAAGCGAGTAGTCGAGATTGTGGAGGCTCTGAGAAGAGGAGAGAAGCCACCGGTGAGTGAACTCTGCTTGCTTACTACATACTGTATCGAAGGTGGTTATTATTATCACTGTTTTCAGCTGGCTCACATAAACTTGTGTATAATATTTTATCTTCAGCGTGGCACGCAGAATCCGGAGCGAAAGAATGCTGGGCCGGCAGGCGGCAACACTACATTGTTAGGTGAGCCTAAGCCTCCGCCATGCCGGGATCTCGACGCCTGCTGAACAAGTTAGTTTTCTTGCCTTATTATTATAACGAATGATGACAAGTTATTTGCTACTACCTACTCGAATAATAATCATTATTATTATTATCAGATGCTCTCTTTGTGTGCGAGCGCAATTGTTACTTTTGGACATCATATGCCTTAACTTTAAAATTTTGTAATAATTGCATTTCTGTTCAATGGAAGCTGTAAAATGTACTGTGTGCGTATGCATGCAACTCGGGGGATTTGTTTCTTCGAGATTTTGTTTTGATTTTTTACCATTTGTAAATTATTTTGTCTTCCAAATTCAAACCCAAAAAATTAGCGTCGATTTTTTAACATTGTAGTATTTACATGATTTAATAAAAATTTAGAATATTAAATTAAAATTTTAAACTACTAAAAAACTTCAAAGGCATATAAGGAAAAGATGTTCGTGGTGTTTAACGTTGTCCAGTGGTCGGATTGGTCCAATAAGCTATTAATACAATTAAGTACAATAAGGTAATGGGCTTAATGTTGGGCCTTTACAAAGGCCTCATTCGGCGGGCCATACAAAAAGAAAATATATAAACGTAAGGCCTCAAAAGTATGTATCATTCTATAAAGTGATGACATCAGGGGGACGGATGACTAAATACTTGCATAGGCGTGACGTCATCATCGGGGTCATGAGATGAAACTCAAATTAAAGGCCAAATGCGATAGAAAAGAGTGAGGTCAGAATGAGAAGTCAAAAGTCAGAACACGACATTCATGCTATGACTTTTCATTTCATTTTCTTGGACAAGCCCGGACCACTATTGCATATCTATCTATCTTTCTTTCTTTGTCATCAGCCAGACGCGCCATAATTTGGCAGATGAACAAGTACACACCACCAATGTACAGAAAAAATAAGTCCACACACATCCCCCTACCAATCAATATTCAATATCCCAGCTACATCCTCCTACCATACCATACTCTTCCTAGTTAGTTAGTAGTACAAAACATGCAAGTATCATCTAAGACTACGTCTGGTAAGAGTGAGTCTAACAACCACCCACATACAACTCTTGTGCATCATCCGTCCCTTTGATTTCAATTTCAATGGGCCCCAGAAACCACTAACTAAGCTAGACAAGCAAGCACCCATCACTACACTACTTACCAAACTCATCATTATTCCAATACCATTACCATCGCCATCACTATCACCAGACCTCTCTCTCTCTCTCTCTCTGTCCCACCACCACCATGGCTGTCCTGTCCTGTCCTGTCCTCGTCTATGAATGATATCTCACCCCCTAACTAACTTTCTCATCTCATTCATTCCACATGCTGCTAAGATGTGGTGGTGGTGGTACAATTCTGGGTTGTTTGGCTTAAGATGAGGTAGTAGGTTAGACAAGAGGACATACACAGATAAATAGAGTTAGGCCGCCAAGGATGGATTTTTGATAGATCATAGATTATGAAGGGGGATTGGACTCCTGTTTCACACTAGTGCCGCCGTCCGGTGTATTGTAGATTGCTGATGCAAGGGATATAGGCATAATGCATAGCGCTTTCGACTGAAGAAACTGCATTGCTGCCCCGACGTCTTCTTCCATAAGCTTCGCTACCTGTCTCTCTGTACCATCGTTCGACCATTTCTCCCACGGCGGCTCAATTCCCCCTCCCTTGTCGCTGCCTTGTTCCTTTCAATGTCAATCACCAAATGAGATTATTAATACTATTATTATTGCAACAATAATGCCACAACCAAAACACAAACGGCCTCGTTTACCTACACAAGTTTCGACACAATTCATTAGTAATAACTTTTTTAAAGAACACATGGCATCAACTTTTTATTATTTCTAAAAATTTTCAGAATTTAAAAACATTCTAGCCAGCTAAACAGAGGCAAAAGCTTTTGTTACATGTTGTTACCTCTGTGGAAGATATGGGGATGTCCGTCACGAGGGGAGCCACCGCACCCGCTCCGCCCAATCTACTCATGCTCAACACCTGAAGAATAGATGATTAAAGAAATATTATACTTTGTGGATGTTTTACTTACATGGTGTTAGTTTACACAATTGTGGAAATCACATTTATGCTTAAGCATTATTGGACCTTTTCACAGCTAAATATAATTAGAACCACGGTTGGAGAGGAATGTACTACATTAAGCTGTTGAGACCCATGATAAAAGTTTCATTAAATCCAATAAGTGATGAAAAGAAAATTGATTGAAAACATATTTTGATCCGGTCTACAATTAGCAGTTCACCTGATGCAGATATTGAAAATCATGATTTGTCGATGCTGAAAATTTGGTGAATGTACAATATAATAAAAATTAGTGGACTGGTTGCTGGCAATGTCCATATATAGTTCTACCAAATGCAAATGCAAGATATCCTCATTAAATGTTAACCATATACTTGCATCTTAATCACAGTATATACATATATATATATGCATGCATACCTTCACTTGGAGTCTCAAGAACTTCACGTAATCCACAATTTCATCGAGCATAGCTGCTCTATCAGTCTGCATAAGATGCTTCATTGAAGTAATGTGCAAAATATTCTTGAAAGTATTTCGAAGAACAACAGATATGTCAACAATCTAGTTAAATAAAGGATGAGGCAAGAAATAGAAGTCCGTTGTATCGGCACTATCTTGTTTTAACTTTGTCCAAAAATATGATAGATGTACAGGGCTGTTGCATATGATGGGTAAGAAGGGAGCTCAGACCTTATTGACACTGGGAACCAAGTCTTGCAGTGCTCTAATTCGCTCAGCTATTCTCTCTCGCCGCAACTGTAACAAGAAAAGTAAATATTCAGTGCAATGCCGATGGTTGCAATTATGCAGTCCAATTATCATATAGAACCAAGTTACACAAATTTAAAATAAAATTTATTGGTTTATCTATACTGAGACTTTGCAGTGGACTTCTCTCAATAAATATCATTATGCCTCTCGGAACTATCACTATCGAATCCAATTTTCCCTGTTCAAGCATGTAAAATTAGAGGTGTCTCGACAGTTGAAACAACTAAAAATACACAAATTCTTATCCGGCTATATCAGACTATTACCAATTTACTACCACCAAGCATTACCAACAAACACCATACAAAACTACAAAGCCATTTTCTTGAATTAATGAATCATATATATATATATATATATGCATACCCTCTCAGCTATGCTGTGTGGATCTGTTGCTTGGCCTCGTCGGGCTCTAACCCTAGGGCGGATTGCAGGAGGCTGTGGTGCTGCTGGAACTGTATTCGTCATTGCCTGCCCATGAAAACCCTGAAAAAGTAAAAAGAAGATTTCAATTACCCAAATCCCACCTTTCTTCTTCGCATGAGAATGGAGTAAATTCGACAGACTAAAAGTTTCTAATACATCTCTATTATCAGTTGGGCATTCGTTACAACTGTAAGAAAACCCATAATTAAGCTCAGTAGTGTGTAAATCAGCATGACAGACTTAACTAACTGCACATCCACCATAGTTACCTGTAACCGAAGCTCAAATTTATTAAACACAAGGATACGAATTTCTTGAAAACGACTAACCTGTTTGACAGAACAGGAAGCGCGGGAATCGGCGAGGTCTTCACGGAGGAATCGCTTCCCACTCCCCGAAGCATCGCCAAATCCTACCTTCCCTTGCTCCAATCTCAAGGCCAAAGGAAACCCCCCACCGCCACTCCCAACTCCATAAGCGCCGCCAAGCCCCGTACCAATGGCTCCCAAGTGGCCGGAGCCGAGCTGAGGGACCATCGGAGTCGGCGCGGCGTCGGCTCCCGACGCGTAGGTCTGAAACCCTAGAAGCTGCTCGAGGAACTCGTCGGAAGGAGCTTCCCCTGAGTTGTCAGCCATGGAACGAAGTGAAATCGGATCACGGAAGAGTAAGTGGCACAGAAAACCCACACCTGCATTCAGCAATCACGACACATGCATAGGGAGAATGTCCCGAGGGCGGTCGAGAAGAAAGAGAACTGAACAGTGAACAGTGGGAGAGGCGAGCAGCTTTGGTGATCAGACTCTGCCGTGCAAGGACAGACTTTATAAAAGGGTGTATATTGATTTCATCAATAAGGCAAGTCTATCGGAAGTAAAGATACAATTTTTAAATATATATATATGCAGAAAGAAGAGCACATTTTCTACCACACAGAATTTTTGTTACTACTGATATCAGCATAGGTCAACATACGAACCAGAGAATAATTTCGGAGTGGGTTAAAGTTATGTAACATATTTCATTCATTTGCCACAAAAATATCTCATCAAATACACTTTTTTTTTCTAAAAATATCAAATCAAATACTAACATTTTACTTTTTCTAAATTTCCAAAATTTTGTATAAGTTTCTGATTAACATCAGTCTAAATGGAGGCCAATCAGTGAACAATTGAAGTAAAAAAGTAACGAATTTAAAAAAAGTCAAGAGGCTAAAGGCAACTTAGAGCAAAATGTAACCAGGTAATTTAAGCAAGAAACCATAGAATAAATGACAGTAAATCCTTCATACCTGAATTCTTGATGTTAAAATTTCAGGAGCAACGTGTGAAAAGACAAAAGATGGCCCTGTTCGACAAAAGACATGAAAGTCGATGCGAAGCTAAAACTAGTGGAATGTGATGCGGATGCGATACCACAAAGAATCAGAATGAGAATGCCATAGATTCTGTAGTAACATCAAATGTTGAGGGAATTATCCATAAAGAAAAAGGCTAACACATAAGAGTTCTGGAACTTATAATTTATAAAGGAAAGTTCCTCTCATATTCGCACACGAGTTTATGCTCAATGCTTTACGCAGTGGGAACCAACTAAAGATAGCCCTCTGAATTGATTCACATAGTAAAAGATAATCATTATTGGAAAGCTAGGTTCTTAATATTTTTAGGCATTGTAAACACAAGGAAGCTTCTAAGGACGCATACTAATGCTGTGCTTTGTTCATCTCATAGACTATAACAACCAGTAATAAGCAATTTTGGAAGAAAATTAATAAATTAAACAAAAAAAAAAAAGTTAGAAGCGCAATAGAAGAGAAAGGTTTAAATTCTTCTCCAATTGCAAACCTAATGATTTCAAGATTCTAATAGTTTACATACCCATATCTATTAAGTGGGATGGATGCCATCTCATTAATACAAAACTACAATAGGCTGTTGAGATGCAGTACTGACAGTGTGTTAGGCTTCTGATCTCATGAGAAAACCTTCGAATTTAGGCTGCCCTGGTACATGATAGAAAAAGATAGACTTGAAGGAGAATGAGGCGCTGTTGCGAGTAAGCCTTGACCGACATTCCTGCAATTGCTGTAATAACTTTTATCAAGTCCTAGGCCATCAAGAAAAACCTGCAAGGGCAGGACACTAAAGAATTTTCCCTCTTTTTCATGATATAAGTTCAATATAATCAAAATTTTGGAACAAATGTAAGCAGGTCTACATCTCTTTCTCAAGTAGTTGATGGTAAGCAGCATTGCCTAAGCTCTCATAAACATATACATTCAAAATCAAACCAACATCTGGAGGATAAAAAATCACTACCTATATATCATTCACTTTCACTGGTTTGGAGCCTCAGAAAAAAAACCCTTTGCCTTATGTGCCACATCTTCCTCCAACATTGCTTCCAATAATATATCAGATCCCTTTAAGTCATCTGAAACAAAACTAACCCAGTAAGCTTCTCGAAGAGGAATAAAGGCAAATGAAGATATACCAGAAAATGAAGGAAATAGGCACCTCTTCGACCAGGGCCACCTGGCAGAAGCTTTGCACTTTCAGCTGATATAGGAAGAACAACGAATTGACCAGAAGCATCTTTGAGCTCATTAAGAACTTCATCCATGGAATGTGAAGTTAAAGGCATAGATTCGGCCAATCTGGCATATTCAGTTGCTTGGCTATGCATGTCAGATAGAGGGGAGGTTGATGAACTGTAACCCTTCAGGCAGTGGGAAACTCATTAATTAAAAATGAACCAAAGTCTACATTAGATATAGTATTCAAAAACTGTATCCTAACTACCATTGCCGTATCTGTGTTAGTTGCCTCTGTGCTATCAATTTTATCTCTGCTCTCTTGTGGAGGCTTTGAAGTTTCCTTGTCCACTATATTCCAGTAGCAAACCGCAACAAGTCATTGGAAAGACAAGCAAAAATCTAACAAAATACAGACACATATTAGCAAAACAAAATGTGATATACCATTTGTAACAGGTGCTTGGTTGGCAATGTTGTCTACCAGCCTTGTTGTCAAAGGACCAGGGTTAATGAAAGAAATAGACCTAATTTCATGGCGTATGGCTTCTAATTGAGCCATTGTATCTTGCAATTCTTTATGCACCTGCCAGATAAAAGTTGTTGCACTAATTGTTTAAGAAAAAATGTGAAAAACCAATGCATTTCGCACAGCGGAGAATAATTGGTAAGGTAAGATTGCAAGCACTATTACAACGAGTAAGAGAATATCTTCTTCATATCCATACAACAATCAACAATAAATACAGATACTCATAAACTACAGAAATCAAAATGATGGCCTAAAATACATTAAAGCTCAATTTCACTAACACAAAACCTGGCGCGCCTGGGATTGTTGCATAACGCTATCGAACTGGCCGCGCGCCACTTGCACATATCCAATCGCACGGCCAGCCAACCTTCCAGCAGTCCTAGCTATGATCGGAAGATCCTTTGGCCCTAATTTCCAAAAAAAAAATCCGAAAAATGAACAAAAATTCAAAAAAAAAAAACACTACAGCGAAGCGTTGAATCGGCGCAACAAATTCAATCATAGAACAACAATGATCGAACCAATAAAACATGAATAATGCACAGATTCAAACACGAAAACAGACGCAGATAATTAGAGGGGAAAAATAATACCAATAAGAGCGGCTGTGGCACCCAAAATGAGGAAAAGCTCGCCGTAGGAAATCCCGAGCATCTTTCCGATCGATTTCCCCGCGCAAAGGACGGAGAGGCAACTGGACCTAATAGAGAGACAGGAGTCCATGGACTGATAAGGAAGTCCAATTGAAACATGGGCCTTAAATACTGGGCCCGCCTACCGAATAAATATATTATTAGGCCTAGTGCATGACAATCCGTATAGGCCCACTAAGGCCCAACTTTACATCTAATATATTAAAAATATATAATATTATCTCGAATTGATTCAAATGAACACAACAGTGGATTATAATTTATTATTTTGAACAATAGTAACAAATCAATATTTTCAATAATTTTTTTTTTTTTTTTTTTGTTTCCGCATACTATCACATTACAATCCTACTAATTTATATCATCACTTTGCTCCTGCCAATTGCATTTTGCTTTTGGAATTATTTCGTGTTAAGTAATTCATGGACTGAAAACAACTATAGGAATTTGAAATGATAAACAACAAAGATCTTTAAAATAAGGGTAAGATAAATATTTCAATGTCTGGATGCCACTGATTCTGAAGAGAAGAGATGCTTCACTCTTGAAAGGATGGAGTCATGGGCCGGATCGTAGGGATGATCCTTGGAAGGTATCTCCAAGATTGCCGGGATTGGTTTATTGTAGCTGTCTACTGCAAACCTTATCATATTCGCGACCTGGAATGGAGCAACAAGCGTGTTGTGAAAATGGATGCATGTAAAAGAGGATCGGGGGTATGAAGAAATTAGGGATAAGGTAAAGCTTACATGTTGGCTGATTAAGATTATCGCGATGTCATCTCGTGTTGTGAATTCTTTGAATGCATCTTCGATCTGCTTCACCGACGTTTCTAAGACAGAAATAAGAATTATAGTTGTTATATATAGTGATGAGGATGATAAGCTCACCTTTGATATTGATATGAACATAAGCATGCTTAGGATGAACACAATGAAAGAGGTGTAAAAATATTTAAGATCATTTTGAAGAGCTGGATATGGAAATTTCAAATTTGTTAGCATACTGATGTTGTGATTGATAATTTGTGAACTAATGATCCAAAAACAGTATCATATTAACTAGATGAAGCTTCTGATATATGAATCAACCTGTGTAAACAGATGATTGTAGAAATAAAGCCGAGACAGTAATTGTATTGAATCAAAAAATTGCATCATCAGTAGAATTGAAATGGATAATTAGAAGACAAGGAAGTAACAAGCGTACTTGAATCCACTATGAGGTAGTTTGTTTTCCTCCTCAAATCAACATTACCGACTCCAGCTAGCAGAAAGCCAGTGATTGTGTCCTGCATATACAACCAAATGTAGCTTCAGAGAAATCTACCATCAGTTAATGTTCAATTTTCAAATTATAGGAGAAGGATGAGTTGTGGTTCGGCGTTTATCGCATTTGTGAAGCGAGAAACAGTGATAATACAGAAAACAATAATGCAATCTCCTCTGGAAATTTTGGAGAAGACGAGAGATAGATCTAGAAAAATTGCATCACGTAATGTATGTGATCTAGTAGAACAAGAACGTGAAAATACATGAAAAGGCACCATCAAAGAACTTAAACTCGGTTACCTCGTCGGCAATCATCGCTATGAGCGCAGAATTGTGACTGCGGATCTGAGTTTTGTTCGCCATTGATACGATAGATTCCGATCAACACTAAACCTACGAAACGACGATACGCTAATCGAATCAAACTCCATAAAACCTCATTCTGACGAACCAATATACAGTAATGTCGATACGAAACCGAATCTAAATTCAATATAATTTGACGGAAAAAGCATCCGATGAACATGCTAACCTGTCGGAGGCTTTCCGATGGAGTTCCGATCGTGAGAAACGCAGACCCAGGGCTGCAAGAAGCCAATAACGAACCGAATATCAAAACCATAGAAAGGAAACCATGAAGTTAAAATTGTCTATATAGAACAGGCTCCACTTGGAAACCTTTTTGATTCACAATTCAGATCAATGCATATGGGCCATAGAGTAAGCCAGTCAGGCCCATATTTTGATGGGCTTTTGTGACCCAATTAAATTATGGGGCAAGAATATATCTTATCTGGGCCTAAATTATAGAAATAGATAAGCCTATTAAATATATCTGGTGAATGGGTTTTATATGAATATATATATATATTTCCTTAGTTGTCTTTTAAATAAAATATGGTAAATTATTTTTTAATCTCTTTTAAATAAAATATGGGCAAATAAAGCTTGAAAGTATAGGTATGGCACACTTGTAACTACATATGACAGATATTTTTAATATAACATATCTTATCGGGTCTAATTTTGAAATTATTGAACTCGGCCATAATTTATCCAGAGCATTCGAATAATAGCAGCTGCGGATAAAAAAATAATAATAAAAACAAAAATTGTTTGATTGTTTACACTTTTCACCGTCACATTAACAATAAAAATTGCTTTTTCTTCATAAACACCTAAAAAACAACAAAAATTAACATTTTAACAAATTTCAATAAATAACATTCAAGGGTGTGCTTGTGCAAGAGCTTGAATTTTTTTTTTAATGTGAATTAATTTTTAAGATAATATAATACTAAAAAAATAAATATTTGATTTACTATTTAAAAAAATAATAATAATTAAATAATAAATTTTAAAAAAAGAACACACAACTTAAAATTTTTAGCAAAAATTAAACATGCCAAATTATACTTTATAATTTATTATTTTCAAGGTGAAATAATAATTGAGTATAATAATTTAAATATAAAATATAGATTGAATATAACTGAATTCAGATAATTTAAATATAAAATATAAAACCCTAGTAAATTATAAATTAAAAAAAAAAAAGTGATTATGGGCATGAGAAACAAATATGTTCCTAGAGGAAAATAACAGCAACAAATCCTGGGATTAGGATACAATAACAAGATATAAATATATAATGAATAATTTAAGGGCAACAACTGCACTGCAATAGCTACTACAGCTTACAATTCAATTTGATCCCAAAATCAAAACCAACATTTGCCCCAAACTGAAGAATTATTCATTCCTTTTTCACCTGTCCACAAAATTGCCCTTTGATCTAAACATCATCCTAACATTATAACATAACCATAGTTTATATGCCTCACAATCATCATCCATTGCTATTTTTCGAGATCATCTCGCTTAACTTTCGCGATTTGAGGCAGATGGAACCGGCGCATATGTACGTACTATGTGTGCTTTGTGTCGACAAAAAACAAACAACCAACCTGTGAGATGATTAATGAGATCAACTCTATCGTACAGTCATTTTTCACTCGGATCTTCCGTGCTCTTTCCTGTTGTTGTAGAGGGGCAACATCCAGCGCGACCCGTGTTTCCTCTTCCCGTAGCAACGCCAGTAAAGCGTCAATATTGCAGCAAAGATGATGAGGGGGATAGCCCATCTATCAGAACAACATAGACATTTTTAGGTGGAACTATTCCCCGTAAAATATTATTAGAAAAACAATATACACATTAATACAATATGATATATATATATATTTTATCAACTTACAAAAAGTGAATGATTAAACACAATATTATTTTTTAACACAATTCTTCATACTTAACATAAAAGAAACACTACACCTAAAAACACAAAGGTTTTAATATCAGCAAATGTTTTTAAGTAGAGTGATATTAGAAATGATTGCAAGATAGATGTGTTATGCAACGGTTCATTTGGTAATCATCGTGTTATGTATATTGGTAAATAATATCAGATAAGAAGAGGCGTTTATTAATTATAGGGATAATATAAATTTCGATTGTGTAAGTGACATTTCTTGTTATTTTGGTCATTTCCATGTCAGAAAAGATAGTTATGTACCCCCCTCGTCACGGCTCTAATGATTCTTATTCTACACCTAAGTATCACACGGAGAAATAGGACAATTAAAGAAATGAAAGGTAAAATATGATGCTATTTTCATACAAAATCTACTTAAAAGACCAAAACAATAAGGGTAGTAAGATATTTGACCAAATTTACATATATATATTTTTCGAATCCAAAAATAAATAAATAAAGCTGGAAGTCCCATAAGAACAATTTCATAGCATATTTATCATGTAAAGAAGGATACTACCACTTAATTCGGGCAATAAATTGCTGCAAGGGACCGAAAACAAATGCTAATTCACCATTAAATTATAGTTCGAATATTGACATGTAGTTGATATACAGAAAAGTTTCATACCTGTCTAAGTCGAGGATGGGGCTGTACACAACAGCTTCCCAAGTCCGGACAATACCATGCCAGACAGGGTTGTAATAAAGCGCTTCGGAAGACCAAAACATCCGTGTGTATGTTTCCAGAAAAATAAAAAGTATCCATGCTCCGATTTCGATCATAATGAACTTAATGATGAATCGTCCGACCACTACCATGACAAGTGAGAACCCCACCAACCAGTTGAATAGCCTATGATTATATTCCTTAATAAATACAGACTTTGACTTCTCCAACATCTGCAGATGATTCGATAGAATTCACACCAACTAACCAGATGAGCTCATAATTGATTCTCGGATATTTTTTCAAAAGTAGAAAATGAATATAATATAGAGAAAACATAAACCAGGGAAAAAGGATAACAGCATACCTTCAGCATCCGCAATTCATAATTGAGCTTAGAAGGTCCAACACATTCCTTTTCGAAACTTTGGTTGCACTGGAGGAATCCGGCATTGAACTTAGCCATGGATGGAAGTCGGAGGACTTGAAGTTGGTCCATTTTTTCCTCGCATCGTGAGTATAGAGCCTCACACAGCTTTGAAGATTTGTATTCATTAGCCAATACGAAGTTCTTGTAAGCCTGTAAAGAACTTTACGTAAGTGGTTAAGATCTTACAAATTCTAGCTTCAAAATACTCGTTCTGTTCTTACCTTCTCAACTTCCTCAACCAATTTTTCAGCTGATTTTTTCGCATGGCGACGACCAAAATGTTGATCATCGAAGGATGCCATTGCTGCTGTTTTAGAACCATCATGAGCTCGTTGCAGAGTCTCCTCTGGTGCAGGCAGAGTCAAACTACCCATATGATCACTGTACAACTTCAAACAACGTTCCAGAATTTCCTTATTGAAGGCCTCAACAAGAAAGCCCGTGGATGGAATCTCGCCTTTATTTAAGGCATCAAGAATCTGGAACACACACACAAAAAAAAAATATTGCTTAGAAGAGGGCCGGGAAAAGAATAATCGCACCAAATATTTAAAGCATTCTGAAAGCCCTAATCAAACAGTCTTCTCTTAACTCCCCCTAATTTATAGAAAGTCCTGAATATCGTGTATAAACACCAACATATAATATTGTAAAGATGATTTATCCTTTGATCGCCGCACAAATCTCACATCACTAATTATATAGATCAAAACTTCGTATGGTAATGGTTAAAACAAGTACATATTATGATGTACAGGAGAGCTAGATGATGGTTAAGTAATTTAATATACATGAGCTCAACCAGATTATAAATTGCACCTGTTTCAGAAAAGATACAAATTCCTTGCCGTTGAGAGATTTACCCTGGACAATCTTTGGACGGATGATAGAAGAAACAACTGTTTTCAACTGCTCCCTCCTCTCCACATATGCAGCATCAAGCTCATTGTCCTTCATTTCACAAAGCTTTGTGCGTTGGAGATGGGGCTGCACCTCAGAAAAGATCATGAAATTAAATTATTTTATGAATTTGTCAGGACATGGATAATGTCAGCAAAAGAATTACATAAAGCATTGTGATTTAAAAAAAAAAAATGTCAAGAGTGTTGAAAACAGGAGGCATTTACAATCCACGGTATCGATTCTTTCTGAAAATTTGTGATGTTATGCACAGTAGCAGTGACATTCAGATGAATCAAGCAAGGAAAAGATAATGAAATGTAATGAAGTAGTGACATTTAGTCTGTGCAAATTGCAATCTTACATTATTTTGTTTCTTCTATACATACATTCATATATCAACATACTCCTTTGTTACTAGTTTTTCATTTTACCACATAATAAAGTTGCAAAAGGTCTCAAAGTATTATAATTCAACAATAAGATAAACTTTAGCAATGAAGCCATAACACATAGGTTCATAATCACTAAATATCATCCAGAACAGCGTCTGAGAAGCACAGGAAAACACATGAAAGAAGTGAGGGTTGAGAAACTTCATCATTTCAAGCAAAGGCTACAGTAAATCAGGTGAACGCATGTTCACTATCCACATCATTTCTAGCACAATGTCCCCGTCAAATCTCGCATGTCATACAACTAAATGGGGTTCGTGGTCAGAAAAGCTATTCTAAATAATTTTCCATTCAAAGCAATTGAATGATTGTGGCTTAAAGTGGAATTGCAAAATAGAAACATATAAGCACCTGGGGTAAGCTGAAGGCTGTGCTATTGTCACCCATGACAGCCAAAGAATCACGAATCTGATTCACCTGAAACCAGCCGTGAAGAAAAAGAAAAACACAACTAAGACCTTTTTAACATAAAATGCTAATTTTTACTTGGGGAAGTAGTGACTATGTACCTGGTCAATATTTTTGTCCCCTGCTCAAGAAAAATGCTATAAGTAGTTTTAGTCCAACAAAACATTATTAAGAAGTGGGAACAAAAATTGCAGGCTCAGAAATCTGACCATTGGAATTGGGTACATGTTGCAGAGCCTCATTAACCATTTCTTGCACCGACTTTCCTTCTAAAAATACCAAAAACGAGCTTCAATTATGTATTCAGAAGTAAATGTTACGAAGAGACCCTAAGTCAGAAAAAGGATCTTTACAGTAATATAATGGCAATTGTTTAAAGCTTTATATATTACATTTATTACGCTAGGCTATGTTCACTCTGAAGGATAAAATAATGACACTTACGTAAGAAATCACGTTGGATTAGCCATAACAACTTCGCAGGTTCAAAGGCCACATCTTGTCCCTGCAGAAGGAATTAAAGAACTTGCCTGTGAAATTTCAGAGACTTCTTTCGGGCATAACACATCAAGCACAGGATTAGAAATGTGTGAAGTGCCTGAGGAATAGTAGATTTACCTTCACCCTGTTCCATGGTCGATGAAAAGAAAAAAAAAAGGAAAGAAAAGAGAACAAGATCAGAAAAAAGAACTGTGACAAATATGCAAGCTTAAACTCAACATAAATAACTTAGAACTTTTCAACTCCTAATTCGAATGCCATTGCTAACCTTCCGTAAAATTCTTCAGCAAGCTCAACTGCGAAAGATAACCGAGATATATCGGCTTCACGTATCTAAGAAAAGATGCAAAACATCACTATTAAACGAGAGTACAAAGACAAATAACTGTATGTGCAAAAAATAAGGAAGAGAAATTTGCATAAAACATCAGGTTGGAAAAAAAAACTAAAATTGAGCAACAAGAATTAATTTATCATCATTTGTATTGAGTTGATACACAACAAAATGCATTAAATAGCACCGGTTCAAGATTTATACACCCAACATGGTGACACAATATGAATGCATTGCAATCTTTAATGGCCCATGAAGGATGACATAATGTTTAGTGCATATTTTGTTGAAGTGAGGCACAAATCAACAAATAAAACCTTTGTAGCAGTAAAGATGCTGAAAAAAGAAAAGACATCCAACTGTTCCATAATGAAAACTATCATTCATTTATTAGAGTTATGTTTTCCAAAGCAATAACATTAAATTGTGCTAATATATTCTGACAGATGATTGAATCATTAAAATATAATATTTACCCAGTTCATTATCTATTATAAGAACATACATAGTTATATGAATTAGTAATCCTCAACATCTGCTCTAAAGCTAATCAATCCTTATTAACATTAATGTACCTCTCTTAACTGAATTATCACTCATATCCTAACCATTTTACAACATTTTATAGCAAAAACAAACTTTCAAGCAATCAAACCAACAGTTACAACTATGCTAACAATAATTTGAAACATTCATTCTATGCAGTTTGTTAATATGATTATTCCCAATTCATATATATATATATATATATATGTGTGTGTGTATGTGTGTGTGTGTGTGTCATCCTACTAACAACAAATGACAAAATAAAAAGATTGTTTTCAAGAATACTTTGCACATCGAAGTTCCTAAAGGTTCCACAAACAATTGAAAGGAATTAAAATTATGGGCAAGACAACAAACCGTTTCAGGCAGATTATATATAAGCACAGAGCTCATGATGGTTGCCAGGGCAAAAATCCTGCACAAGAGGCGTTGAAAAGAAAAGTGTAAATAGCACTAACTTTTCTTAGATGTCTGTACTATTATCCAAAAATTTTAAAATAGATTACCTGTCATCGTACACATTAGACTTCCCGACACTTTCAAATCCTTCTGTATCGAGATAGAGTACAGAGGTTTTAACTCCTTCAATATACACTTCCCGCGCCTCTCCCCACACCCATATACCTTTAAATATCAATATAAAATTTTGAGAAACAACTCAATAGCAGCTGTCATCAACAACTTAAAATTAGATCAAACCTTTAGTCTTAGTATCTCGCAGGTGCCCCACACCAAAACCTGCCAGGTTTGAGTTCAAATTCAGGAATCAAAATGAGTAAATAAATGGGGACATGGAAAATGAAAGATTATTAGACTGCACCTTCATCACATGACAGTGAAAGAAGTTGATTGAGTAGAAAGGACTTTCCAGATCGATAAGGACCAATAACCTGAGAATATAGGCGTGAAATGGCATCAGTGTATGTTCTCATTCAGCTATCTCCTATGTTGTAAGAACATAATTCATATTGACACATCAGTGAATAATGTAACGAATGCCTTACAGCTACAGCTGCTATAGGGGTGGTAATTCTCTCAATCGCCTCTAAACCTTCAGTCGAAAGCCGTAACCTTGTATGTCCAGGATCTGGTTCGACAATAGGAAACCTGTACAATGAAAAATAAATAAATTACACATATCAACATACAAAGTAGGGGGCATGGGGTATTGTTTATAGCTTTGATTGGGCACTGAAAAATTGCGCGCACACACACAGAGAATACATGCATAATATGTACCGTGAGTGTAGCAGGTTACAAGTGTAAAAAAAATGGTGAATTACAACCGAAATAAAAGGGTCCAAAACTTCAACAAACTAATACTCCATGAACCATTGGACATCCAATGTTTTCACTTCATCATTGACTTCCCACTATGGTAATTCAATTTATGCTGTATATACTCGAGCTGGGAAAACATTTACAATCAAGAAAAGTTTAGCCTCATCTAAAAAATTCGAGGTATTTCGAATTGTTTGTTGACACAAAAAATGTTTGATTCCGAAGAATAAAATAAAAACTGCTCATTTCACTATTGCCAAAAAACTTTTCTTAGACATATAAATTCAATTTTTATATCAAACAACGTCTTCATACTAATCTCTAAACAAAAATATACTAATTTCCTAAACAACCAATCCCGATTGAACTGAAGAAAATTATCAGAATCAGGAGCAAACAAGAATTTAATCAATTTAGAGATGTCGGAATCACAAAACTGAGATCACCTACATTACCACTAAAATGAATACAAATAATTTCAGCAGTAGACATTATTCTCGTTCCAATCAGAACAGAGATTGGCAATAAATCAAAATTCAAATGACATCACCACACATCAAAAAACAAGACCAAAAAAAAAATTTTTTAAAAATTAAAAAGACAGCACTCACGCTTGACGAAAATCATCAACGGACAACGCTCCACCCACAATACACGCAAGAAAAATGTACAAAACCGCGACAGGTCCAAGAATCCGCATCTCCGATCCGTCGAAAATCCGTTACCTCCAAAATGCAGTGTTCCAAAACATATTACATTACACGGACCAATAAATTCATTACAACAAAAAACAGAAACGGAAAATTTTCCCAAGATCCTGAAAATCTCCGATAGAGAGCGGAAGCGTGGGGGTCCGACAGGAGACAACGACAAACAATCTCCCTGTTTTTCCTAGTGAATTATAACTGGATTTTGGATCTTGCAGTTGGGATAGAGTTCGTGAGGGAGTCGTCGCGGTTTTTGAATGTTCTTCTTGATCTGAGATTTGGGAAAGGGAAAAAGCTCCAGTGGACCGCGCCGCAGGAGATTGCGGCCCCCAATTGAAAAATCGCATGACGCCATTTAGCAACTTTAGTTGTGTGACGCAAATAATCGGCGTTTGGATAATCTTAACCAATACGGTGGTAGCAATTATTATTATTTTTATTTTTTTTTATTGCAATTTTGTATGAATGTCGTATTTTAGGTTAATTTATTGAGGATGGTTATTTTGCTAAGAAGACAGACAGATAATATACATGAGTGTGTCTATTTAATATTTTAGGTTGAATTATTTTTATTTTTTTTTTACTGAAATATTAGAAATAATATTGATAATATAAAAAAAATAATTTTTTATCTATTATATTTTTTATTTTTTTATTCATTTTCATCCAAAATTATATTAGTAAAAAATTAGTAAAAGAACAAATTCATATTTTTTACTTAACATAATATATATTGTCGATTTATATTTATGAATTATTATGAATAATTCTATAAAATTAATAATAATAATAATAATAATAACAATAATAATGTATTATATTCTGTCCTATGTTATCATTAGTTCGTTTTTTTAATTATTATTATTATTGATAAAATGGAATGTCTGTTTTTAATTTTTTTATTTAAATAATAATTTAATATAATATTTTATTAAAGAAAATTTTAAATAGAAAATATCCTAAATATTAGTATAAAAGGAAAATAATTCATGCCTAAAATATAAGGCCTGATTTAGTGCATCAAATTAAAGAGAAATCTGCAAAATAAGCCAAAAGGTTGCCTAAAATTAATTTTCCATTTTAAAACTTTAATGATTTGAGTAGATACAAAAATAAAATTCTATTCCTTCCTCGCAATATTTTCGTTTTTATATGTCTTATATCTTCTATAATATTTTAAAATTAAAAATGATTAAATATATTTAATTCTTAAGCTACATTTTATTTTTATCACATTGTTTAAATAAATATATGTATATCTCTTCGTATCACTTAATTTTTAAATTATTTCACTTAATAATACTCACTAGATTCTTATACTGAAAATAAATATTACTATCATATTTAAGATGAAGAGATATATATTGACTATATTTTTAAAAAAAATTAAATTACTTTTTTAGGTGTGTTTGTTTGGGGTTAGGATTTTGAATTGGGATTTGAATAGTAAAAGTTTTGAATTTGAATAGTTGTATGATGTGATATAAATAGGTGTTGATGTGATGTTTTGAATGTAAAACTAATTTTTAGTATAATATAAAAAATGAAAAATAGGTGTTTGATTTGATGTTTTTGGGGAGAAAAAATTGGATGAATAGTAGGATTTTGTTAAAATCCTACAAACGAACACACCCTTAATATTTTTAATTATATTAATTACATTATTTATTATATTAATAACTAAATTATCTTAAAAATAAATAAATTTAAAATTCTTTAAATTCTTTTTTCTTTTATTGTAAGTAAGTTTTATATTGTTTTTATTTCATATTTATATTTTTCAATATTATTTTATGTTTATATATTAATTGCCACAAAATAGTTACTCAATTTTTTTAGGATATGTTTGAGTGAACGGATTTGAAAAAAAAAAATTAATTTGTATTTGATATTAAAATAATATATGATGAAATATTTTATAAAATAAAAAAATATATTTTTTAAAAAATACAAAATTTAAATAGTAAAAATTTCAATTATAGCAAAAAAAAAAAAAACAAACAAATCCAAATTATTCTCTTAACTCATTAATTTACTAAGAGGGTGTGTCTGTTTGAGGGATTTCTCAAAAATTAATTATTTATTCAATTTTTATTAAAAATATATAAAATAAAAAACATATTTATTTTTTTATATAATATTATGCTAAAAATTAATTTTAAATTTAAAATATCACATTACCATATATTTATATTACTATCATACTGTTACGTACGAAATTTAGAATTAGGTTAAAAGCCCAAAGTAAAAAAGAAGAATGGGCCTGGCAATAGGGTTGATTGAACTGGCTGAAGGACACCGTGAGGAAATCAAGGAAAATAAATTTATTTATTTATTTCTAAGGAAAATACAGGACGGAAGGACTTCAGGTCGGTAGGTCCTCAGGACGGAAAGACCTCAGGTCGGAAGGTCTTCAGGTCGGTAGGTCCTTAAGACGGAAAGTCATTAGGACGGAAGGACCTCAGGTCGGTAGGTCCTCAATACGGAAGGACCTCAGGTCGGAAGGTCTTCAGGTCGGTAGGTCTTCAAGACGGAAAGTCATTAGGACGGAAGGACCTCAGGTCGGTAGGTCCTCAAGACGGAAGGACCTCAAGTCGGAAGGTTTTCAGGTCGGGAAGTCCTCAAGACGGAAAGACCTCAAGTCGGAAGGTTTTCAGGTCGGGAGGTCCTCAAGACGGAAAGACCTCAAGTCGGAAGGTTTTCAGGTCGGGAAGTCCTCAAGGCGGAAAGACCTCAAGTCGGAAGGTTTTCAGGTCGGGAGGTCCTCAGGACGGAAAGACCTCAAGTCGGAAGGTTTTCAGGTCGGGAAGTCTTCAAGGCGGAAAGACCTCAAGTCGGAAGGTTTTCAGGTCGGGAGGTCCTCAAGACGGAAAGACCTCAAGTCGGAAGGTTTTCAGGTCGGGAAGTCCTCAAGGCGGAAAGACCTCAAGTCGGAAGGTTTTCAGGTCGGGAAGTCCTCAAGGCGGAAAGACCTCAAGCCAGATGGTTCGCAAGTCGGGAGGATTGGCGGTCGGACCCATACTATTGTAGATTGGCAGTCGGGCCAAAAGAGCGGAAGGTCTGTGGTCGGCTCAAGGAGTGAAATATAGGGAATTTTTGGTCTGCTGGGGACACGTGTCAGCATAAGAAAGGTTGGAAGACGGTTGAGAAGGAGACGTTGTAACCGTTCGGGTGACGGTTTTCAGTACGGTTTCCCAGGGAATATTTAAGGATTTGGATCGTCATTTGGCAAGGAATCTTCAATCAACTTCAACAAAGCAAAGTCAGATTTGGGGATCACCACTTTAAATTTCAGTCTTTTATTTTCCAGTTTATTTTCTGTATCATACAGTGTTTAGAGATTCCTAATCTCAGGCACTAATTAATCAAGTTTAAGGATATTTTCTATATCTTTGAATTTTACTTTATTTTTGTTGAAAAATTACATCAACAAATTGGCGACCACAGTGGGAGCAAGACAAAATTGCTCATTCCAATTCCGGCGATAATTTCATACGTCTTAGATCCGGCCGAATCATCGGAAGGGTCCATATGGCAGGGTCACAACCGCAAGCATCTTCGACACCGGTGGGAGAATCCGTTCCACCACCCATTGTGCCAAATGCCGGGGACATCCCACAACCACCAACTGATTGGTGGTCTTATGTTCAACAAATGAACAACCAGCATACCTTGGTTATGCAGAATATGTTGCGTGAGCAACAAACGAACATGTTGCGTGAGCAACAGAGTCAGTTGCAGAACATGATAGATCAAGCATTGTCAAGGGTTAGTCTTCAACCCACTCAAACGCCACCAGGAGTGTCACCGTCCAGACCACAGGCAAATTTCGCAGGGCCATCATTCGTGGATAGTACATTCCCAAGTGCCACAAATCCCAACCGAATGGATCGGGGAAAAACTCCTTTGACTTTTCCCAACAATGTTCCACTGGGACCAAGGGTTACCAATTCGCAGCCGAACAATACAAGGGAGGACAGGCCTGAAGGATATATACATGATCCGATTCATATTCCTGTGCAGGATCCGTTCCAGGTTCCTGATCATCAACGCTTTCATGTAGATCCTGATGAGATTGCACATATATTAAGGGATCAGTATGGATTAACTCCTCAGATGGCTAACCGCCCTGCATATCAAAGACCTTTCCCAGAAAGGATCATTCATGAACACCCTCTCCCAAGGAATTTTCGACCACCCGACTTTCATGCATTCTCAGGGGAGGACGGATCTTCCACCATAGAACATGTTGGTCGGTTCACAGCACAATTAGGAGAGGTTGGCAATAACCCTTTTTATAAGTTACAGCTGTTTGGTTTGTCTCTTACCAGAACGGCGTTTTCATGGTTTGTAAGTCTACCTCCTGGACAAATTCAGACATGGGAAGGATTGGAAATGGCATTTCACGCTAGATTCTTTAATCCTTTACCAGTTGTTTCTTTAACTGATTTACTTGAATTGAGACAGTATCCAGAAGAAACTGCTTCACAGTTTATAGAAAGGGTGCGATTGATGAAGGGACGATGTCCTACGGTAATCAGTGAGAAAGAGATGACCAATTTAGTGGTCCGGAATATGCATAATCGCTTAAGAAAGGCACTCACTGCCCTGGATGTTGAGGATTTGGCAAATCTTGCATCCAAGGCAGGACGTCTAGAGTCTTTGTTCAGAGAGGAAGATCAGCATAACAGGCGTAATAGAGGCCAACATATGGCGAGTATGGGAACAGAAACATGCGACTTTGATTTTAATCAGTCAGAAGAGATGGCAGCCGAAATCCTTTCTGGAAAACCGTATGTATGTCCTAAATTGAAGCCAGTACCAGGATCTGAAGGAAAGGAGCAACCGACCTTTGATAGTTCGAAAGCTGATGAAATCTTTGATATCCTACTGACTGATGGGCAGATTCGTATTCCAAAGGGCCAAAGACTTGCCACTAAAGAAGAAATCAAAGGGAGACCATATTGTAAGTGGCATAATTCTTTCACACACACTACAAGTCAGTGTACTCATTTTAGGAAGGAAATTCAAAAAGCCATCAAGACAGGTCGGCTCAAATACATCACTTTAGGTGTAGACCAGCAACCATTTCCGAAACTAACAACTGCAATGGTTGACATCCAACCAAGTTCGGAAACAAGGAAAAGTTCGGTCAATAGTGGACAAACAGGGGAGCAAACTAGTCCCGGAAAAAAGAAAGGGAATCAGCCAAACAGCAGCCGACCGGAAGAACGACTCAAGGTTGTTGAAAGGCCAGTCGCTGAAAAATGGGACCGTCCAGACGGTTCTTTTAACGTGGAAGTGAAGGAAAAGGTTTTAGTGAAAGACCACCCGACCAGAAAAACGGGTTCAGTCGGGAACGATTGGGCTCGAAATAAAAAGCCTTTACCCGTTGATATAGATCCTCGTTTCCCAGGTATGAATCGTACACAGATTCGCAATGCCAAACGCAGGTATGCTGCAAAGTATGGGAAACGAGTTCCTGCAGTGCAACAAAGAACCGACGAACAAAATGCGGCCGACCACTTGACAGGAGATCAGTCCATTAGAGTCTTTACAGAACAAACGACCGACGAGCAGGGAGCGGCCATTCAGTCTCCAATAAGTCGGTCCAGTCGGGTCTGGTCAGGAAAGCAACCGAAGGACGGATTAGGAGCTTCCGACTATACCAAAAGAAGTTCGTCGGGACAGGGGAAAGGTAAGGGAATGGCACATGAAATAATTAAAGGTTTTAGATGCCAACATTGTGAACGGATCAACATCAATCCATCTCTGGAAGAATTTCGTATTGAATCCTTGACGGTTCAATCTCGAAATGAGACGAAGGAAGAAGTGGTGCCTACAGAGGAAAATTCAAGATCTGTTAAATCTCGTCTGGGACCACGAATCCCTTGTCGAATGACAGAGGTTAACCAGATGAGTGATGAACCGACGTGGGCGAGTCTGGTAGATGATATTATGGACGAACCTTTATGGGCATTCTTGGCAGATGGCGAATTAGAGGAAACAGAGTGGGCAAAGATTACAGATTCTGAGCCTCAGTCGGAAGCACCTTCAATTGTGTTTCCTCCTATTCCAGAGGGTGCGAACTCCCATTTGAAACCCCTGTATGTTAATGCTCACATTTGTGGGAAACCAATCACAAAGGTTTTCGTGGATAATGGAGCAGTCTTTAATGTTATGCCATTGAAGACTCTCAAGAAGCTAGGGAAAGGAATTCATGATCTGTCCCCTGTGGAATTCGAAATGACAAGTTTTACAGGGCAGCCGACCAAGCCTGAAGGTATGATGGTTGCCACAATTGAGGTCGGACCAAAGAAAATTTCCACTGTTTTCTTTATTGTGGACGCAGATACCACATACTCTCTTTTGCTGGGACGAGATTGGATTCATGCCTCTCAATGTGTTCCATCAACCTTGCACCAACAGTTAATGTTCTGGGAAGGAAATCAGGTCTTTAAAATGGAAGCGAATGACAACCCATTCGACGTAACAGAACAAGTGGAAGAGTCAGTGTTTTATTCTAGTCATTTGGCTCCGATGTCTCAGTTGTATATGGCCAGGGAATACCCAAACAAGGGTTATAAAGTCACTGGCCAGAACTCGATGTTCTATTAAAAGAACACCTTTATTGTATGGCTCATGATAAAGCCACACCCATTTCTGTATAAGTTGTTTGTAATGGAAGATACAACTTTAGAAGTATGTAGTTCTCTTATTAATAAGTTCTATTTAAAGCAGTTATTACATAAAGTAGAAAATAATAAAGAGATTCTGGATGTTCACCTCCAAGAAGATGAACAATTTCGTTGGCCCGACTTATTAGAAAAAACAGAACCAACAGCTTCATCACAAGACCCGTTATTGGAGTTTAATTTAGGAACCGAATTGGTTCCAAAAGTGATCAGGTTAAGTGGTTATTTGTCTAAAGAGCAACAAACAATGATGCTTGAAGTTATTAGAAACAACATTGATTGTTTAGCGTGGGATTATTCAGAGATGCCTGGTTTGACAAGAAGTCTAATAGAGCATCGATTGCCCATCAAAGAAGGTTGTAAACCTTACAAACAACCTCCAAGGCGAATGAGTCCAGATCTGATGCCTCAAATCAAGGAAGAAATCCAAAAACTTCTCAAAGTGGGTTTCATTCAACCTTGCCGTTATGCGGAGTGGCTGGCTAATATTGTGCCAGTGGTCAAGAAAAATGGTAAGATAAGGATATGCATCGACTTCAGGGATTTGAATCTAGCTACCCCTAAGGACGAATACGTGATGCCTATGGCCGACATGCTGATAGATGCAGCAGCAGGGCATAAAATCCTTAGTCTGATGGATGGCTATGCAGGTTATAACCAAATATTCTTGGCAGAAGAAGACATTCCTAAGACAGCATTCAGATGCCCAGGGGCTTTGGGTATTTATGAATGGACAGTCATGCCATTCGGGTTAAAGAATGCAGGGGCAACTTACCAAAGAGCCATGAATTCAATCTTTCATGATTTAATTGGCAGATCTATGGAAGTGTATATTGATGATGTTATAGTTAAATCTGCCAGCTTTGACGAACATTTGAGAGATCTTGAAGAGGCATTTGAAAGAATGAAGAAGTACAAGTTGAAGATGAATCCGACCAAATGTGCTTTTGGAATATCAGCCGGGAGCTTTCTAGGATTCTTAGTTCATGAGAGAGGAATTGAAATTGATGCCAATAAGGCTAAAGCCATTCTTGATAGTCGGCCACCCAAGACGGTTACAGAAATCCAAAGTCTGTTGGGTAAGGTGAATTATTTGAGGCGTTTCATTTCTAATGCTGCTGGCAAGGTCAGACCCATTACTAAATTGTTGAAAGCTGGAAAAATTGCCTTTGAATGGGGTCCCGACCAACAAACGGCTTTAGATGCTATCAAGCAGGCATTGGTTCATCCTCCAGTCTTGATGCCTCCCAAACAAGGTCGGCCACTCAAACTTTATTTGGCAAATACATATGAAGTGGTTAGTTGTTTATTGGCGCAGGATGGTGATGACGGGAAGGAAAGGACAATTTACTATCTCAGTAAAACCCTTACAGGACCAGAACTGAATTACACTATGCCAGAAAAAATGTGTTATTCATTGGTCTTCGCTTGCACTAAACTCGAGCATTATTTGCTGCCCAGAAGAGTTGAGGTCATATCAAAGGTGGATCTCATCAAATTGATTTTACAGAGACCTCAGGTCGGAAGGTCTTCAGGTCGGTAGGTCCTTAAGACGGAAAGTCATTAGGACGGAAGGACCTCAGGTCGGTAGGTCCTCAATACGGAAGGACCTCAGGTCGGAAGGTCTTCAGGTCGGTAGGTCTTCAAGACGGAAAGTCATTAGGACGGAAGGACCTCAGGTCGGTAGGTCCTCAAGACGGAAGGACCTCAAGTCGGAAGGTTTTCAGGTCGGGAAGTCCTCAAGACGGAAAGACCTCAAGTCGGAAGGTTTTCAGGTCGGGAGGTCCTCAAGACGGAAAGACCTCAAGTCGGAAGGTTTTCAGGTCGGGAAGTCCTCAAGGCGGAAAGACCTCAAGTCGGAAGGTTTTCAGGTCGGGAGGTCCTCAGGACGGAAAGACCTCAAGTCGGAAGGTTTTCAGGTCGGGAAGTCTTCAAGGCGGAAAGACCTCAAGTCGGAAGGTTTTCAGGTCGGGAGGTCCTCAAGACGGAAAGACCTCAAGTCGGAAGGTTTTCAGGTCGGGAAGTCCTCAAGGCGGAAAGACCTCAAGTCGGAAGGTTTTCAGGTCGGGAAGTCCTCAAGGCGGAAAGACCTCAAGCCAGATGGTTCGCAAGTCGGGAGGATTGGCGGTCGGACCCATACTATTGTAGATTGGCAGTCGGGCCAAAAGAGCGGAAGGTCTGTGGTCGGCTCAAGGAGTGAAATATAGGGAATTTTTGGTCTGCTGGGGACACGTGTCAGCATAAGAAAGGTTGGAAGACGGTTGAGAAGGAGACGTTGTAACCGTTCGGGTGACGGTTTTCAGTACGGTTTCCCAGGGAATATTTAAGGATTTGGATCGTCATTTGGCAAGGAATCTTCAATCAACTTCAACAAAGCAAAGTCAGATTTGGGGATCACCACTTTAAATTTCAGTCTTTTATTTTCCAGTTTATTTTCTGTATCATACAGTGTTTAGAGATTCCTAATCTCAGGCACTAATTAATCAAGTTTAAGGATATTTTCTATATCTTTGAATTTTACTTTATTTTTGTTGAAAAATTACATCAACACATACAATTATTTTGATTTAAAATTTTTACTATTACAAGGTTAATTTAAAATCCAAACACCAAACAAACACACATGTGTGTCCAAATTCGAGCATACAATTGAGGTGTGTTTGTTCAAAGATTTTTTTTTAATTTTACTATTTATTCAATTTTTTTTAAAAAAATATTAAATCAAATATTTATTTTTTATTTTTATATTATATTTAAAAATTAATTTTATATCCGACATTACATCTAACACTTATTCATATTCAAAATTTCTAGTATTTAAATCCCCATCCAAACTCAAAACACCCAAACAAACATGACGATGGCCGATCGCGTATTATTTTTACACACAGACACGAAACGACGCCGTCTGATCATTCGAACACAGATTTACCGTCACTTTTAACCCTGAGAATCTTGTCCATTAACAAGAACTGCTGTCGCCCCAAAATTCTCACCTGCTTCAGAAACTCTCCAATCCCCAAAACTCCATTCTCCACCGCCTTCTCCAACGCATACACCACATCCTCCGCCGCCCTCCACTCCGCCACGGCCTCCGCCGCCTCCTCCAGACCTTCAAACACCTCATCAATGTCGGAAACCCACGCGCCGCCGTACGTCCCCACCCAATTCAAAACCCTATCGGATTCCTCACACATCATCTCCACCCTCTCCTCCAGCGCCCGCCGCTCTCCGGCGAGCTCGCCAATCACCGCCTCTGCCACGGCGGCCCGATCCCGGAGCTCCACCTGGACTGCCGCCAGCCGCCGGATCTCCACCTCACTCGCCGCCGCGGCGGCGCGTAGATCGTAGTAAACCGAGCAGGTCAGCCGGTCCAAGGCCTCCGTCTTCGACAGTGTCGGCGGCGGACGGCGGAAACGGAGGCCGAGGCCACCGTGGCAAAACGGATGGCTGAGATTAAACAGGGTGATCAGGCTGCGAACGAGGTCCGTCAGATTGGACCTGTCGTGTCGCCAGTTAACGAGGTAAGACGATGTCGTATTGCCAGACCGGTCGACGAAGGGGTGGGAGTCATGGATGGAATGCAACACGGGCGTGTCGACATATACAATAGGGCGTGCGTGTGGGTAGAGCTCGTGGACCCAGATGGTGATGGGGACGGCGGCGGCGGAGGCGGCGACGGGGAGGGAGCCGGAGGCTGCGAGGAGCTTGACGGCGGCGCCGTCGTTGTGGGTGAAGGTGGCGAGGGAGGGGCGGAGGAAAGGGAAGTTATGGAAGAGGGAAATGAGGTGGTGGCGGATGGTCCATTTGTGGTGGGTGTAAGAAAGGGCGTTTTGGGTTGTGCAGAAGAGGGCGTCGTCGATGAACTGCGCCGGGGAGAATGAGGTGGTCGGCATGTTCGGAGATTGGTGGTCGGGAAAAATGGATATGGTTGCTTGGAGAAGATGAGATTAGCCATGGTTATTAGATTGAGTGAAAGACTTGTGGAGTCAATGTTTATGTGCATATATTATATGTTGTTGTTATTATAATGGATGGATTCGTTCAAGTTCGATTATTTTAAGACTGTTCGGATTAACAATTATAGGACACTATTTATTCATAGTTGTAAGTTATCCAAATAAAAATAAGAGTGTGTTTTCTTTTGTCAAAAATAATACTCCCATCGTCCCAATCTATCTATTCATTTGATTTTTTTTTACGTAATTTTATAAATATTAGTATAAATAAATATAAAATGACTAAATTAACCCTATTAATATTGTATGATATAAAGACAATGACATTTGTGTAATATATTGTAAATTAGAAGAGTATTTGTAATGTTAGGTAGACAGTACAATTATTTAAAAAAAGAAACGAATACTTGGTTATTGAACGGACCAAATTATATTATTTGCGTAATTTTTTATAATTCATAAATATATATATATATATAATTATTTTACAAAGGGTGTGTTTGTTTAGGAGTTTGGATTTTGAGTTGGGATTTGAACAGTAAAAATTTTGAATTTGAATAGTTATATGATGTGATATAAATAAATATTCATGTGATGTTTTGAATGTAAAATTAATTTTTAACATAATATAAAAATAAAAAATAGATGTTTGATTTGATATTTCTTAGAGAAGAATTTTGAATAAACAGTAAAATTTTGGTAAAATCCTTCAAACGAACAAAACCTTTATAAACATACTCCAATTAAACTTACTCATCAAGGAATGGCCCAATAAGCCTTGTTCCCGAGCCCAAAAAGCACATAACTGTTAACGAAAGAATGGGCATTGAGAAGGAAAGACGCTTTGCGAAAGAGCTTGGGGAGTTTCGTTCAGATTCAAACTATATCAGTAAAAATATTTATTAGATAAAAAAACCCCTATATTTTCATTATCATTTTAGTATTCAAATTTTTTTATTTAAAAATTTATTTTCAAAACCAAGCAACCCAAACAGAGAAACAAGACTTTCCACAGTTTAAAATTTCTAGCCCAAGTTAAAGGTAAAGAGTACAGATTGATATGGGCCACTAAAGGCCCACTACGGGACCAGCTTGATACTTTTTAATCTTTTTACATTTTTTTTTAAAAAAATTCATTATTTAACCAACCACTTTCTAATTATTTTTTTAGATACAATAATATTAATTAAAAATACCCGACTTATTTGTAGGATAATAATAACAGTTGGAAGTTGGAGCTGAATATTATTTCAGCTGGACCAAGCTAAAAAGGTCTGCAAAATAATAATGCAGTGGCTACAAAACACTTCCCCTTCTCAAACGTCAATTTTAAATTTCACACAAAAGGTACAAAAACTATACACAAGTTGACAAAAATTTTTGCACATAAAATACTGTAAACACCAGCAAAGACAAAGAAGCAACCTACTGCTACTTTGTAGCATTTTATTTAAGAAACGTGTTCTTGTTAAAAGCAACTCTCCCCATATTTAACTTACTTTTTCTTACCACAAAAGCTTTAAAGACCAAAAACTACAGAAATATAAAGTGAGCCACACGTTGCTTCCCCATCACACTATTTTATTTATTCCCTTCTCCTCCTACTTTCCACTGTTTTTTCAATTTATTCAAAACCCACAAGCTATTATCATAATAATTCTTCTACCAAAAAAAATGCCAACACAAAAATCAGCACGGAAATCTAAGCACGTTTGTAGTTCCTAATTCCAAAATATACTTGTGTGTTCGCTTGTAATTTTTCCCCAAAAATATTAAATTAAACACCTATTTTTCATTTTTTATATTATACTAAAAAATTAATTTTACATTCAAAATATCAGATCAACCTCTATTTATATCACATCATACAACTATTTAAATTCAAAATTTTTACTATTCAAACCTCAATCCAAAATCCAAAACCCCCAAACAAACACACCCTTGAAGGGAAATCTACGAGGGACATGACAAGAAAGCAAGAAAAGCGCACAGAATGGATGCAGAAATCGAAACATATAAAATAATAGTAATAATAATAATAATCATGTGTTCAATTTATCAGCAAACAAAAAAGCATACAACAACAATCAAAGCCAGGACTGTTATCAAATATCAGCAAGTCGAGGCTTTTTTTGTGTGTGTTTTCCTTATTGGTAATATCAGCACACGCTAAGACACTACAATGTCAGTTAAGTGTTCTAACACCCTTACATAAAAAGGCGAAGGGAATTTGTAGGGACTTACCGGAAGATGGTACCGCCAGATATGGCTTCAGGGTACTCGTTCATACCTGGTAGAAAGTTTCAAGAAAACAAAAAAAAGGATTAAAAGGAAAATTATGGGTTATTGATGTTGTTGTCAATCACAGAGGCCAAACCAGTAACGATCTTCACTCCTTTGTGTGGGCTCTTGGGCTTAATCTCCAATGGCTCCCACTGTTTCACCATTGTTGAAGAATCACCTTCACATGGAGGAAGAGTTTTGGGACAAGGAGAGAGAGAGTAGTCAATATTGTCAATTGTCTTAAATTCAGCGTTGCAAGAACTTCCCTTTGCTGTACCTGCGGCAGCCTCTTTGTTTTCTGGATCATTGTTGTTGCAGGTTGGGGAGATTCTGGAGAATGGCGAGAGCCATTTGGCTTTCACATACTCGGCTTTCCGCCATGGAGGAAAAGGCATGCCTTTCTTCTTCAAGCTTTGCCTGGCTGATTCTGAGACAATGGTGATGATACTGTCGAGACGATTATCTTTGCCGACGAAGATGTTCGGCAGTGTCTGGAGAAGCTGTTTGTATGCCTTGGTGGATCTTGCAATTTCAAATTCGGATTTGAAATCTATTTCGACTATCAATCGCTCGGATCCGATCGTCACATCGATGTATTCATGTTCCCCTGGAGAAATTAAACGATTGTTTTGATTTTGTACAGGCTATCCCAAGAACAATTGAAGTGAATGGGAATTTACCAGCAGGAAGAGTGGTGGATTTTTCCCATTTTGATTTGCAGATTGCAGCGGAGTATCCAACTGCTATGAGACTTTCTGCAACAATTTTGCGGCAAATCTCGTCTTTACGCTTGTTAATCTTGATTCTCTCGACGATTTTGGAAGTGTCGGCCAGCAGATTCTTTTCGGAAACGGATAGACAGGGTATCAAACTCTGTTCGACATTGAGCATAAGTTTAATCAGATAAGATTCCCACACATGAGACAAAACGCAAGCAAAAAAAAATATTGGACGAAATCCTACCTTAAGAACATCGATGGCGTGGGTGAAAGAGGAATTGTATGAGTCCTTCTCCTCATCGGAGTTCTCCATGCAGTTTCCGTTGAAGCAATTGCATCTTTTCCTTTCACACCTCTGTTGTTTGTCGTTGCTTTCCTCGATAAAATTTTGGACCATTTTCGCCAAGCACGCCGAGCTAGGCTCAAACTCTTCTGATTCGTCCTTGTTGCCGTCGCGTGAAGTCTCCCTAGAACATGCTGATTTATCCGGCGCTGGCGTTTTCAATACGCTCGCGAACGGTCTCTCGAAAAGCCGCTTAAACCTCGACTTGTAAACTGGATTCACCGCCGCATCACATTTTGGCTCCGACTCCGGCGGGTCGTAGAAATCGATCGGTTGGATCTTCGTTGGATAAGGCATCACAGCAGAGTGTGATAACAAAATTTGGAAACGACTGAATCTTCTGCAAGTCACAGCGTTCAGGCTCCCATTTTTCTTGGCTGGTTCGCAAATTCCAGTCAACTTTCACGACTTCAAACTCTAAAATCTAGTAAATTTCAAATCATCTTTGCAATCCAAGGAAAAACTCCTCAACAACCTCAAAACCAGAACAGTGTTTCAGAGACTCGAAACCAAACTACGAATTGGTTACACAGCCAAAAACAAACGAATCGAAGAAAAAACCTACAAAAATCTCATCCACCAAATCCAATCAACAAAACCTAGAATTTGGCTTAAAATAAAACCGATCTGCAAAAACTCGGAAAAAACAAAAAATTATCCGATACTCTCGTCCCTAGGATTACCACAATCGCTAAACATAATCCATCGCTTAAACATATTTCAATTCAATCCATAAAATAACTTCTAAATCTGCTAGATTTCAAAATTAATTGCTTGCTTAGCTTCGCTTTCAATTATCAAAAAACCTAATCAGGAAACCAGAAAAAAAACAGAAAGCAGACAGCTAAATCAACACGACACCGCTTCTTCCCGGGGCTAAAAACCGATCATCTGAAGGCAGAGAATGCATTTCCGATGACAAACCAAACTCCGCCGAGACGATCTTCCACCCTCTCTCTCTATCTCTCTTTTGGCGTGATGGTTCAGTCTACCGAATAAAGCAAAATCGAGACCGACCGACGACGGCCTTTTAAAAGCGGCATAAAAACTCGGTGACTTCAAGTGCAAAAATGCCACGTCAGCAATAAACGGGATAATAGGACACGTGTCGAAAGTATGTCGCGCTTGAGGGCGCGATGGCGGCCACGCGTTGTCATATCTTCCGCGTCCGTAATGTAAGTTCTCGAAAATGCCCTCCAAAAAACTTCGTAATTACGTTGTGGCTGCGCTTGTGGGGCCCACCTCCTCAAAACTGCGCTTTCAACCGTCTCACGCGCGAGGCGCGTGCCGTGCGGTGAACAGAACCCTGTAATATTTTTTTCACCGACAGGGTGAATTACTGCGCTTGAAATTACACAAATGACCCCCACCTCCGGGTTTACTTTATGGCTAAGAATTGTATTTGTTATATGGTAAGATTTTAGTCTATTCATCCCCACTAATTTATCGGGGTGTGTTTGTTTGAGGGATATGCGAAGATTTTTATTATTCATTCTATTTTTTTACAAAAAAATATTAAATTAAATATTTATTTTTTATTTTTTATATTATATTAAAAATTAATTTTACATTCAAAATATTACATTAATATCTATTTATATCACATCATACAACTATTCAAATTCAAATTTTTTACTATTTAAATCTCACCTTAAAACCCAAACCCTCAAACAAACACACCCTAAGATTACCCACTAAGTTTTAAATATTGTATAAATAATGAATAATTAAAAAATATATTAGTAAAAATAATTATAATTTAATAAATATAATTTTAAATTATAATTAAAATAATTAAATAATTTAATTAAAATTAAAAAAAAATAAATTATTATTTTTAAAATGTGATTAAAAAATATAATTGTATTTAAAAAAATAAAAAATTATATGAAATAGAAAAAAATATAAATAATTGACAAATTAAATTAAACGAATAAAATAAATAATTATGTCAGATCCGGAATATAAAATAAAAAAATAGTGATATTTTAATATAAATAAGTATATATAAAGTAAAAAAGGATATTAGAAAAAAATTATTAAAATAATATGATGAAAATAATAATAATTTTATTATTATTCGGTAAATTAAAAATAATAAAATTACTTACTAAAAATTAATTTCCCACGGACAGATAAGTATTAAAAACTCACGTAATTGATTATGTCATAAGTCCAACCCTAACATCACCAGCTCATCCTTACGGTACTATAGTGGTGCACTTTTACTTATATTGACCATGGATACATTTCTAATAATATTTGGATTAATAAAATGTTTGATTTTTTTAGAATTATTTTGATATTACTAGTTGCAGCATAGTTTTAAAAATATTTTTTATGTTTTTAAATTTTATAAATTACATTATATTTAAAATTTTATATCATCAGTTAATTTTTAAAATAAATGCAGAAATAATGTAATAAAAATAGCTATATATATTATAAATAAGTAATATTCATTAAATATTTTTTTTTTAATTTTTCCAAAATTAGTAGTAAAATAAATTTAAACAGACGAACTAAAAAAATATATAATAAATTAAATAGAGGAAGAAAGTATCTAGTATTTACATTTACATAAATTAGTTTAAACATCTCATTAATTTTATTTTTTCTAAAAAATAAATAAGTAGAGTTTACTCCAAATCTGGTCACTTTATACTTTTAGATATACTTACTTTCTATGTTATATATGAATAATTGTATTGATACTATAAACATAATATTTTAAGTTAAATTGTTGATTTTTTATAAGTGTGATAAAATATATATATATAGACATATTCTAGCTCTGTCTATTTTGAAAGTATATTTACTTTTAAAGTGGAATTTAATAAATAATATTAGTATTTTTATTGTATTGAATATAGTTAAAAGTAGTGTAGAGATCAATTTTTTTCTTGTCTTTTAGTGTAAAAATAATAATATGATAATAAAATATGATTGTTTATAAAAAAAAAAAAAAGAGATACATAGTTACTAAAAAACATAAATGATTAATTTATAATTTAAAAATCCAAAATAAATATATATATATATACATTGTGAGTCGATGAAAAATGTATATTATATTTTTTAATAATATTTTTGGAAAATTATTTTACATAAAAAACACTAAGTGAACAAACTCTGGTGGCAAAACTGTACTTGATATTAAATATAAGATAAATGAATATATTTTAATTTAAAAAATTTAGAACTTGAGATTCTAAACTTATTCGCAGTGTGGATGCGTGTAAGTCAAACACCGCTGATTAATGACAACCAAAGGGTTATACTAATAGTTTATAAAATCATTAGGGAATCTGAACAATTTTTTAAGTACTAGAGATTTTGTTTGTTGATAATTTTATAAATTTTCAAGTTCAAATTAAAAAATTTTAATTTTCAATAAAACACTTTCAAATTCAAAATCAAGTAAATTTTCATTAGAATCAAATACATCATGCAAATGTTCGCATAGATCTCAATTAATGAGTATTTTAAAATGAGGTTCATCTTTTAATTACAACATTAAATTATGTAAAATACTGGATATCATAATAAAACACATTTTATTGTTTTATATTCCAGTATATCATATTTATCTAAAATATGTCCAATGTATTCAAACACCTTCAATCGAACAATTATTTTTCTTATCCGCCCATACAAACTCAAGACACTTAGGTGCGTTCGTTTGGAGAATTATCCCCAATTTTATTATTCATCCAATTTTTCTTTCATAAAAACATCAAATTAAATATCTATTTTTTTATTTTTTTTATGTTATACTAAAAATCAAATTTATATTAAAAACATTACATCAACACCTATTTATATCACATTATATAACTACACTAAATCAAAATTTTTACTATTCAAATTCCAAAATTCTAAACAAACACACCTTTAGGGGTCATATTTGTTAAGTATCCCACGTTGAATGTAATGTTGGGATTCTCCTGCCTTATAAGGGGTGAAGGGCTACTCCAGTTACAACCAATTGGTTTTAGGTTGGAACCCCGGATCCCCGTCTTAACATGGTACCAAAGTCATCAGAGCCGTCAAAATGGGCTGAGCTCGTCGGGTTGGCTCGCCCCGTCTTACTTTTAAGGAGGGTCGGGTTGTGATTTTTTAAGCCCGTTAAAATGCGAGCCTAAATGGGCCAATCCGCATAGGCCGCGGGTTGAGGGTGGGTTGGCCCGCAGTGCGGCGGGTTAGCCTGCGGGTCAAGTAAATATAATAATTAGTACTCACTCGTCTAACTAAATGTATTTTTTCATATTAAAAAATACAATAAAACTAATCAAATATTAATATAAAAATATATTTTAATTTTTTATAAATTACAAACATACCATTATAAATAAGTTAAGCCGAATAAAATAAAATTTATATTATCATTAGCTTAAATAAATTATTAATATTATCTATACGTTGTTTTTCTTCTCTAACTATGTTATTCATAACATTGTTATTTATTTTGATTTTAAATCATTTGTTTTCTTCCATTTTATTATTTTATAATTTTACAAATTCATAAAATTAATTATAATTTATTTTTAAAATGAAGTATTTTTTATTATTAATTTTTTTAAATACACCAATTAATAATATTTAGAATTGAGAATTTTTATATTTGTTAATTGTTTTGAAATATTTATTATTTAAATTCTACAATAAAACTATATTTAGCTATTTTTAAATATTAATTACGAAAATATTTATAATAGTAATATTCTTTTAATATTTTTAAAAAACATGTGGGCTAGCCCGCTTAACTCGCCATCCGCCGGTGGATTGGGTTGGACTGATGAAATTTTGATCTGTCCCGCCGCGGATTAGCCCGCAAACAACCTGCTTATTTGCGGGTTATGGTGGATTGTGGGCCAATCCGCCCCACCAACCCATTTTGACAGATTTAAGAGCCATGGTGCTCGTATTGAGTTCGAATCATGTATGAACTTAACAATAATGTACTTAATTTGTTGATTTTTTATTAATTTTTTCTATGCTTGAAATATTTCATGGATATGACTTTTGACTAGTCTATTGTTCTTAAAATGACTAGATGTAAGAATGTGTTAAAATATTTGCATGCTAATCTTTAAGGTCTGAATTATATTTCTAATTATGACGAAAATTGTATATGAAAATAAAGAAATTGAAATCTTAACTAGGTCTTAAAATATTTTATTCGTCCATTTTTTTTTATATTTGTCGGTCCAACATAATTTTTTTTTTTTTACAAAATTATTTTAAAAATTATAATTTTTTATTTTAATTAAACTATTTAGTCATTTTAATTTATAAATATTTTTATTATATTTATTTTTAGTAATACATTTTTTAATTATTTAAAAATTATATAGTAATACCTAAAATTTCGTATTGTCTCTAAAGTGGACAAATTAGCCAGAAGGAGAATAATATATAGATGAAAAGAATTTAAGAGTGTGTTTGTTTGAGAGTTTGGATTTTGAGTTGAGATTTGAATAGTAAAAACTTTGAATTTGAATAGTTGTCTGATGTGATATAAATAGGTGTTGATGTAATATTTTGAATAAAAAATTGATTTTTAGTATAATATTAAAAATGAAAAATAAGTGTTTGATTTGATGTTTTTGAGAGAAAGAAATTGGATGAACAGTGTAAATCCAATCCAATCCCCCAAAACAAATACACCCTTAAGGGGCTGTTTGGTTCAAGGATTTGATGAGATTACATGGGATTTGGATTTTAAAATCCTATGAAATCCATGTTTGGTTAAGAAAAAAAAAGGTGGAATTTAAAGGGATTTGAAAAAAGGATCTAAAATCCTACAAATAAGAGATTTTTTTTGTAATGGGATACCCTGTTACTTTTAAATCTTATTCTTGCAATTTTAATTTTTACGTTTATATCCTTTTATAAAAAAAAAATAGTATTATATTTATATAAAAAATTAAATAAATTTAACATTAATTATTATTTGAATTATATACTTAATTAAATTTATATTATTTTATATTGTATAATATTTTTTAAATAAATTAATTAATTTATTGTTTAAATTATTATTTATTATAAATTTTGTTTGAATTATAAAATTATAGGGACTACCCTAAGTTGGATTATGTTGGAACGGATATTCATCCCAAATATATATTATTAAATCCGATATTTAAATTGGATCCGATTATACTAGATCCGACCGAGACTATACCCAGTAAGACTTGATGGATCCGAAAAATCCATTTTTTTTTTACAATTCTTAAATTTTAATTTAAAATTACACATGTACCGGATCCAATGTATATTACAATTTATGTATTTTATTAGAAAAATATTAATAAAATAATAAATACGTTAAACTAAAAAAATATTTTTAATATAATTATATTATTCGAAATTAATTTTTGATATGTATGGTTGACATGTTATTATTATATTACCCTGATTATGATCCGGATCCAGGCTTAATACTCAAATAATTAGACTCAACTTCAAATAAATAGGTCGGGCTCGGTCGGGTCTCGAGTTTACGAGAATCTATTGTCATCCTATAAAATTATTGATATATTTTCAATTTATATTAATAATGAATTAGAGGTTTAATTTGTCGAAATAAATAAAATCCATAAGAGGACAATTATGTCATTTAGAATATAAAAAATCCAAATCTACGAAATATAAATCCCATCACATTTTACCAACCAAATATAATATGAGATTCTAAATTCTAAATATAATAAATCTCATAACATTTTACCAACCAAACATAATATGAGATTCCAAATCCTAAATATAATAAATCTCATCACAACTGTGAAATTCTAATCCTACCAAAAAAAATCAATGAACCAAACAGCCCATCATAGTACAATGTCATCCAACGGCGTCGATTCAGTATACTATCCACCAGATTGTGACACGTGTCACCGAAATTCCATTCTCGGTACGTGTATATATATATCTTCTGAGCCCAAATGCATGAGATAGGCCCCCGAATTTGGGCCCAAATTGCTTGTTGCTTTCAGTTTCAGGTATAAGTTTAATCCTGTTAGTTTTGTGTCAACATTAATTAGTTGCACTTTCAATTATCGTATACCCCTACACAATAAATTCAAAATATAATATATTTTATATTTTCACAAAATTCAGAAGGGTGATTTACATTAAACTCCCTAATTCTAAATTCAATTTCCCATTTACTCCATATACACTAAATTCTTCTTCTTTATACCCTATTATTATTAATTTATTCTTCTTTACTCCCCATTCACTTAAAATTCATACAATGCCTTTATTTATTTATTTTTTGTTATTTTCATATATAATCCTTAATTACTACCATATAATTTCAATTTTTTTACCATTATCAATGTATATGATACTCAATTTTACAAATACTGTTAAACAATAAATAAATTAATTATATATATAAATACTTACAAGTAAATTACATATATATATATATAGTTAAATGTTCACAACTATTAAATTTTAATACAAAATATTTATAAAGAACATTAATCTTTGATTGAATAAAATAAAAATAAGTTAATGAATATGTACTTCGAACATTTTGTATCGTTCGTCGTCATTTTGCGAAAAATGAAATAATAAAATTGATCATTGGTTGCACAAATTAAGAAATTTGAATTATATTAGGTATATAGAATCATAAATAAAATATTATTTTGAAGGCAAAATTAAAAATTTATAGGTGACAGTGTATAAAATTATAAATAAAAAGTTACGAAGAATAAATAGAAAATTAAAAAGGACAAATATATAAATGGAAACTCACAAAAAAAACAAATTGTCAAATAAAATTTTTAGGAGAATTAACCGAAGAATTGAGGACCTAAAACCGTACCCAAAAAAAAAGGCCCATTCAGATAGTGATAACCGATAATGATATAAAGCAATTCGTTTCCCACCAACGCACGCAAGGTGGAGGGCATAATAGTAGATTCAGACGAGACGGAAAATTTTCGAACCTGCTGAAATTGCTTTTTTCCCACCCAAAGGCAACCGCCAAAATTTGCACTGCAGATTCAAAAGGCTTTCGTGTGGAGGTAAGATAAATTTTTGCGAACAGTACCACAATTCGCGAATCCTGCAGCGCCTCTCGGCTTTCCGGTTCGTAAAGTCTCTTCTCGTCTCCAGTTCATTCTTCCTGTGGTTATTTGTGAGGTATTTTTGGTTGACTTGTTTGATTTTAAAGCTTTTTATGTGTGCGCTGGCTATGGCTATTGAGGTTGAATGTTTTGCTAGATTGGATGGGATTTGGGGGTTTTGTTCTGCTTTTGGGTTTATGAAGTTTTGGTATTGTTTGAATCGGCTGTTGTTTGTTGGTGTGTTGACGAGTTTTTGCCCTAGGGTTTTAGATCCGTTCAGGGTTGTTAGTTTTATGAAGCGTTAAACGATAAAGATATGTTATTGAATCAGTTTTGAAGGTGAGTATGACCGGAAAGGGTGGAAAAGGTCTTGTGGCGGGGAAGACAACAGCGGCTGCGGCGGCTAACAAGGATAAGGACAAGAAGCGGCCTATTTCAAGGTCCGCTCGAGCTGGACTTCAGGTAACTGACGCTGATTGCTATTTATGACTTGTTTAATCTTCGATTGGCTTGATTTCGTTACACTTGTTGTTCTTGACCATATTGTCTTGTTTATGAGGACTTACTGCTGTTGGGGATGTAGAACACGTTCTTTACTTGTTGGATAAAGATACCACTTTGTGTTTTTGAAAAAGTATCCAAATTGAAGGATTTGAAAACGGCAACTTTCAAGCATTGTTGAATCTTTGTTGCCTGGAATTGTCTCTCATAATATATAATTAATCCATCCATTCCTGTTTGGAAATTCATTTATCTTATGCAAATATATCCTTTAGTAACTGAAGCCAAAAGCAGCCTAATGAAACATTCTCTGTACTTGATTGCATTGAAAACTTTGGTGTGAAGTGCAAGAAACCCGAAAGTTGGACAATAGTTTATATAGATTTTATGTAGTTTCTGGTCATAAGATGTCATCTACCATGTCTGAAGAGGATTATATTTTATCTTTTGCCTAAGAGGAATCTCATGAATGATTTGAACATTAGGAAGGTAATGTAGGGCTATGAAATTTATCCCTCAATTATTACCACAGGTGCACATGTTTTCATTTGTTATATTTGTCTCAGTTTTTCTCTGTAACTTGTTTCCTTACAGGCAACATTGTATGTCATTATGATCTTCACTTTCAAATATCTTTTTATTCTATAGCTAAGTACTTTGTCTAACCTGTGTCATTTCCCAATCTTCAAAATTATTGTCACTCATAATCAATATTCTACAGCTACATCTAATGCTTTCTATATCTAACAACACAGGCCACTAATAATCATTTGCTTGTATACTCTTCAAAACACAGTTTTATCTCACCAAAGCATATTCTCTGTTTTCAAGTTTCCGGTGGGCAGAATTCACCGCCACCTCAAATCAAGAACCACTGCACATGGAAGAGTTGGAGCCACAGCAGCAGTATACTCTGCTGCAATCCTTGAATATTTGACGGCTGAGGTGCTGGAGTTGGCCGGAAACGCCAGCAAGGATCTGAAAGTGAAGAGGATAACCCCGCGACACTTGCAGCTTGCAATTCGTGGAGATGAGGAGCTCGACACCCTCATCAAAGGAACCATTGCTGGTGGTGGTGTGATTCCCCACATTCACAAATCCCTCATCAACAAAACCACCAAAGAATGAAGTATGCAATGCTCCACTCTTTCTGTCTTATCTTTATGATCTTGTTAAATCGAATTTCGGAGCTTTCTACATTTGTGGCAGTTTGGATTTGGTTCCATTTTCAGGTCTGTTAGGCATTAGAACCACATGTTGATTCCTGTTAGCTGTGTGCTTGTTGATTGTTGTGCTGTCTTTGACATTATTATTGAACTTGTGTGTTTTAGTATCTGTTGCTAGAACTTGCTTAGAATCTTGATTGATTGTCAGCCGTTGGATTAATTTCTTAGGAAGTAGATTAAGATTAGAATGTTGGGTCCATATTTATCTGTATTCTGAAATGCCGTTTGTTGACCTGGAAATTAGTCGCTGTTTTTATCAATAGTTATGCTTTATTTACTCTATCTATGCAAAGAAACTGTACGGTTGCTTCACAAGTGACAAAATGGCATCTTTAGGCCAAAAAAATATTTGGTTCTATTTTCATAAAAGTTTTGGCAGTTTTTGAAATTTTTTAATAATATTACTACGTGGAAGGTATACATTTGTTTTTCTTTAAAAAAAAATATATTTTATTAATTATTAAAAGTGTGAAAAATAATTTCATAACATTTTTGCTTTTGAAAGTATAAAATAGAATATTTGCTTTTGAAAGTATAAAATAGAATAAATACTTTTATAGAACTTAGAAATATTTTGATATTATATATGATTATTTTTATTATAATTAGAAATTAGTATTTTAAATGAGATAGGCTAAAAGTATAAATTTGGAGTAGGGGTATTTATAATCTATTTTTGTGACGACAATTTTATTAACTCACAAATTTATTATTTACTTGAACAAATAATAATTAATTTGTTATTTTTTCTATTTGTTTTTTTTATCAATTATTTTAATTTTAATTTATTTGATTTTGATATTAAAATATTACTAGTATTATTATTTTTATTTTAATGTCCAATCAATTTTATTGGACAAGAAATAAAAAATTAATGATATTTTTTTTTTTTGTAAAAGAAGAATATTTTATATGATGTATAAAGTACTCCCTTTGTCCTAGGTATTACATAATTTTGGAGAAGTATAATCAATAAATAATTAAAAATATATTAGTAAAAATAAATTAAAATTAAGATAAAAATAACTAATTCGTGTAAATAAATTTAAAAATAATTAAATTAAAAATTTTAAAATGAAATAAAAAGGTGGACACGGCAAGTGGACGGAGAGAATATAATTTTAAAAGTCATTGATAAAAAACTATAAAAATGTCTATTTATACTTGTGTGCAGCAAATTGCGAATATAATACTTTTGGGTGTGTTTATGTTTTTAAATACAATTTATATTTTATATTTTACTTTTCATATAATTTTAGTGGTGTTCTAATATTAATTTGTTAGTTTTTATTATGGGCTTATGGTACGGTAATTGTAAGTTCGTGTTAACTCAATTTTTTTTAAAAATAATTTATTAATATTAAAATAATTATACAATAGATACACATTCAAATGATGTACTATAATATATTTAGTAAGAAATGATTTGGTTGGTGATATGAGAGAGAATTTTTTTTTTTTTTTTTTTTTTTTTTTTTTTCATATATTATACTAAAACGTACTCGCTATGTCCCATCAGAATTAACACTTTGATTAGGGAGACGGTATTTAAGGTGATGATGTTTAATTAGTTAATAATAATTAGTTATCATATTATTATATTATTTTGTATAATTAATACTCCCTTCGTCCCATAAAGAAATATTCATTTACTTTTTGCACTTAGTTTATAAAAATTAATATTATATTGGGATATAGTAAGAATAAAATAGAAATGACTAAAATAATCTTATTAGTATGTGTGATATAAAAGCAATGACATTTGTGTAATATATTGTAAGTTATGTTAGGTATTACAATTACTAAAAAAAAAATGGATACTTTGTTATGGGACGAACTAAAATAGAAAAATGGATACTTTGTTTGTTATGGGACGAAGAGAGTAATATTTAAGTTTTAAAGTAAATTTGATGTATATGATTAAAAAAATTAAAATATATGTTTAAATATTTAAAAATTATATAGCAATTAAAAAATATATGCAATATGAATATCATTAGAATAAAATCTTCTATAATACAAGTAAATAACAAAATATTTTTGATTATTTATAATTAACATAACTCAAATTTTATAAAATTTGATTTATAAAAGATGTGTAGTTTTAAATATAGATTACAATATTTATTTTTTTTTAGGAAAAATGTAGAAATAAAGAGGTTTTGTATGTTATGTAGTTAATTAAGTTTTTGTTAAATATGTTTTGGTTTAATATTTTTTTTTTATCAAAAATAGAAATATGTCGATTGTTACGGAACAGACAAAAATAGAAAAGTGTTAATTGTTACGGGATAGACAAAAATAAAAATAGTGTCAATTATGGTGGGACGGATGAAGTATTTTTCTATTATAAAAAAATAATATTTTACAAAAATATTTATTTTCTTCAATATTTGAAAACCAAAAATTACTCGTATCCTTATAATTTTAAAATATCCCATTTTTTTAGGCAATTTGAAAAAGGTATCAACACTCCGTCCAATATACATATGTATAGAAAGTTTAATTAAATATTGTTCACAAAATAAAAATTAAGTAAATATTAATATAACATCTTAAAATAAAATTTCCAAAGTAAGTATAAATTTATAATAATGACAAAAAAAATAAAAAATAAAAAATTAACGAAGGGCGTAGATTCCTACTAACCTAAAGATGCGTTTCGTTCAAATTATGCCATGGCGGAAGCCTTTGTTTGTTTTCATATACGAACGAACGGTTGTTCTCAGCCAAAAGCGACGATGAACTCTCTCTCTCTCTCCGCCGTGTTCCGCCGAAGTATGGAGGCGACGCTCGTGCAACCGTACAACAACGCTCATGACTCCTTTCTCCCACCGCGAATCAATCGGTCGGTCTCCATGCAAAATCATCGCCGGCGATCTCAATCCACTGGAATTCGATCGACTCTCGCAGACAACAGCGTCGACGTTTCGTCAGTTGCTCGTCAATCGCAAACTGTGTACAACGACAATTTGTTCGATCGCCTCGCCATTAATCATCTCTCTCACTGCTTGCAAGCTTCCACAGGTACTCCGCATGATTAACTGCTTGTTTAGATACTGAAACTGATCGATCAGCTCTCTCGCGTTTCGTAAATCGTAACCGTCGTCGTTTCAGAAAAAAAAACGTCGATTGTTTCAGGATGAGTTTCAATAATCAATATTGATGTAGAATTGATTACCTGATAGGCCTGCGGAACGAAAAGCGTGGATACGACGGATTGGTGGAAGCAGCAACAGTTGCCGCTAGGCATTTCAGTCCAATCGAACAAAGGCAGATTATTATTCAAACACTCGAAATGGCCATTCCCAAGCCTATACTTTCACTGGTCAGTTCTCTTCTCCGTGTCTATTCCAAAATTTTCATTCCATTCTAGAATATTCATGGAAATTAGAGAATCAAATTTAATAGCCTAATTTAGTTCGTGACAACCATAAGTAGAGCGGAAAGCTTGATTAATTCTTAAGGTCCAAACTGGGAAAATTTCTGTTTGTTAACCATATATAATTAATAATGATTCAAGCTAAAAAATACTTAAAGAAATGTTTTACTTTTATTTTTTAACATTTACTTTGTTTTATTAAAAAAATATTTACAAAACAGCAAAAAAAAATATTTAATAATATTTTTACAAATTCTAATATCTAATAAAGAAAATCCCAAAAACTTTATAAATCCCAATTTATTATTTATTTTAATTTATAACTTAAGAATCTATGACTAAGGACTATCTTCGCACCATCTTATCATCTTTTTACTAACATAATTTTCTATATTACCCTTACTTCATATATATATATATATAACTTAAAAGTAAAATAATATTCTTATTTTATCCAAATTTATGTTTATTTTATTTTTATTTTTAAGTAAATATATACAATTTTTCTTATTTTTTTTAGAATTTTTTATTTTTATCTATTTTTTAAAAAATTCATATTAAGTCAAATGAGTATAAATTTAGAAGATGTTTTCAATAAAAAATAGATTGATCTTGAATTTAAAAATAAAATACTATACTCCACTTAAATTAGAGCATTATTATTTGTATCACAGTTTCCCCATGAATAATAATTACAATACTATGCCAGATTTACGATGAATATGACTAATTGATATTTGTTTATTAAATTATGAGCCAAAGAACTTCAAGAAGGGTTTCAAACAAATGGATTGCCCGTAAGAGAATAGCGGAGAGTTGATGTGGCCGACAAATTTATGACTTCAAACCTTACTTGCCGAGTCACATAAACTATACAAAATTGATAGATAGTTTATACATGAGTAGTTGATAAACAAAACCTGTATATATGTTTAATATATTCCATTCAATTAGTGTAAGATCACAATCAACAACTAAGCTATTTTAATCAAATTATGAATATTTAATTGTGATCAGCACACAATTAGAGAGAACAGATTTCATTCCCTTTTGAAGATTATTCAATATTAGATAGTGGCATATGTATCTCTGTACCGTTCCATTCCATTTAGGATTAGGAAATGTGTAATGGGACCTGCTTTCTCCATTTCCTTCATTATTTTTGGGACTTTTCTGTAGATATTTGACCAAACATGATCGTCCAATTTGTTAACTTATTCAAGCATAACAACATGTGCATATAAACAACATAGGAATAAGAATATTATTTGCTGTTACAAACACTGACTAGGAACAAGAATCAACACGTAGTTTAATGCAAAGGTTGTTTTTTTTGTTGGCAGATCAAGACAGTGCTAAAACCATCTAAATTTGCTAGGGAATACTTCGCCGTCTTCACCACGTTTTTCTTCGCTTGGTTAGTCGGTCCCTGTGAGGTATATATGCATATATATATATATATATATGGTTTTTGATTGTTCTCGATTTCTATTCAGGCCTACTTATATACTGCTTTCTTAGACAATATTTGGAATTCTTGGAAGGTTAGAGAGGCAGAGTTTGATGGGAAAAAAGAGAAAAGTGTTGTGCACATACCAAAATGCAGGTGTACACACATCAATGATTCTCAATTATTATCATTATTATTAATTTATACAGACATATTTAGGATGAGAAGAGAAATAATTGAAATTGGGACAGGTTTTTGGAGGAGACAAATTGTGTAGGCATGTGCACTAACCTTTGCAAGATGCCTTCCCAAACGTTCATTAAGGAGTCCCTTGGAATGCCAATCTACATGGTCCCCAGTAAGCATTTCACTAGTGCTAACTTTTAGTAATTTTTATATCATCACAATCTCATTACATTTTTGCAAACTTGTATTAGGGTGCCGAATGATTCGGTACTTTAGTGATAGTACATCGCATTTATATGAATAACACATAACAGATAGATAAATGTAAAACAATCTAATATTAAACTGATAGTATATAACAATAGTCCACACGATATATGTCTATGTTGATCTTAGTGAATATCTCATGTTATCATAACACAACATAGACAACATATTCAATATGTGAACTACATGATAATAGTCCACCGGCATATGTTATTATTGATATTAGCACATGAACTCATAGCACGTATAATAGTTCATATAGCACATGTTACAGTTGATTTAAGCAAATATCACATATTAACATAACACAATGTGTAATATATATTCGACAACAACCATAGATTGTGTATATCATTACAATGTGTTATCACTCAGCGCTTAAGTAGCCCGTGTATGTATACATATATATGATTTGATTGTAACACAATAATTGTTGACCTGTGGATTCTAAGGGAAATTTTTGAGGGTGTTGTTTTTCCAAGAGGCAAAAATAGTAAGTGCACTATTATTTGGGTGTCTACTGTCTAGTGTAGCAATGGCCATGACTGTAGGCCAACAAGGGATAATTTGAATGGTCCACCTTGTGAGTTGTGATGCAATTGCAGCTATATATGAACAAACAATGTGCCTATTAATCTTAACTGTTTCTTTAATGATTCTGTTCCTATTAAATCCAATGGCTTCTTCTCAGTCCGAACAATCCACAATCTATGACTGTATTTCTTTGCCCATCTTCATTAATTTTCTCAATTTGGGACTCTTAAATCTGTGCTGCAGATTTTGATGATATGAGCTGTGACATGAAATTTGGTCAGGAGCCACCCGCACAATCCTTAGATCCAGCATTCACACAGCCATGTTACAAGCAATGTGAGATATCAACTTAATTATTGCAACCTCATATATATATATATATATACTATTTGTCTTAATAATTATTGGACTGTAATTTATATATATATTCATACAGGTAAGTCCTCCGGGAGGCATCAGAAGAACTGCACCAAGTAAGCTTTCTTAAAGAAATCAAACAATGGAAAACAAAGGTCAGTTTAATCATCCAACTAAAATAATTCTGATTTGTTAGTTTCACTATGGATTATCAATTCATGATATGATTTCAAATATCTCTAAGCCAATGGTAGAGCCTTTGAGTTGTGAAAACTTTCACTCTTAATTAGCTCATCCTTACATCACAGCTTATGACAGCTAATTATAGATTGAGGATCCTAAGTTTAAGTAGTAGTGGATGTGATGACCAAATCAGCCATCATTTAAATCCTTAGTGAGCACACCATACCATAGTAGTATCAACATGATAACCCCACGAGTACGATGAAAGCCAATTCCTGAATCAGGATTTCATAGATTCACTGTTCAAGAATTGGACATTTCTTTGGTGCCTTAGATGAAGAAAAACTTCTTATTACTATTTAGGCTTAACCCACAATATTATTTATATATTCTCGCCCTGCAAAAGTGCTTTGACTGAGGATTGTGTTGTGGGGTTTGTAGACAGCAAATGTGGGGTTTCACAATTCACAGTGCTCCCCACTCTCACTCACTAATAAGTGGCTGGCACTGATTAAATCTATGTGCTTTCTTTTCTGTCTGGGATTAGGACAACTGGACAAGTGAAGTGAGGCTCATATATTGTCCTATTAGCTAATCTTGTTGTCTTCACCAAAGATTGCCATGGAAATTGGTGGAATTCTTGAATAATTAGCACCTGCCCTGTGTGAAGAATAATAATTTGTCATGATCACACTAAATCTATCGAATGATTACCTGATTATAATTTATACACCTGAGAGACATGTATACAGTTTCACTCTGAACTTTAATATATAAAAATAATATCTTACAAATGTGATGGGCTTGGAGGATGCATGGGCAGGACAAGGCAGGCAGCCCACTGGCTTGGGCCCTGCAATTTAATGACTTCTCTGCATAAGTTTAACTTTCTTGGGATTGCCATCACATGTACATATATATATTTTTAATTTAATTAGTTTTATTTTTTTGGAGGGAAATGTGTAGCAATCAAGAAAATTAAATACTCTAAAAAAGAAAAGAAAGTGGTAGAGGGCAGTAGCATGTGGCATGGCAGAGTACCATCATGTGTATAATGTATTCACATAGGTAACCTGTGCCCTGTTTGGGATGACAGGGGTCCCTAAAATGTGTGCCCTTCTTTAGAGCAAACTGACCACACTTTCCACTCTTCATTTTTCTTAAGTTTATTAATCTAAGATTTTATTAATCATTTTGTTTCTCTATATACATTTATTTTATTTTATTTTCCTGTGACATATTATAAATGAGGTTGGCTGGCCTGGACTCATCAGAAGCATTAAAACCATGAAAAGATGCCTCTGTGTGTTTTTCTGTAGTATCTCTGAAGAGATTGATTTGTGTACACATTTGAAAATAAATAAATTAGATTGAACATTGTTTTATATGATGAAAACGAATGCAGCTTTCGTTGGTGTGAGAACTTATTTTACAGCTTAGTAAAAACTTATGTCATCACAGTCTAACATTTATCTAAGTCTTAGAACTTCACTATGCAAAATCCCCTGTTTGGCTAACAATAACAATTAGGATCATAAGAAAGCCAGTTTCCTCCTAGGCTTGATGGATGATAGAATGTTTCTTGATTCCAAAGCCACCATATCTCTAATTGATTCACCGATTAGATCCTTGAATATCAGCCGTTCGATGTCCAAAACCATCTCCGACATCTCCACCTGGTTAAAACTCCAACCAGTTACGCCATCCCCGGCGAGGTCTTTCTTCAAGACACCACAGATGGTGTCAAACATATCCTCACCTATATTCTGCACTTGAATTCTTTGAAACTCCAACCAGACCTCGTCAACGGATGGTTTCGTGATGCGTTGATTCATCACACTCCATGGGGGCAATCCCTCATTCCTGTCGAGGATTTCATTGACTACGTCGAAGATAACTTTCCTCTGCATTGTCGAGAGCTTCGACATGTCCTTTCCCTTTAGATACTGCTGCTTCTCTAGCAGCAGAAAGTTATCTGATACCTCCCGGAAACAATGTGTTGTCCGGATGACGACATCCGAGATGTAATTAAGATTATTACAATCTTCCTCGTGTTTAGACATAATGGAAGAAACCGTAGGACTCCATAATCTTTCTTCTAATTCATCGGAGTGGTCTGTTGCAATAAATAAAACATCAGATTGGTAAATAAACACAAGGTTTGGAAGTTCTTCCATAATGGGAAAGCTAATGCAGTGTCATTTTCATAAGTAGAAGAAAAGGGTTATAATAATGACAAATATAAGCTCACCATCATCATCAATATATTAGTAAAGGACCACATAGAAAGTCACTTTGTGGTCACTAGTTCATTGGCAAAAGGCTAGTTGCATTATTTATGGAGACATCAGATTTGGTTCCACATACACACAACAGAGACTGGACCAATTCATTCAACTGGGCTATAGGACACCAACAAGTTTCTGGGAGCACATCTAATGCATCAACGTACCAATGATTTATAACCATCTGATCTAACAAATGCTCACTTCATCATTAGCAGTTAAAATCGCCGCGGCTAGAAATTTTACCGGAAATTTGTTAAATCGATAGTCAAGTTTTTACCTTTGAAGTCAGTGGCATTGTGTTTCATTGTAACAGGTGAAGGGATCACCAGCTCATCCCTGTAAAATGATGAGTCGAGAACCGAGACGGGGCTCGGCTGCGTATCGCTTGCCGTTTCGACTATGTTGTGGATCAGCTTATCACTTCCCTCCAACAATTTCTTGTCCTCTTTGTGTTCACCTGCTTTTGACCTCTGCAGACAATTATAAGAGTAGTTTTTTATATGATAATTAACGTGATTGAGATATAGATAATTAATCCTAATCCAGCATTGCTTTACCTCAGCAGCATCTGCGGATGTAGTGATGCTGCTCCCTGAAATGGAAGATGTTGATGATTCATCCTCTGCAGAAACAACGGCTGTGATCTTCTTATCTTTCTGAATCACAGCCGTTGGTTTCTTGCTCCTTGGCGGCTTGCGGTTGGCCGTTGGATCAGGCCTGCTGCCGAGTTTCCGTGGTTGAACCGGATCCGGTCTCCGGCCCTCCGCCGGTTTGTTTATTCTCCTCTGTTTTTCAGCGTTCACTGGTTTAGGCTTCACCGGTGAGTTCGATTGTCTCTCACCTGCTCTCCTGGTCGGACTTCGGATATTCCGTTCAAGTTTGGGACTCGGCGGGGCGGAATTTTCTCCGGCAATGCTGTTATGGCGGAGGCCGCGGCGTTGATTTGGAACATTCGTCGCAGAAGAATCACTTCTCGTCCTTCGATTGATTGGAGACGATGCTGGCAATCTCGACGGCGTGGTTACGACGGTTGTTGATGCGTCGGGGATAATGCTCCGGCGTTTGATTCGATTTTGCTCCGGCGGTTTTCTGGAACGGAGGAGTCCTTTTAGGTGCAAGGCTTCGAGGATTTGTTTCAATGTCTCCAAATCTTCGGCGTCCTCGCTAACTCCTCTCATTCTCAGTCTGTTCTCAACCTCTTCGTAGAGTGATGCCTTTTGTTTTGGCTCCGAGAAGAAGTCTTCCGAATCGAAGCTGCCTCTCCTGAAAGGTTTGCGCGATTCAGCGGCGGCTGTATTGTTCGGAGAATAGCTCCTCGGATCTGAATAACGCGCCTCCATTGGCTGGTTGGCTTTCACAGCGGTGGATTGAGTTTTTGTTGGCTGCTTGTTGGAAGGATTGCTTCTGTCTGCGATTAGTCTAGAGGCAGAAATCTCTCGAGAGAGTCGAGATTCGGAGGCTGATCTTCGAAGCTCCGGCGTAGATTGAGGTTCTGAGACGATGTTTGAATCTGGAAATGGCTCCAGCCCCATGAGCCTGACGACGACACTCGGAGAGCGGTGGTGCTGGCTTTCGTCGGACGCAACATCGCTCGTAACACCGTCTCGACCGTCGGCGGCCGAGAGAATGGAAGCGCCGGTGCGGATTTGTTTCGGATGGAGACCTCCTTTGGCATCTGTAGTTGCTCTACTGTCCAACGAAAGCCTCGGTGCTTCCTTCCAAAACCTCCACGACGAACCGCCACCGTCTCTCAATTCAAATACCGGAAGAGGACGAATCGGTGACTTGGACGGCGACTCCGCCACCGCCACCACTGTCGATCGGAGCTCCTCAGTCGTAGGAGGTTTCTGTTTCGACCGTACTGGATTCGGCGGCGCTAACAAGCAGTACGGCGCCTTCTCCTCCCCGATTCTCCTCGGCTTCGCCGGAGGCGAAGCCGACGAAGCCGCCGACCTCTCCGACTCCGACGACGTCGTCGTATCCGCGATCTAGAAGACAAGAAAAAAAAACGATGAGTGAAACAACAAATTCATTCACCATCACCGAAAACCGCATCCAGAAATTCACATCTCACCGGCGAAGATTGGTCGCGCTTCGCCCAACCGATGCGTTTTCCGGTCAGAATCTGGCGGCGATCGAATAGCTGAAACAAAGCAGCTACGCATCCCATCTGCTGCTTCTCCTCCTGCTTCCCCAAACTTCGGTTGCGTTCTAACCTCACCGCCATTGCCTTCACTCACGGACATTGGAATTGAAATTGAAAGTGATACCCAGGCATAGGCAAGCACGCTATTTCCATTTCCATTGCCATAAATCTCCGGTGGGTTTGGCTAAAGTCACGGGCGGGTGAGTTTACTGGTTCATCCCCCGTTCCCGGTAAGGCATGGAATGAGGTGAGCTGTGTGTGTGTCCCCGTGGGTGATATAATTCCATATATTTCCCCCCGAAAATGCTGCACATATATATATACACACAGTGCGCTTAGCAAATCCAGGTCACCCACCGTCTCTACAGTATGGGTTCCACGTGTCACTTATCCGTATTCTTGAATTCCGAAAGCCCGCCCGCCCAATTGCACCGGTCATTATTATTAACACTGTAGTTCAATTATTTTCTTTTCTTTTATTTATTTATTTTTATATTTACATATGTCACAAAATTAATTTCAAAAAATATGTATTCACAAAATTTATAATCGTTATGTCATATCTCTTTGAATATTATAGAAAATATAAAAATAATTTTATTAAGAAGTAAATTAGAAGTCAAATGATATATAAATATTTTTAACTAGCAAGTGTTTTTCTAAATTTATTTAGATACAGAGATTAAAAACTAATTATTATTTTTCGTCCTATTATACTCCTCCCCTTAACATACCTAGCAAGATTTTTCCTTTTTTTTTTCTGTCTAACGCAATATTTTCAAATGTAAAAATAATTAATTATTATATTTTATTTCGTTATATTATTTAAATAAAAAATAAATATATGTTCATCTCTCGTCAAATCATCTAATTCTCTAATTATTTTATTTAATATTATTATTATCTCAAAATATTATTTGAAATAAAATATTTATAATTTTGAATAAATTATTAAAATATTGATATATTTGAATAAATTAGAATTTTAACCAAATCAAAATTTAATAGATAATATTATAAATAGAGGTAAGAAAACACACGGTCGTTTCATTTCCTCTTTTCCCACACAATTTTGATTTTTATGCAATTTATATTTTTTTTCATTATTTTTTTTCTTGTTGGCCTATTTGGTTTCTTTCTTTTTCTTATTTGGTTTTCTTTTATTTTTCTTATTTAATTACTTATCTGTCTTTATTTTATTTTTATGTATTATTCTTCTTTTATCTTTTTCTACTAACATGATTTCAGATTTTTTAAGGGAAGTTGGAGAATTCATTCAATTTTTCAGATTGTTTTCTTCCCATAAGTTTTAATTTTTATGCAATTTATTTTTTTTCTCATTATATTTTTTTTTTTTGCAGTCTATTTGGTTTCTTTTTTCTTTTTTTTTTTTCTTTAATTTCTTGTCTATCTTCTTTTGACTTGATTGCTTAATTCTCCTTTTATCTTTGTCATTTTTTCTCTTTTTTATTTATTATATTTTGCGAACATCATTTCGGATCTCTTTTTAAGAAAGTCGGAGAACTCATCCGATTTTTTACGGACCCACTCTGATAAAGTGTCAAAAAATATTTTGAATGACAACTGCTGTAATTATTTATTAAAATAAAAATAATACCATTTTAAGTGGAAAAAATTATTCCCTCTGTCCCATTTATCAATTATTATGTCCACATTTCTATTTATGTCTGTTTCATTTATTCTGTTATTTTTTTTTAAAAAAATTATACACTTTAATTAATCCAATTAATTATTTTAATTTTAATTTAAAATTATTTTTATTATACATAATTCTTTTTTACTAATAAATTTTTAATTATTTACTAATTATATTCATCATAAATTTTTGCATTAAAAAGAAATATTTATTATTAATTAATTAAGTGTAAATTTAGTTAACATAAAAAAAAGAATAATATAATTTTAACACACGTATAAATTATATATAAATTTAATTATATAATTTTGACGGATAAAAATAATTATATTTTATTTGATATTGGTTCTGTATGTGTACGATTATTTTTGTGTTAATGGGTAAGTAGTAATGATTCGTTAGTTATAACAGTGAATTAACTTAAGTTGGCAGTGAGTGGTATTATATAACATAGTTGCCAGGGAATGGTATATTTTAAGTAAGGGGTTATAGAATGAATAATTATTACACGTGTCAGACATGGTAGGCATTTATTAGTACAGATTTGCATTTGGGTATCTATTTGTGGAATAACTATAAGCAGGGACGGATCTGAAAGCCAAATTTTTTATAATTTTTTTAGTATTAAAAATTTTAATTTTTATGTATTTATATATAATTTGTTCTCAAAATTATATAAATTCATATATAATTCTGTCATTATTATGTATTTAAATTTATTAGCTAAATATTAAATAATTTATAATATTTTGCCCCCCAAAAATTTAGATGCTAGTTTCGTCACTGAATCTATAAGTATCGTTTTAATATTGCGACAACAGAATATGAGTTATCGACACATAATATTCAAAATATAAATAGACTTATATATATTTACATAATGTAAAAAGAAAGGAATCAGAATTTTTAGCACCCTTGCTAAATGGTGGCATCACGCCCATAAATAACGTACTATTTGAATTTGAAAGGATATTTATTTTATCTATTTAATTTTTTAATTTACTTAGGGTGTGTTTGTTTGGGGGTTTGGATTTTGGATTGGGATTTGAATAATAAAAATTTTGAATTTGAATAGTTGTATGATGTGATATAAATAGGGTTTGATGTGATGTTTTGAATGTAAAATTGATTTTTAGTATAATATAAAAAATGAAAAATAGGTGTTTGATTTGATGTTTTTGGGGGAAAAAAATTGGATGAATAGTGGAAATCCTTCAAAATCCTTCAAACAAAGAGAACCATAGCTTAATAGGCGGGCTTTAGTAGATGAGGACAATAGTTGAATGTATCCAGAGGTCTTTCGATTTTGAAATCCTTCGTATAATTACTAATTTTTTGTTTCTGATTTTGATTTTGATTTCATTTAGAAATTTTATTTTAGTCGATCTTTGAATATGAGAATCAAGTATGCACATATTTCTGCGATTTGTCTGTCATGTTTCTCCATAGCTTTATTTTCGACTGCGTTGAGAGTTATGTCGTTTTCGATTTCAGTAAAAAGCTTATTATTTTGACTCCGTCGAGAGCAACATTATTTTCGATTCTAGTAAGAGTTTATTGTAGCTACACTATTTTCTATTTTTCTTTCATGTCCTTCGAGTGCTGGATTTGTCATCTTTAGAGGCATTTGTTCAAATCTCGCCGATCCAACACTTGAAAGACATGAAAGAAAGATCGAAAATAGCTTAGCTACAATCGTCTACATGAATGAAAGATTGTAATTGATTTTTGGTCTACCTTTGAATACGAGAATCATGTACTTGTATATCTCTGCGATATGTCTCACATTTCTCCATAGCTTTGTTTTCGACTGCGTTGAAAGTCATATCGTTTTCGACTCCAATAAGAATCCCATTGTTTTGACTCCGTTCAAAGTAACATTGTTTATGATTCCAGTAAGAGTTTGGTGTAGCTACATCATCTTCTATCCTTCTTTCATGTCCTTCAAGTGCTGGATCTGCAATCTTTAAAGGCATCTCCTCAAATCTCGCAGATCTAGCATTTGAAAGACATGAAAGAAGGATCGAAAATGGTGTAGCCACAATCGTCTACATGAATGAAAGATTGTAATTGGTTTCTATCTACCTTTGAATATGAGAATCATGTATGCGTATATCTTTGCGATATGTTTGTCACGTTTTTTCGTAGTTCTGTTTACGATTGCGTTGAAAGTCATATTGTTTTCGACTCCAGTAAGAGTCACATTGTTTTGACTATGTTGAAATTAGCATTGTTCCGACTCTAGTAAGAGTCTCATTGTTTTGACTTCGTTGAAATTAGCATTGTTCTGATTCCAGTAAGAGTTTGTTGTAACTACATCACATTCTTTCTTTCATGTCCTTCAAGTGCTGGATCTGCTATCTTTATTGGCATTTTCTCAAATCCAACACTTGAAAGACATGAAAGAAAAATAAAAAATGGCGTAGCTTTTAGGTGAAACGGTCATTCAGCATCCGACATGGTGAGACGTGTTGGAGATTCTCGTTTGCAAATATATGATTAATGACTGTATTTTCCTAATAATTTGAGCTTTTAGGTGAAACGATAATTCAACAAGACGAAACCACCTAATGATTTCCAAAATGAATTGGAAAAAGGACAAGAGAATTCCTTTTTTGCTAGTAAATAAGTATATATTATGTTCTTGGAAGAAGATGATCAAAGATGTACGGCTCGGTGTACGTTGGTAATGCAAATTTTACTACTTTATTCGTTTATATATTTAATAAATTAATATTGAGTGAATAAGCAGCAAACCATAGATTTGTGTTTTTATAGAATGTAGTATTTCTTAGGTGATTTTTATTCTGTTTTTTATTTTTAAATCTTTTACATTTTAAGATACTTATTTATTTATTTTTGTAAAATATTAAATTAAATACTTTATAGATCACAGTAACTCCACTAGTTAACTCCACTATTGTAAGACATTTCGAAGAAAAGTTCAAAACCAAATTCTTACGGGCTTAATCCAAACCGTAAAATATTGACCCAGTCTTAACCGTATATAATAATTTATTATTATTATTATTATTATTATTATTTTGTAAAAACTAGACTAGAGTAATAAAATTAAAATCAAAATCTCAAAAACAAACACACTCACACCCATTTATTTACATCAACTGTTTTTTTTTTTAAAGTAAAATTATTCTTTTTTAAATTTTATTATTAATACGTTTGCTTGAAAAAAAAATTATAAAAAATTACAAATATTTATATTAAAAATATATAAATATAAATAATAATCCAATGAATGTATGATTTTTTATTTTAATTTGAAACAACAATAATAATAAAAAGATGTACATGGTAAATACTGCGAAAGTAATAATAATAATAATAATAATAATAATGATGGTGATGATAGTAATAATAAGAGACCTGAGTGAGTGAGTCTGATCCTGACTGGCCACATTCATCAATACTTACAAATTTGACCGCTTCGCTTTCAACTTTCTCTCTCTCATTACACTGCACTGTACTTTCTGCATTCTATTCTATACATACATAAATTATACTTTCAATTATTATATACTCTATCAATTCCAGATGTGGTAAACTATTCACTTATCCTAGCGTAATTATTTATTTATTTATTTATCAAACTTAATTTATAAGATATTAGATTAAATTAAAAGTTTACATGTACAAATTCAAATATAGCAATTGCAGATTTTTATATTATATATATAAAAAAAATTACTCTTTCTATCCCTCTTATAAAAAGATGGCAAAAACATGTACAATAAAAAAATTTGATCCGATATAACAAATTGTGAGCCTAAAAAAATAGGCAATAGTTTTTTCGAACTCTACCTAACTCAATACGCCAATAAACCGAGTTATGCTCATTTAATATTTAATATATTTAAGATCGAGCCGTGCCTGACTCAATCCGATTTTTTCAATTAATATTTAATATATTCATATATATATATTAACTAATAAAATAGTAACCAAAATTTAGATGTAGCATAATGCTGAAGTCTTATGGGACATATGAAGTGTTAAATAATTTTTTTTTTTACAAAATAATATTTATATAAGTATATATCTTCTTGAGGTGTAGTGATAAAAATATTTAAATATCAACAACAATATTTATATAAAAAATAATAAAATAATATCATAACTTATTATTAATAACTTACTAATTTACGCTATTTAAAATATCATATTTCTACCTTTTTGTCATCGGGCCCGAGACGAAGGAAGTATATATTCTATTTTTATAAAAGAATATTTAACATTCTCTCCGCCCGCTTTAAGAGTTACATTTTTTTTTTGTCGTGCTGATATTTGAATATTAATTATTATATTAAAACGTAGTACAAATCGAAAAAAAATAATAAAATATTTATAATTATGTATTATAATGCTAATATAATAATATTTGTATAAAAAATATACAAATATATACAATGACTGTAAATGTAACTCTTGTAAGTGGACGGAGAGAGATGACCATTTTTTTTTATACGTCCACTAAAGATGATTCATTTATATTTTTAGTAAATTTATTCATTTTAAACATATATAAAAAATATAAATCATTTATCAAATTTATAACCGTATAACTCAATATAATTTTTTTTTTTTTTTATCTCTCTTCCAAAAACAAATACTACATTTTTATCTATATTTAAAACTTCTAATATTTAATAGAATTACTTTTAAGTTAAATTATAAATAAATTTTTGCTTATTTGTATTATATAAAATATTAATATTATCTACAAAATAATATGCATATAGATATAATTTACTAGTATATTATACTCCCCTCCTCCTATTTACATTTATCTTTTGTAATTGATATTAAAAATATTTTTATATAATTTTTTATACTAGTATTATTTTATTAATATTATAAAATACTAATGAAAATAAATTTGTAATTTTTTTTTAATTTTTAATTTTTTTAATATAATAATTAATATTCAAATATAAAATAAAAAAATAAATAAATAACCGGACAAATATAGTACACAATAATTATTTTTATATTACCATATAAGTTTGCTGAATTCACAAAAATTTTATATCTCTTAAAATCACAAAAAGAAAATTAATCCTCAAAATATCTCAAAATCAAAATCGAAATTCAAAACCACACAATTAAACACAACCAAATCAAACACACCCCCAATGTTTTGACAAACTCCCCTAAATTTGCTTGTGACGCCAGCCAGAGCGGGGAGAGAGGTTTGGATTCTTGCTTTGCTGTTCCTCTCGGCCTCAAGGTAACCTCAAGCTCACCCTCAGCCCCAAATATTCCATTTCCTACTTCAATTTCGCTATTTTATTCATAATCTATTCCGTTTTGGTTGCAGATTCGTTCCTGCACTCCGGTCCTTCAATTCAATGACGTCGATGATGATTAATGGCGCAGAAAGCCTCCCTCTCGCCAGACGAATTGCCCCAATGTCGAGAGGGTTAGGGTTAGGGTTTCTCACCACAGATTTTCACGGCAAGGAATTAAGCTCAAATTGCGCCCGAATTTCAATTACCTCACGCACGAGCAGAAGCAGAAGCGCCATCCCCAAATGCAGCATCTCATCCTCCCGGCCGGCGTCGCAGCCGCGATTCATCCAGCACAAGCAAGAGGCGTTCTGGTTTTACAGGTTTCTGTCGATTGTGTACGACCACGTGATTAACCCTGGGCATTGGACCGAGGACATGCGAGACGACGCTTTAGAGCCGGCCGATTTGAACGATCGGAGGCTATCGGTGGTGGATGTCGGCGGCGGCACAGGTTTCACCACTTTGGGGATTGTCAAGCACGTGGATGCTAAGAATGTCACAATTATTGACCAGTCTCCTCACCAGCTCGCCAAGGCTAAGCAGAAGGAGCCATTGAAGGACTGCAAAATCCTCGAGGGGGATGCCGAGGACCTCCCCTTCCCTACCGATTCCTTCGATCGCTACATCTCCGCCGGCAGGTATTCATCAATTATTGAGTTGATTTGAACTTTGAAGCCTGCGTTTGGCTCAATTGTTTAAGTTCATCCCTCTTTATGTTGAACCATATTCTCTACCTGCATTGTTCCTTCAAACGTTTCTGGTGACAAATAGATCCAATTGAAGAAATCTGCTACTTCTTAACATTGTGCTGCGTTATTTTTTTGAGGAATCTTGTGAAAAAAAAAAGTTAATGTGGATCGTATTTGTGTTATTCAGCATCGAGTATTGGCCCGAACCGCAACGTGGAATCAGGGAAGCATACAGAGTTCTGCGAATTGGAGGGAAGGCTTGTGTGATCGGTCCCGTATATCCGACTTTCTGGCTGTCTCGCTTCTTTGCCGATGTATGGATGCTCTTCCCGAAGGAGGAAGAATACATTGAATGGTTTACCAAGGCAGGTTTCAAGGATGTCCAGCTGAAAAGGATCGGTCCAAAATGGTACCGTGGAGTTCGTCGTCATGGGCTGATCATGGGATGTTCTGTCACAGGTTTTAAACGCGCATCCGGAGACTCTCCGCTGCAGGTAATTTCTTTCAAATTCACCGCAAGAATTGTAGTTTTTTGCTTCGATCCTTGTTAAAACTTGACTTTGATTATCTTGCAGCTCGGGCCCAAGGCAGAGGACGTGTCCAAACCTGCGAATCCGTTTGTGTTTCTGTTCCGACTGATTCTTGGCGCGATTGCGGCGACTTACTATGTTTTGGTTCCCATTTACATGTGGCTCAAGGATCAAATCGTTCCCAAGGGTCAGCCCATATAGTCCGTCATCAAAATAATGACGATGCCTGTTGAATTTGTTTGGCTTTCTGTGCTGCCCTGAGCTGTAGTGTTCCCGGTGGCCTTTGGACAAATACATGACAGAATGGCGCATTGTAAGTTTTTTCTTAAAAGAGTCGATCGATACTTTGTTAAGGTAGTCGAGACTTGGTGAGATTGATTTCATCTATCATGTGCCCCTTTTCATGTTCTTCAATTATGTGGTTGTGTCGAGCGCGCAACAAGCCTCGTCGGTAACTTTAGGATCCTACCGTTGTTGGATTGATGCTTGCCGTATAGAAAAGGTACAATGCAACATCTCGCCTATTTACGACTTCTTTTTTTTTTTTTTTTGCGAGCTGAGTATGTTATATGATCATAGACTTGTTTCATGTTTTGATACATATACTTTCAACATGATTAGTCTCACTTACATAAATGACGACGGTGGTTACAGTGCTGATTGTGATTGTGTGCCGATAAAACTATAGACTCATAGCACATGAGGAATAGATCGACATAAAACTATATATTGACATAATGTAATGCAATTCAAATAACAATAGCCAATACTTCACGTAGTAAATACTACAATTAATTTTTCACTTCCTTTAATGGCACCTTCTCCACCATGTATAGGTCGGGGTAGAGTTAAGACTCGACTCGACCCGGACCTGAATTGGATCCGACTTATTTATTTAAGTTTGTGTCCAATTATTTAGGTCCAGATCGGGTATTGTGCATCCTAATTGGATTTAGGATCTAAGGATGGATCTATCGAGATCTTTAAGATCTCGATCAGATTTATATATATTATATCAATTATATATACCAAAAAACAATTTTAGTAATTTAAGATATTTTGTGTTTGATTTACTTATTATATTTTATTTTTTTGTAATACTTTTGATCATAAATTTTAGTATATGCTGGCATGATCTGGGTTTAGGTTCAATTTTAAGTTAAATTTTAAAAATTGTAAAAATAGTTTAGGTTTGTCGGTTTAATCGAATTTTATCGACTATAGTCTGAGTCGGGTTTAGGTATAGTCGGATTTGAATATAATTGGGTTCGGTTCGGATTTCGAGTTCGGCTGAACCTGACCCTAATTTGGTCTCTGTTCTGGGTTTTTTTTTTTAAAGATTTTTTTGTAGTTTTTCATTAAAAAGTCTTTAGCTTTATTTTCCAAATAAGTCCAAGCATCCATTCAATTAAAATGATTTATTTTATACTTCCTCAGGCTAGTTGCTTTGATTCTTTTGTGATTTCTCATGTGATAACAAACATTTTTTTCAGATATGATATAAAAAATACCTACATTTAAAAATACAAAGAAACACGATCGTTATTCTACATTATTATATTTAATATTTATTTTATATAAAATATTATATCAAATAATTATTTTTATTAATAGTAAAACAAAGAGTTTTTATAAATATTATTGAAAAAATACAATATACACATAAGATCTGATATACATGTTTTTATCAATTAACAATCGACATAAAATAATAATTTTTGTATTACAAATATAATTTTTCATTATTAATATACAAAATATATTAATCCAAAACATTTGTACAAACCCAATATAAGCACACAATTACATGCTTTAGCATTTCTAGGAAGCAATAATTAGTGCATTCCCTTTTCTTTTTTTTTTTTTTTTTTGTTTTGGTTTGTGTTTGTTTGGTTTGTGTTTGTTTGTTTTTTTTTGGTTCAATATTTAGTCATTATACAAATTTATTTCTTATTTTAAATTTTTGTCATTTTTAATGAATTAATAATAACTTCATTTAGAATGCTTCAAACTTCAACGCATAAGACCATAATCTTGGATTGACCAATGTTGATTATTTTTCCCCATTAATTTGTGGTCCAATGCTTATCTTCTGTTTAGTTTGTACTTGAATTAGATTTTTTTATTCGAGTAGTGTTTTTCTATGATATTACGTGAGAAAAATAAAAAAAAATAAATAGTTTTTATTGAAAATAATAAGGATTGAATAGTAAAAACTAAAAAAATATATCTGAAACACAAAACAAACCACTACAATTGCATAGTAACAGAATTGAACAAAATTTCAAAGGAAATTTTGCTTAGTTTAACATCTTAATTTAAATCATTATGTAATAATAATAATAATAATAATAATAATAATAATAATAATAATGCATGTGTGTGTTATTATTATTATTATTCCATTTATATTTATTTTTGTGTGTTATTTTAAGCCAGAAATAAGTGTTAGAAGGAACATGTAACATATTTAACAATAAAAATTGTGAGAGATAAATAAAGTGAGTATTATTATTATTATTATTATTATTATTATTATTATTATTTTATTCATTATTATTTTTATTTTTATTTTTTCAAATTCTGTTATTAAAATGTGCAAGTAAGATACAAATAAAAAATAATATTAGGTTCGGCCAAGACTCTACTCACTGCACACTATTGGGTATTGTCTATTCAACGTCATTAAAAAAAAAAAAAAAAAAAGAAAAAAAAAAAAAAAAGAAAAAAAAGGGTACAACATCGTGAATCTTGAAATTGGAGTCAAGTCTTTGTTAGTTAATGCATGGAGAAAATTTTGAACCATAGGGAGTGTTTGACCGTGTTTCTGTATATTTTCAACCCTATTAATTTAGAATGGCTTATTTTCTTATATTTATTTTTTTAATATAATATTTATATAGATGTTTATTTTTATTTAAGATATTACGCTAAATATTTAAGTATATCATTATTGAAATTTTATTATTTTCAAAACAAAATAATACTTTATCCGTCCCAAAAATAATTATTCATTTATTTTTTGCAAGTAATTTTAGAAATATTAGTATTATATTAGGATATAGTAGGAATAAAGTAGAAATGACTAAAATAACCTTATCAGTATGTGTGATATAAAAGTAATGACATTTATGTAATATATTGTAAGTTGTAAGGGTATTTGTAATGTTAAGTAGATAGTACAATTACTAAAAAAGGAAAATGAATACTTTGTTATGGGACGGACTAAAATGGAAAAATAAATATTTTGTTATGGAACGGAGGGAGTATTCTTCTTTAGTTTAATTTAGTGTTTTTTTGTTATGTGCACCAAGTTAAATACAAACAAAAGAAATACTAGTATAAAAAAAAATGATATAATTGCGGGATTATGTGCAAGGTTTATTTTAACTCGGTAAGAAAAACGTAATTTTCTAATCGCACGAGTTTTTGTGCAAGTTTCAAAAATTTTAAGTAAATTTTATGATATTTTACCAAAAAAATTAATTAAATACAAAAACAATTTTCTAAGACCAAACAACTTCAACTTCTCTAACTGTACAACAAAATATGTTTTTATTTTATTTTATTTCAAAATTTAATTTTATTCATATCTATCAAATCAAACTTCACTTTCAATTATTACTCATAATTTTATTTTTTTTTAATGATATTTAGATATCAACTCATTCAAGATATTAATTCTCCTAATGAAATCATAAAATTTTCAAACATAATAATTACAAATCCAAACTCTCAACAACATGGATTTGCATTTGATTTTGAAAAGATTTTGTTTAAGTTTTATATCTAAATAATATTTTCATGGGATGTCTAATAAGAAGAGAAAATATTTAAATTAAAATTTAAAATCAAAATACACATAATGTGCTTGTTTAGGTATTTTTGTTATAAAATATGAGGAATTGTAAAAATATTATAGATAATGATATTGATGTATTTTTATTGATTTTTATTGTTATGTGTATATATTGAATGTGTTTACTCGATAATTTTTTGAGAATTTAGTATATATTTATTGTTAGTATTCACCCAAAAAATACAAAAGTATACACATTCATTATATATCATACTTTTTTCATTTCAATTCAATAATTATGTTTTACTATTTTTATTTGTTTCAAAATAATAATTTTATTTTCATATATAATCGTATCATCACAAAATTAAATTTACTCTTTCATTATTATTATTATACAAACAATACTGCTTTTTACACTGACGTATTCACAAGGACAATTTATTTATTTTTTTTTTTACACATACTTTCTACAAATTAAACTACAAATATAATATCAATATTTTTGAATTTTTGTATCCAAAACAAATAAAATTATTTTTGAGAGAGGGAGATTATTCTATTTTTTGATATATTTTAAAAAAGATTATGTATAATTAGAATACTAATTGAACACACTCAAAATTAAACTTCAAGAGACTTTATATATATATTCCTTTAGAAATGAGTCAGAACAATATGAGAAAATTATTTCATATTACCAATTATAATTTCAAATTAGATCCTTAAGTTGTTCCACATAAATAATACTCTCATTTAACAATCTATCCATTTTTTCATTTTGGTCCGTCCCATAATAAAATATCTAATTTTTTTTAGTAACAGTACTATATATCTAACATTACAAATACCATTTCAATTTACAATATATTACACAAATGTCATTACTTTTATATCATACAATACTGATAGGGTTAATTTAGTCTTTTTACTTTTATTTCTATTTTATCCCAATATAATATTAATATTTCTAAAATTCTGTGCAAAAAACAAATGCATATATAGATATGAGACGGAGGGAGTACTATATTGAGAGTTCTCCAGGTAAATGACAATTTTTATTTTTATCATCAATTAATTTTGAGACGAAGTCCAATTTTATTTATTATTATTATTATTTTTTAGCATAGTATCATATTTATGATGTCACAAATTAGATATGAATTCTAATTTATAATTAATTGATTTTAAAATGATCTCAGAACGAAATATCACATAAATACATATTTGTATTAGATCAAATAATCAACATATTTGTATTGAATCAAACAATCATTTTAATTCCTAATTTAATGTTAATAACCAAAACTTAAAAGCAAAACCCAAAAAAAGAAAACACAAAATACATTTTCATTATTTTATTTTATTTTTCAATTAAGCTTAAGCTGAATAAATAAATAAATAAATAAGTACACTACACTGGTTAATAAAATTGGTTTGTGTATGGGAACACAATGAGCCCTCAGTTCACCTGAATTGAATTCTTGAAAAAATTCCTACATTTCAGCTTTGGACTTATCTGAAGATTTTGCATAAATTATTCTCATATTTCTAGTTCTTTCAACACCACATCAATATGTGTTTAGACTGACATTTTCAGAGGTTTTTTTTTTTTTTTTTTAAATATTAAATTGAATATTTGATATGTTTGTTTTTGTAAAAAAAAAATAATAATAATAATAAAGAAATTATGAATAATTATGATTAATGTTAACAAATTTAAAATATGTACGCCAATAGACTTTAAAATTATGTTTAAATAGAAATTTTGAAAATGTTTGAGTTCTAAAAAGTTTTAAATAGTTTAAAATTGTGATTCGATATAAAAAAGAAAATCATATATTAATATCAAAATATTTTAACTTTTTCATAAATTACACATACCATTACACGTATACAAATACAAAAAATAAAAATATCAAACTCATTTACATATTTTTATTAATTAATAAAATATTATTATTTTTTAATTTATTATAAATCTAAATATAGATTTTAGTCGAAAGAAGTAATTGATAGTATTTTATAAGAGAATTTCAAAAACCAAGAATTTTAAATAATAAAAAATTATACAAAATAGAACAACAGAAAAAAAAAAAAAAAACACACCTTAAATTCTTGCACAAAAGTAATATTTCATCCTATTATTTTTAAAGTTTACATATTTTTATTTTTATCCGTCTATTTCAAATATATACTTCAATTTCTATTGTCCTAAAGTATATTTGCATGATTTTTTAGGTGATTGTCCTTTTGTTATGAATGGACAAATTTGTCCATAATTGTATGGTAGAAATTAAAAGTAATAAACGAATGAAGGATAAAAATGTAAAATTTGTGTTTAAAAAAAGAAAGAGGACAATAGTTATTGGACGTTCCAAATAGAAAAATAGGACATTAGTTTGTGGACGACGGAGGGAGTATATTTTAATAACTATAATACACCACAAATTACATGTTCATACTTTTACATTTCTTTACCATTATACTCTTTTCGTTCCATATTTATATATCTATTTATTTTTTTCGCAGAGTTTTAGAAATATTAATATTATATTGGGATAAAATAGGAAAAAAATATAAAAAGACTAAATTACCCTGTTAGTATTGTATGATATAAAGGTAATGACATTTGGTAATATATTGTAAATTGAAAGGATATTTATAATGTTAAGTAAATATTAAAATTACTTAAAAAAAATTAATACTTTGTTATAGGACGAACCAAAATAAAAAAATGGATATATTGTTAAAGGGACAGAAAGAGTATTATTAGTATTACTACTCTATTATTTTTAGTAAAAGAAAAATTGTTTGTAAGCAAAAAAGAAAAAAATAAAATGATCATGTTATAAGCGAAGAAAGATAATAATAGTGTATTTGTTTTATAAAATATATTTAAAAAATAAATTTTTTATATGAATTATAGAGAATTATATAAAAAATATAAAAATAATAAAGATATATAATATATAATTATTTTAAAAAAATATATTGATTTTTTTTTTAAAAAAAGACACCTTAAATATAAAAATAAAATAAATAACAAAAATACTGTTCTAGCAAAGCGTGTGCACTCACCGCCGCATGGGGGAAAAGCGTTGTTTAAACTTTAAAATGTAAAAAACACGACTTTTAAATTTCTCACAGAGCGTGTGCGTGGAGAAAGCGCCAGTGAGTAAACTGCGACTTCTAAAAAGTGCTACTCTAGAACAAATTTAGAAAACGCGACTTTGAGAAAACGTCAGAAAGGGTGAAAAGGCAGAAAGGTGAGCCGTGAGCAGAATAGAAGTCGTCGTAGGGACGACTTTTGTGAGAGCTCTGTGTTCTTCTGAGGCAATAAAGAAGTATTATTTGGGGATGAATCGTGGAGATGTCTGTTCAAATCAACCGTTGATTTTGGACGCATTGTTGAACATCGTTCGATCTCTCTCTCATGGAGGAAATATTCAATCTTGAATGTTGAATGGTTTTTTCTTCCCCAGCATGTTTGACTTGGGCATTATTTATTTTTTGATTTTTTGGGGATTGATAAAAGGGCAAATTTGTTCCCCTTTATATAAACTCCAATTCTACACAGAATCACTTCATCGTTCGCTTGTTCGTTCAGCTTTTTGTTTTACTCTCCTCTTTCAATTTCGATTCTGTGTTTGCGTTTTTGTTTGGAAATGGCGGATTCATTGACGGAGGATCAGATTGCTCAGTTCCGGGAAGCATTTTGCCTGATCGACAAGGATTCCGATGGTATTCATTTTTTTTTTTTTTGGCGAATTTGTGTATGGAATTAAATGTAATTTAAGTGATGAATTGTGTGTAGGTGTGATTACTGTGGACGAATTGGCGTCGGTGATTCATTCTCTGAACGAACATCCAACGAAGGAGGAGATTCAGGAAATGATGAATGAGGTAGATGCTGATGGCGATGGCACTGTCGATTTTGAGGAGTTTCTCACCATAATGGCCAGGAAGATGAAGGTAACTAACTAACTAATTAAAAAAATATATCCAATTCTAATTCTGATTCTGATACTCGCCATTGTTGATGAATTGGTTGTGCAGGAGAATCTTGCAGAAGAGCTTAAAGAGGCCTTCAAGGTTTTCGATAGAGATCAAGACGGATTCATATCTGCCTTTGAGGTCTGAACTCATAATCCATCAATCAATTACCTAATTCGATCTTTTTCAGAATTCGTTAATTTTTGCAAACTTGCAGCTGAGGAATGTGATGATCAATTTGGGGGAAAGACTGAGCGACGAAGAAGCTGAGCAGATGATCAGAGAAGCGGACATGGATGGCGATGGACTTGTTAGCTACGAAGAATTTGTGAGGATGATGATGACTATGTCTTCTTCAACTTCATCTTCCCATTAATAAATAAATAAATATACAAAAACATCAAGATTGAGGTTTTTAAAATTAATTAATTAATTGTGTAAAACTGATGAAAGCCCTGTAATGTCATGTTATGTATTATTGGATCTTTTAACCATTTTTGAATTATTAATGTTATTGAATGCAGAGGGCCCAATAATATTTTTGCAGAAAAAGCGTGTTTCGTTTAACGGTTTTTGTTTAAAACGTAGAAAAGGGAACAACAACTTTAGTTTAATTAAGCAGCGCCTTAAAGGCCCAAAAAGGGATAAAGCGTGTTTTCAGTTTAACCACGTTTTTAATTTTTAAAATAAGCGAAGCACGCTTTTAGTTTTATAAGGCAACGCCAACAGGAGACTGGACGGGGATAAGTGATAACCGTCCGCCGTTGTAATGGGAAGTCCGCCACCGCCGGCGCCGCCACGTGGAAGCTCCGACGACTACTCGGCTGAGGCAACGTTGATTCACTTCCAGCGTCCACTTCCTCTTTTACGCGGTTCGATCGAAGCCAGTCCGTCGGACGATCCTTCTGCTGGACCGTATCTTCTCGCTTTCAGAAGCCCGCGCGCCTGGGCTGCAGCGTACGAGAACAGCAAGTCGAATATCATCTCACAGTGCGAATCCGGGGCACGAATCGGGTGCTCGATTTCGGCTTCCAGCAAATGCAAACCTCCTTGGTGGAAGACTCTGTTGGGAATATCTTCAGAACAGGATTTTAAGGAGAGAGCGAGGTGCGAAGAAATTGAAATGGAAGCTTGCTTCGCCGCGGCGAAGGAAAAGTGCGTCGTCTTCGCGGAGGAGAAGTGCTTGCCGGCGTTTAAGCATGCGAGGGTTAAAGTGAGCAGTGGTTTGAGATTGAAAGCATTGGATTCGAGAGAAGGTATTGAATTGATTTCTAGGGTTTGTTTTCCCCATTGGAAGGTCTATGAGATTGGGATTTTGGGAAATGATAAATTTAGGAGTGGCTATGTTAGGGGAAGCGATCTTTTGGATTCTGGTAATATGAACATCAAGGATTATTTGAAGTAGAGCAGTTGAAATTCGAATATCTGATTGAATTTGAAGCAGATCAATCTTGTTTGAGAATTGTGGAGTTTTGGAGCAGTTCTTGAGCATTGGGCAGCAATTCAAGATGTGAGCATTGTTTATCCTCTTTTAATGCTTCAAGTTTTGTTCAAGAACTATCTTTCATTTGATATGAACATTGTTTTTGTACAATTAAGGTTTCTAAATGCTACGATGTCGAAGATTTAGTATGCTTGCATTTGAAGTCTATATTGAGCAGAGTACCCCGTGTGCACTTAAATTTTGTATTCAATCATTTGTACATTGACAAATAAAAGCAAATTTAAAAGAAAAAGCAGTAAGAAGAAAGTGAAATATAGTATAAGTTCGAAGACATGAGAAGTGTGGAAAGACACAAAAGAAAACGAAATCAGAATATTAGATGGGAGAGAAGAGATCCCGAGAATGGGTTACATGTGTGTTTTGAAGATTAGAGAAAAGTGGGGGGATAAACAAACTAAACTACTTTGATAGACAAATTCGAGCAGACCAAAGTTAGTGTTTTTAAATGATAACGGCCTATTTGCATGTGGTTCGTAGCCTTGTTCATATGCTTGTTAACGTGCTGCAAAGTTTGATTTGTAGAGCTTAGACATAATATTGATTCGACTCCACATTGAATATATCTAGGCTGTTCTTAACCTATAGCGTTGTGTCATTCAATGTTGATTTATATATGCATTAGTAGGTGTTCTCTAGCTATTTCTCTTAAGGGCACTTTTTGTCTTGATAAAGTGCATTTCATGCTTGCATTTTTTAAGACACAGCTCGATATTGAAAACCTTTCTAAAACAACTGCATTCTACCATACAGTTTTTGAGCTTCTGTTCCTTCTTGTCTTTGCACGGAGAGAAGCAGCATGGTATGATTTGAGCTTTTGGTCAAATTTATATTTTAGGTGCATCTGGATTTCACTTAGGATGAAACTAGCTTTTGAATGGTGACCAAAGTTTTTGAAAGAAACCTCTACAATACCCTTCTCCACTTAGGTTCAAAGATTGAAAGTTATTGGTTAAAATTTCTTGTCAGTTGTCACCCCACAGAGGAATTCTAATTATGCCTCAAGAGTCTGAAACTCTTAAATCGTTGTTTGGAACAACACCTTAAGGTCTTTAAAAGAACTCACATTTTTAAGATAAAAAGTTGGAAATACGTCCATATTTTTGCTTTGTTGATATGTAAGTTTCCCTTAATTTTAATGAACTTGAACCCTCTCGACCATGTTATAAATTCGGGAGGTCTGGTTCAACATGGAACCCTTGTGAATCTCCACACTTCTGTTGTCAATTGGTTCAATTATTGATGTGAAGATTGATATGAGCAGTAATTGTTTCACTTGTCATCAATTTTCGTCCAACTACCAAATATGTGAAGTTGCTTACATTTCATCTGCAGGACATGTTGATAAGATCGATTTGCTCGTTATGTTGGTTGAACTTTACAGATATTGGGGCCAAAGTGATTCCACACCAGTCGATGAGATAATTGGTGTTTTTACTGATCAGAAGGAAACGTCTGGAGGTAAAACGATCTTCTGTTTGTCTTCTATTTAAATAAAAACTGTACAAGAACAACGAAAACCAAATTTTTTTTCGCAATTTCATATACTGTTGGAATGAGAAGGCAAAGTGTACCAAGAAATGGCTCAAAGTTAGTATGATTCTGTTACAAAATTTGCCCTGTTTCTAGTCAAGCTTTCTGATTCAGATCTTATTTGAACAAGTTTGTTTTTGCTGCCACCTCTCCTTTTCGTATATTTCTTAAAGGAAACGCTCGAGGCTTAATTTGGGGACAGATGTTAATGTTATCAATAATCAATGATGTCTGCTAATTAGTAAATGCTGATGCTATTGACTTGTGAAAATACATCAAAATGAATATGTATATTATTTCCATTCTATTTACAATATTGATTGATCGAAGTTTTGAACAGGTAAACTCGGCGGTAGACCATTTCAAAATATTGCAAATGATTTTCCTTTAGAGGATGAAGCAATTGGATTCGATTCATTCATTCTTCGGAAAAGACAAGCCCGGTATTGTTTTTCCTATTCCTGTGCTATCATTATATATTTACTTATGTGTGTTTGGATAAAGTGCTTTAGAATTTTGAGGTAGTTTAGTGATAATAAAAACTTGAATAGAAATAGGTGTATAATATGTTTCGAATAAAGAATAGATTTTTGATGTAATAGTTTAACTTACACGTAGGTTTCTGGATGTAATGATTTTTAGAGAGAAATTTTAATGAATAGTCCGAAAACTTTGAAACTTGCACAAGCATGTCTAGACTATGCCTTTTACATTCCTCCAATCTTCATTCGCACACACACACGACTATGAGTTGAGTTGAGTTGAGTAGAGTAGAATCGATGTTCGAACACCCTACCCTACCCTACCCTACCATATCCTATCCGGGTGGGGTTGGTATTATAGAGAAAAAGAAAGCATTGAAAGCTTAGCAATTGAATGCTATGTAAATAAGTGTGACTGAGTGTTGGACTTGCTGCATTTTTGTCAAATGAAAACGAGAAAGCAACCGCAGCAGCAGCATTGTTTGAAACTTGAATGTTGGGCTCACTTATAGTATATGATAAATGATGTATATGCTTATATTATATGTTGATACCAACCACCCACCCAACCAACCAACCAACCAAAATAGATACAATGGAACATGTAATACTGTAAAAGATGACCTGATGGTGGTGTGTGAATTTTATGACCGTAAAATCATGGGTTGAAACTCTCGACCCTCTAGGGTGGGGAGTTTCTAAAACAAATTCTCATGTTATATTAAAGAAAGTATTATACTCTCAATCCCTTAATTAACTATCCATTTTTCTATTTTGCTATGTAAGTATCTATTTATACTCGAGCATGACAGGGAGAGTGATCACACGAGGTGGCCGCGCTGCGCAACTCATTCTTGCTGTCAGGATCGAAAGTGGTCGACGGGTACTCGACAATGATCGTCACCTCCGTCAGGATGAACAAGGAGCGGGGCGAGATGATGAGCTCGATCACACGGGATTCGAACGAGCAGACACCGCTGCAGGAGCGTCTTGACAAGTTGACGTCGTCGATCGGGAAAGTAGGCCTCGCCGTGGCTTCGTTCGTGCTCGTCGTAATGCTGTTTCGATACTTCACAGGGAACACCGAAGACGGGCGTGGGAATCGAGAGACTTGAATGACATTTTTAACTCGGTGTTGAGGATTGTCGCCGCTGCTGTAACGATCGTTGTCGTCGCCATCCCCGAAGGCCTCCCGTTGGCTGTAACGCTCACGCTCGCCTACTTGATGAAACAGATGATGGCCGATCAGGCGATGGTGAGGAAGCTTTCGGCCTGCGAAACTATGGGGTCGGCGACGGTAATCTTCTCCAGCAAAACCGGCACTCTGATGGAGAATCGGATGAAGGTGACGAGGTTTTGCATCGGCAACAATGAGATCAATCGAGATACTCGCCGGGTCATCGATAAATATCTCGAAGAATAGTTTCACCAAGGAGTTGCTTTCAACACTTCCGGAAGCATCTACCAGCCGAAATCCGGTGGTCTAGTCGAGTACTCGGGGAGTCCGACCGAGAAGGCGATCCTCTCGTGGGCTTTCGACGATTTGGCAATCGACATCGATAAGTCGAAGCAAGATTACACCGTCGTTCGCGTCGAAACTTTCAGTTCGGAGAAGAAACGATGTGGAGTTCTGATTCGACACAATATCGAAAATGCTATTTACACTCACTGAAAAGGCAACGCCGAGATGGTGCTAAAGCGCATGAGCCCCAAAAACGGTCGCGATTTGACCGGATCATCAAAGGAATGGCGGCAAGCAGTCTCCGGTGCATTGCGTTCGCTTGCGCGAGAACGAATCCTCAGATCGTTCCCGAGCAAGACTTGACGTTGCTCGGGATCGTCGGGATGAATCTTGCAGAGTCGCCGGCTTAGACATTAAAATGATCACCGGCAACAACATATTCATGGCGAAGGCCATGGCGACAGAGTGCGGGATTCTCGATAACGATCGATGATCCCAGGAAGTGATCGACGGCGCAAGTTTCGAAACTACACGCACAAGCAACGGCTACGCTGCGTCGATGCGATCCGCATCGTGGCGCCGAGTTTCGGATAAGCTTCTATTGGTCCAATGCCTGAAGGAAAAAGGGCATGTCGTTGCCATCACCGGAGATGGGACGAACGATATGGTGGCATTGAGAGAAGCCGACGTCGGACTGTCGATGGGAACGAACAGCAACGACGTCGCGAAGGAGAGCTCTGACTTCTCAATACTTGATGATTTTACGTCGGCCGCCACCATTCTCCGGTGGGGGCGATGCGTGTACAACAACATCCAGAAGTTCATCCAATTCCAGCTGACGGTGAACGCGGCGGCACTTGCAGGCGACGTCCCGCTGACAGCGGTGCAGCTGCTATGGGTGAATCCGATAATGGACACACTGGCGACGGAGCGACGAGCTGATGAAGGAACCTCCGGTGAGGCGGATGGCGATTTTTGGCGTCGGCGAATCGAGGAAGAAGACGATTGTATTTAACACGTTTGTTTTGTGTCAGGTGTTCAATGAGTTAAATTCGAGGAGTTTGGAGAAGAAGAATGTATTGGAAGGGATTGGGAAGAACAGATTGTTTATGGCGATAATCATCGGAATCACGGTGGCGCTGCAGGTGGTGATGGTGGAATATTAATATTTGGGTAAGTTTGCGGACATGGTGCGTGGGGCTTACGGTGACGTGGCCGATTAGGTTTGTAGTTAACCTTGTGCAGGTTTGGAAGACGCCGTTCGTCAATTGCTTGATAATAAATAATAGGTCGAGAGCTGGTTAGCAGTTTTGTTTTTTTAATTGGAGAACAATATTAATATTAATAAACTATTTAAATTTTAAATTTTTACTGCTTAATTTCAAATCAAAATTCAAACTTCCAAACACACCTATAATACACATTCTTTTTTTACAAAACATGCGTGTTATCTATACATTCTATAATGTGTTATCTGCACCTTCAAATATATATATATACTCATTTGACTATATTGTTCCGTAAAAAAGTTACTTTTACTTTAAATTATACTCTCTCCTCCATAAATATAATATTAATTTGGATAAAATTAATGGATAAAAAAAAAATTATCCTTAGTGTATTAATATAAAAAATAGTGTGACGATTATGTAATAAAATAAAAAAATAAAAATAATTTTAAGATAATATAATTATTTATAAAAATAAAATTATTATTTTGAAATAAACAAAAACTATTATATTGAGACAGAAGGAGTATACAATTAATATAATATTGTTATTAAAATTTGTGTGAATACAAATGTGCACTTATATATATATATATATTTAAAAGTGCAGATAACAAATTATATATAATTATTAATTTTTACATTCATATATCAAATAAATGAATCTTTACATGACATCAAATAATTATATATTTATATTCAAAATTTAAAATATTACCCTACAAACAAGCACACAATAATATATTTTGTTATCTTCATTCATCTAAACACGAATCCCCCCTGTGGAGTGTGCCAAAAAATTAAAATTGCAATTCAATTTAGTGTCAAAGTAACACCGTAACTGAAAATGTCCACAAATACAATGGCTAAGATTAGACCATCTCCAGCCATTCATTTCATTTTTGCACTTAGATTTAAGTAATTTTACTCCAACCAACTCTAAAATATATATATATATATTATTTTATGTAACTTTTCATATTTATAAATTACACTTTAACTTTAATTTATTTTTATATTAGATCTATACACATATAATTTATATTTTATTTAAAAATTATATATATAAAAATTAATATTTATAATTAATAATTCTTACAAATAAAGTTGAAAAATAAAAATTATGCCGTGAGTTGGAGATGATGTCATCGTATAAACATTATAACAACAAAAAAACTATTGGGGGTTATTACTTTGGATAGAATTTGAAAATTTGTGGTTTATATTTAATATTAAAATACTATATAATGAAATATTATGTAAAAATAAAAAATTATTTATTTTATTAAAAAAAATTCTTTTTCCACCAAATTCAAGTCGACGATGACGATAAAACTGCAAATATATTTTAATTTGATGCTAAAATAAGGCTTGACTTGACTATACTATTTATGAAAATTCTGTTCATTTTACTCAAATGCCTGTTATTTTTATGAAATCTTCGGGAGTAGGCAAAATGTATGGACAGATAGCTGTGTGTGTTACAGGTTGTGAAACAAGTGGAATATTATCATCTACATTTGTAGCAGACACAACAGAATCAAACCCAATCTATATTCCTATCTTTGACCTACATAATATTATATGGATCTTGTGGAAATATTTCTTAATTTCGAAAAAATAAATGTAACAGTAATCACAACAATATATTCAAAATTAATGATAATTTACCTTAAATTTGAAATTCTGCACCGTACAATATAATTTGTAGGAGATTTTCCTCATATTTTAAAAATAATACATGTAATTCTCTAAAATAAAAAATAAAAAAAAAAGCAATATTTTTTAAAATATAAAAAAATTTCAATTTTCATGCGAGAAAATAATGCAAAATTTTCAAACACCAGCTGAGTTATATGTACTTTTTGCCTAATAATAAATACATTTACCCTTTTAACTTAATTGATAAAACCACAGGCTAGATTGGTAAATCATTAACAAAGAGATAATAACATGATTGAAACTTTAAACCTGATATGATGATTTCAGACTGAATAGTGATTGATTTCTGTCTCTGATAGTCCCAAGCCCCAATACCTAACATAACATATAATCACTTTTCAGGACCTGAAATTGTGAGCATGCACAGGAAAAAGAAACAAATAATGGAGGATAAAAAGTACACAGAAATATATGATTAGGAAAGCTGCTGCAGGAAAGAATGTATGATATTAATTTAACACTTAAATAAATTCACATATATATATATAGGTGAAGAATCCTCTGTTTATAAGACATAATCAAAAAATTACTGTAGCTTCCCCACCTTTTAGCTTGATAACAAAAATAGGGTTTTTTCTCAAATCCAGAACCTGTCATCAAAGTAAGGCAGTAGGCAATGGAGAAGAGCCTTGAGAATAATGAAAACCCACAAAGAAAAAGTTAAATTTGAGAAGACTAAAAATTATATATATATATTGTGTGTGTTATACAAAGAACATTAAAATTTTGTTGAAGAGAAGAAACCACATCTGGAGACGGCATGGAAATGGTGTGTGTATGAATGTCTGCCTTTAGGTCCCCACAGTGGAAGAAGTGATGCTGTCAGAGCATGACCTATCTCGAAAATTACACACAATCAGTTCTTATTACACAGGTAAGGATTCAAGATAGATCATGCTGGCAGCTTCACTTGTTCCCCAGGAGACATGAATACATATCTTCCCCAATCTATTTGATTCTTCAGACAGTGTTACCATCTCTACAAACCCTAATCACCAAGGATGCAAATATATACAATTGTACATATCAGATATATAGAGAAATTAATGCATCCTTAGATTTACTCTGGATGGAGAAACTAAACAGGATTCTCTTAGAAGTAAAATAGAGTAATACAGCTCTGAGAATTTAGTGTGGGTGGGGTATGGGTTGGAGGTTATTTATAGGAGAGGGATATGAATTGGGGGGTGGGGAGGGGAGTGGGAGGACAAGCTCACATTACACAACAGTGAAATTAATTAGGACAGGGCTGTGAGGGTCATGTGGGCAGCTAAGATACAGATAATAATAGAAGACAAGAGTTGAGAGAGAGAGATTCACAGCTATGGAGGATAGGTCTGCAGGTTAGATATCCAGATCCATATCAATTACTATGATCTTCCACAAGCACACACTACTCTTACTACCCACCCCACCTCAACAAAGTAAGTATATATTCATATTCCTGTATATATATATATATATGGTGTCTACAGTTTGCTAATCATCAGGGCAGCAGTAGGGTTTTCTTTTGTCTTTATACTGTTTATTGACAACAAAATCACTGTGCCTGTGTGTGGAAGAGCATCAGGGGCTAGTTCAATTATTGGGTTCCAAAGCAAAGAGCAATGTAGTAATAGTAGAAACAGGCAAAAGATTAAATTAAAAATGAAGTTGATTAGAGAGAAACCAGAGACAAATTAACACATGTAGTATATTATATGACTAGTACCTTCTTTAATCAATCCTATCAAATTCAAATCAATGCTTTATGAGCCATGTCCATGAATGCTAATCATAGACTTCGTTGACAGGCTTTGAATCAATTGTTACAAATAGTTGAAAATGCAGAGCCATTGATAATTTGATATGAGAAAATATGTTATAAGACCAGAATGAAAATCAAGTAACAAAAATGAAGGTGAAGGAAAAGAACTGTCAGCTGCATAAATACTGTGTAATAAGTGATAGGAAAGAGTGTAATGTATGTGAAGCGTGGTCAAATGAGAATCAGACCTGTTAAAAAGATATAGTTAAGAAACAAAGATAGGATAAGAGATTCAGAAACCTAGACATCATCATCAGGGGAGTAGCAGTAGCAATAGCAATAGCAGCAGATAGGTAGAGTGGTCCTCTCTCTCTCTCTTTCACTCTCTCTCTGCACTTAACAAATTAAGTGGCCTAAACTGAAGCATTTATAGACTAGCTGGTAATGTATGTAGCAGCAGATGAAAGAGAAACCTTTGCTTTTCTCTTGGTATGCTAACAAGTAATAATGATACAGCAGCACCTATGTAAAAACTCAATTGGGATTTCGGGCCAGAAGCAGCAACAGCAGCAGCAGAGCAGAAAGAGCCAATGTACCAAAGTTCACAGTAGAAAATTGGCTCGTCAAATCAATTTGATTTGTTCTGCTGCTGCTGCTGTTGTTTCTGCATTTCCCATTTACTTTTTAGGCAGGCATTTGCTTTGCCAGCTAGCAGCAGTCCTGGATCACACACTAATCAAGCATTCACGATCCTACTACATACACAGCCAAGAATTACTAATGCTTGTGTTGTTGTGTAACGTGTGTTCACAAATTAAATAAACATGTTGATGCTTGATGCTATTGTTAAGCCTACCAAATACTAACAAACACTTCATCATCAAAGTCCTTCAACAACAATGGAATAATGCCTTTTTGTGTCATCCCTATGCACAGATGCTTCATCCATAAACTTCTAACAGGTGCTGTACTATAATAGAGTTTGGGATTAAAGTAATGAAACTCCAAGGTATTTTGTATTTTTCATACCTCTTCCATTGAAATTTCTCAAACAATCTTTGACCCATATTCTTGCATCTCAACATGAAGTGAAGTCAAGTGAGTAACAAAAGCAAGGAATTTTAAGAATGTAAGACAAAAGAAGGAATATTCATATTATGTCCACCAATTTCCTTACACAGTTTAGTTCATCACTCACCAAAAATCTCCACAGGAGCAAACACCATCTCTAAAATGATGAAATCTGTTGGCATCTCTAACAATGACTTCCCTATCAAAAACCTTGGAAAACAGCTTTGTGAATGCATGGCAATCGCCGCATACTCTTAAGTTCTTCGCAATGCGAATCGGCATTCTTGGAGAAGTATTAATTAGACCATAGGCCAAAGCAAGCCTTTCACTATGGCCATGAAGCATCTCAACTTTCTCTGCCTCCTCCACATTATGTAACACAAAAATAGTTTGAGCTTTATAACCTCCAACTTGGCCTAATTTCTTGGTAATATAATTGAGTTCTTCGTATATTTCACCGCGCCGTGGATGAGACCTATCTTGTGTTGTAAATGTATGCACCTCATTCCCAACTTCAATCCAACTACAGCCAGGATCCTTTCTCAATCCCTTAACTCTCATCATCACCCTTACTTTTTCGGCATCTTCCCATCGCTCTGCTGCGGCGTATAAGTTGGAAATGAGCACATAGTTTCCTGGATTCTCAGGTTCCATTTCAAGGAGTTTTCTTGCAGCCACTTCTCCTATTTCCATGTTAGAGTGAGTTCTACAAGCACCGAGGAGAGCACACCACACAGCCGGTGTAGGTTCCTCCATTGCTTCAACAAGCTCAAACGCTTCTTCTAAACAATTTGCACGGCTTAGAAGATCGACCAAACAAGCATAGTGCTCCGGCCATGGTTCCAAGTTGTATCTACATTGCATAGCATAAAAATATCTCTTGCCTTCTTCAACCAATGCTGAATGGCTGCATGCGTAGAGAAGTGCCAAGAACGTAATGTGATCCGGAACGAGATTCTCATTCTCCATTTCTCTAAACAATTTAATCGCCATTGTCCCGTGTCCATGCATTCCATAGGCATCAATCATACTCGTCCATAGAACTAAATCTCTATCTTTGGTGTAACTAAATACTTTGTAGGAGTCATCAACAGCTCCGCAGCTTGCATACATATCGACGAGCGAGCTTGCGATAAATTTTTCTAAATGAAAACACCTTCTAACCAGAAAACCATGGACCTCTTTACCTTTCCTTAGAGCAGATAAATTTGCAGCAGCTGATATAATGCTCAAGACTGCGACGGCGTCGAATTCAACACCCGATCTAGCCATAAGAAAGCAAAGTCTGAGAGCCTCATCTGCAAGACCATTGTGGACATAGCAAGCTATTATGCTCGTCCAGGATACGACACTTTTAAGATCAATTAGCTCGAAGACATGTCTTGCATAGTTCACTTCTCTGCATTCTCCATATACATTTACGAAAGTGTTCAGCAGGGCAACATCAGATAATTGCCTTCTCACTATGTAACCATGGATCTCCTTAGCTATTAAACTGCATTTCAGCCCATGACAAGCAAGGAGTACACTTTGAATCATCATTACATCGATGTCGAGCCCTTTCGCTTGCGCCTCCCTAAACGTTTCCAAGGCCTTCACATAAGAATATTTCGATACATAGCCAGCTATGACCGTTGCCCAGGAGATGAAATCCTTTTCTGGCATTCTTCTGAATGCAGATTCCATCAAAATTGGCTTGGAACACTTCCCATACATGTCGACAATTGTGTTTCCCACTTGAAGATCCAACTCCATACCATTTTTCACAGCGAAGGCATGAATCTCCATTCCATTCTGAAGATTTCCTGATCTGCCACAGGCTAGAAGAGCAGTAATAACCGAGACATTGTCGGGTTGCTGACCAGATATTGTCATCCCACGAAAGAAATCAAGCGCGTCGTGGTAAAGGCCATTCTGCACATAAGCATCAAGCATGGAATTCCAAGAAATACCATCCCTATCACCAATATCGTCAAAAACTCTTGCAGCTTCATCAATCCTGCCGCATTTTGCATACAAAACAACGAAAGCATTCGCTACATATCTATCGAAACTGAGGCCATATTTCAAAATAAGAGCATGGACTTGCCTTCCATACCACAGCCTCTCAGCCTCACAGGCTTGAAGAGCAGCAACAAAAGTATACGTCGTCGGTACGACGCCATTGTTCTGCACATCTACTAAAACATTCATCGCCTCTTTGCTCATCCCATTGCTAGCATACATGGAGATCATCAAATTAAACAACACCACATCTCCTTTCCCACTCCCATCGAACAACAATTCCGCAGCATATATACTATGGCACCTGGCATACATATTAACAAGGGTATTTACAACAACCTCATTGCAAACAAGACCGAGTTTTACTGCATACCCATGAATCTCTGATCCACACGACATATCTTGAACTTCAGCGCATGCCTTCAGCACGCAACTACAAGTATGAGCATCGACAGGAAAATCCGAGGACCGCATATCTGAATACAACTCAATAGCTTTGCCAGGCATCTCGTTCGAAATATATGAGCCAAGCATAGCATTGTAAGTGAAAATAGTCTTCACAGGCATTTCATCAAACAGCTTCTCGGCATGAAACAGTGACCCGCATTTTCCATACATGTAGAGAAGTTTAGTACCCAGGAACGCCAAATCACACGCCCTACTGTTCTTTACTATGCGGCCATGAATCTCCTTACCGAGGGATAGGGAATTGTGAGCAGCACAATGATCAAGAGCCAACGAATAGACGTAATCTAAGGACCTGTCACCTGTGCTGCTGAAGGAGCTTGATTTATTGGTCAGGGATAAAAGAGCCTCTTCTTGTCCACCGCCCGTTTTTGGGATTCCGATAATTGAGCTTTTGTTGGCACTCTGAAAGGTGGGAGGTTGAGTTGAGAGTGACGCAGCACTCAGATTCATGCGGGGGACTATCGCCGCCATAGCCATGCTGCTATCTCTGCATGGAAAGATTACTTAAAATGTAAGAATAATTTGGGAAATAAAACAGATTAAAATTAACTGAAACCAAATTCGATTCAGAAGCTTGGTGGATTCAAAATTTGGAGTATGAACGTAGTTGGATTAGATAAAAGGGGTTCTTGCAATATATATGAATTGGTCCCATGAGTTTCTTATACAACAAAAAAGGATGGAGAATTTAGCTAAATGGTGAATAAATGGATGAATCATCGTCATCGTCATCGTCAATCAAAGTTGGGGTAAAAGTTTAAAGCTAACTTCCCATTCCAAATGCTTTTCTATACACAACATCATCATCATTCATCTGTGCACACTGCCCTTCTCCTCCTATATACACATACATAACACCACGCAGAAATGCCACTAAACTCTTTTCTTTGAATCACCAAAATTGCAACACTTTATGCATCCACAAACTTTCTCCGATGGCATCGGGCTTGTCCCGAAGCTGTGAGGCACTTGTTAGAGGCGAGGCCACGACATTCTGTCCGACGAACCTAATGGACACAACTCCACATTACCAAGGAGAGACATCTGTTAAGAAAAAAACCATCTAGAGCAGATGCGAAACTACAATATCATTCATACTTCTGGCATCATTTTCTCGTCACCCCAGGTTAGCATTCGATCTCAAGGCTTCATCCGATATCGTCCATGACAGCAGGTGTCCGCTCGAATCCCCACTCAACAGCTGCTTAAGATCACCCGAGAGGTGGAGGGATGTGACGGGGGATTTGTGGGCTTTCAGGACCTTCTGTAGGATCAACCGGTATTCAGGAGCTTTGCTTCCGAGACATAGCCCACCGGTTGGGCTTCCACCGGTTTGTTTAGTCTGTGGTGACTCGCTGGAGTGAACCATTTTCCAGACTTTGACAGCACCGCTTTGGTGACCTGAGACATACCAGTTTGTTTCCAACCAGTCTGAGGTTGTCGAGCCTGTAAGTGAGAGGATGAAGTCGGATGGAAGTTGCGATGTGTTGACGACAGCAAGGCAGTCGCCATTGATGCTCCAAACAGCAAGGGTCACACCAGCTGCAGTCACAATTTCTCCAGTCAGGTCATTTACGAAGATCGCTGAAACTGGTGAAGGGAACTCGGGCAGCTGTCTAATGAAAACCAAAGAGCTGAGGTCCCATATTATAACAGTACAATCGTCGGATCCGCTGACAATTATCATGTAGGGCTGGCTAACTCGAAGACAACTGATTTTACCGGTATGGCCACAAAGAGCCCTCTCTAACTGCAAGTTCTGAAGTGTACGAGGCCCGCTAGAGATTCTCCAAACGCAAATTAAGCCATCATCTGCTCCGGTCACCAAAGTTTGGCCATCATGGCTAGCGCTAACAGATTGGATTTGGTTGCCACCATGAAGATTTTCATGAGTGGAAAGAAGCTTATCCTGATCTTGCTGAATAAACCGCAAGCTCCGATCTGGGAAACTCCATGCAACATATTTGGTAAATGTTCGCGGCTTTAGCAAGGTGTTTGCACCAGCAATGAGAATTTTGTCATTCAAAGTCACGATTTGGGATATGGCAGACTTGCTCTTCCGAATCTCACGAGGAACAAGCATTGAAGCGTGTCTGAGTGGATGAGGAACAGATCTTTTATCTATTCGTCTCTTAACATGAGGCTTTAAGAAGAGCTGCTTCGGCGTTTGACCAAAGTGATTAATCTGTGCCAGTATTGACGCTTTCATTGCAGGATCTGTAACGGAGTCAATATCGACGCTGCCTTCATATGTATAGTGGTAGAAAACGTTGACAGCTTCCTCTGCTGCCTGAATAATAACAAAGAGAATTTAGCACAGAGAAATAAACCATGAATAGAGAGAATCATGGTGTTCCAAGCATGGGGAAGACATGACAGGCATGAGCTTTTATCAAAAGAGTGCAAATTCCACAAATCGATCCACTGCTCTTGATAATCAACTAATAGCCAAGCATAAAATGTATTTGTACCCTTGAAATAACATAGGAGTGAAGAGAAAACGAAAGAAGGGACTATTCAAGGCTTAACGCAAGGGCTTAAAGCATCCAACTATAGAGAACACAGCCATAACCATGCCAATAAGAACAAGATTATACAACAGCCAAAATCAAAAAATTGCAACAGTAGCAAATGAGAATAAAAAAAATTGTACCAGGGATAGGTTGACTTGAAATTCAGATACACCGTGATTTTCCAAAAAAAAGAAAAATAGATAGAATATGGATCATTCATGATTGTTTAAAACTAGCAACAATAATTTTTAATCTATATCACAAGAGGTTGCAAAAAGTCTATTTCCAAGTAAAGATACAGCATCCGTTTGCCTAATGAATTATTTATTTTTCTGTCGTTATTCTCTGCTACATACCAAATGCAAAAACATCATTGAGCAAACACACATGTAAAAGGAAAGTGATGGTTTCAGTAGCAACTGGAACTCCATATGTGTGTGTGTGGTACCTATTAGAGGCAAGTACTGGTAATTAAGCATGGTTACAATAATACGACAAGATACACACCTTTCCCCGCTGCTTGTATCCAAAAATGAGGTCTATCCAGTGATGGAGATGCTCTGAAACATAATCAGATTCCAAGGCTTCCCTATGTTTCCTAATGAACTCCCTTGCACTGCCCTTGGCCCATGGAGGTAAGATAACATCATCAACCTGGCAGATTATTTGTAAGCAATCCCATCTATAAAAATAAACTCAAGTACAAAGTTATCAATTCAAATAACCTACAAACCTTTTCTCCCGATTGTTTCTCGCCTAAATCAAGATTGAACCTGTTTTCCAGAAATTCCGGCATATAGAAGAATTCAGGAATAAGCTCCTTCACATCTGAAGTGTTGCCCTTCCCAGCCGCACTCAACCAGGTATCCCCAACACTATTGAAAAGCCGATCAGCATGGTCAAATTGTCCACCCTGCAGCTTTTGATTCTCTGTGCTAAATGGTGCCAGGCGCAAGAGGTAGAAGAGAACAATCCCAGCACTAGAATAATGAGAACCATAATGAAATTTGGGAACATCTGGATCATCCCAGCTCTCATACCTGTCAGTATATGTATGAAGAAGTGAGTGGATAAGATGAATGAGAGGTATCTAACTTGACAAATTAGTGAAGAACTAAATTGCCATGGTGAAAAAGAGACCTCTTCCTGAACTCCTCTTCGCCTTCCCTTGTTTGACAACCCATTGGTTTCTCAAGTACTCTGAATGTTTTTGGATCCGACAAATCAAGATTCTCACTTTCATAATCTGCAAGGACCCAAGGGAACACTGGATACTGTGTAAGATCACTGTACCCACGACCTGCCAGAGTGTTCAGATACATAATGTACTGAAAATTGCTAATTTCTCCATTTTGCCACCTCTTGGTTATTGATTTTCCCATGACCTTGAAAAGACGGCTGCCTTCAGTGCTATCCTGTTTTGTGGATCCAGATAATGTCGCATCTATTCTGGCAAGTGCACAAATCAAATATTAGTTTTGTTCATAAGAATTACGCAAACAAACCAAACAGCCAGAATGTAGCAGCAGGGAACAAAACATTCTCAAGAACAATGAAATTCAAGTAACAAGGAAAAGATTATTTATTAACTAGAACTGCAATCATGATGTGCAATTGCCATTATGTTGCTGCTACTATAAACTACATTCAGTCTATTCCTTGTATTCGCATTAGAGACATTGACAACTAAGTACAAGAAGTATATTATTTCAAGCTGAACGACTTTGCTCTGTAAGAGTATATAATACAGGAGAAAGCTAAAAGTTGCCAAATATAAGCTTACCGTACACAGGAATAGGTTAACACTCTTTTCCAAGCACACAAAGACAATTCATAAACATCACAACATAGACATGAGAAAATTTACAAAATAGTCCAGGAAATTGAGAAGGAAGAAAACTAGAGAGATCAATATTAATGAACTAATCAAGACTAATCAATTAGCAGGGGAAAGATTCTCAATCTCTTATAAGAGCTAAAGCCACCTATTTGAACCAGCAGAATTATACCAAAAAAACACTGCAACAATTTGATCATCAAAACCTTCAATAGGAAAATTACAGAACTCATATAATTCCTGGTATATTTCATAAAGCTCTCGTTTCTTCTTTCATTTGACAGATATGTGAAGAAAATAAAATCATCACATCGCATTGACATCTCAGAAACATATTTCATGTAACAAAAGATACCAAGTAGAAGACCTAGCAAAGGATGGCAAGAAAATAATACAGCGCGCAAGGAACTTAACAACTTACATGCTGTTTCTTGGTAGATTCAAGGCCACCAGATTTTTGAAAACTTCTTCTCTCTCCTTCTTGTGGAAAACCAATAGGTCATTGCAACCGTCCATGCTGAAAATCTCAATAGCAACTGGTCGAAGTTGATAATCACGCTTCAAAAGCTCATGGACGCTATCAAGCTTCCACATGCGCCAAAGATGGGGTACATTACCACTACTTCCTACTTTTTCCATACCCCATGCTCCGCCATTGTATGCCCATGCCCTACCCACAGAGTATGTTCTCATTGGAGCAGACCATGATGAAGCTGGCTTGGAATGAGAATCCATGCTAGAAGAAGAGTCCATCTTGACACCTAAAGCCTTGTCAATAACAGAAAGTTCATCCTCGCTATCCTTTTCGCATATGCAGTCAGAATCATCAATGTAAAAATTCTCAATAACATATAGTGACAATTCTCCAATTAGAAATATCCCATCATGTTTGTCAAGGCCCGCAACTCTTTCACAATTATACTTATGTTTGATCCTTTCAAGAGGTTCCAAATAAGGTCGGATCAAGTATTCTCCACTATCATTTAGTTCTTTATCGGACTTCTCCTCTGCCAACCTCATTTCATCAATTCTTATGGAAGATTGCCTTGCAGATCCAAAATCAGACTTCCCTTGAACACTTTCTGCCCTTTGGGTGGATGCAGCACTGGACTTGACCCCAAAGTCATTGGCCGAATGCAGGCTTGCTTCATTGATGCTACTCTCTTTATCATCATTCCATCCAATCCCAGAAAAACTTACATCATGAGCGGAATCTGTTTCTTTGAAAGCTGGTTCATGAAATTCAGCAACCGAAGATTCATCCCCCTCCTGACCAATTAAAAGATTATAAAAGATATCCGATCCAGTATCAGAGGCATGGTCTTCATTTTCAGTTTTCAGCTTGGACATCTCTCCTTCTAATACCAATTGTTCATCAAGATCATGCCGAATGGTGTCAATTTTTAGCTTACATCGTTCAAGTTTTTTTCTCATTCGTAATGGACCTTCAATGGGACAAAGTTGCCATTCAGGCTCGTTTTCATTAGTACATGATTTTCCAATTGGAAATATTCCTCGATCGTGAACAAGTTGCTGGAGGTGAGTTTGCCACTCACTTTCAGCATGAAGCACCCATCCATACTTATCCTGCCGGATAACACGTAACTCAGTTGACATGGCATCACGAACCAATTCAAGAGCAATTCTCCTTTCATTCACCTGTTCCCAATGTCTTTGATCTAGTTTTGAGACATCCCTTGATTTTTTCCCCATTTCTCTCTTACGACGACTATCCATGCCCTTTATCCTCACCCCAGGGAACTTGGCAGACCCAGCTATATACTGTGTCCACATAATGGCAGCACACTGTTCCAACACTCTATTGATGAGTGGCTCAGCAGTATTAAGCCATTCAAAAAATTCAGACACATTTCCAGTCAAAAGCTTATCAAAACCACCATGAAGAACATCCAGTGACAGGGCCTGATTTGTTTTAGTGACAAGAAACTCTTCAAGTGCAGCTCTGCAATGGACCAGAAGATACTTGATAATATCAACAGCTGCATTTTGAACATTTTGTCTGTGGTCATGGAGAAGAGAAATTAAATTTATACAAAGGCAACAATTCAGATCCTTCTCTATATTACTGGGGCAAAATATTATTCGTCTGTGAGCAACCAGTAACTGTAAAACTGTAAAGATATCAAGACCCCCTTCCTCAGGCAAAGAGTAAGTAAACAATCTTTTCTTAGGTTCACTCTGCAAGCCCAAACGTGAGAGAAGGTCGTCTTCACCAATTGTGCATAAGAATGATGGAAGGAAACAGTAGAGTATCATACGATTCATATTCTTTAAAAGAGCATGCATATAAGCTTCAAGTTGTCTATTTCCTCTACCAATAGAAAGGAGACCTTTGCCAGTTGGAATTGTGTCTTCAATCCTACCATCTTTATTTGCCAACTGTAGCATGGATAACAAAAACTCCAAAGTCTTTAAAACAGTAGCAGGCTGAGGAAAAGCGCCCATATACACACGATCGACTATCATGCAAGACAGCACATCTAAGTTCAAGGACCACCGAGCCTTATCCAACTTCTTCTCATTTTCCTCATCATCTTGCATGAGCCGCCTTTCAAGAAAGATCATTAGTCTACTAAGGCATAATCCCTGGAAAACTAAAACAGATTCAGCATCAACATAGAGAGGCGCGCTTTCCAACACAGCTTCAATGAATGGGGCAGCTTTCATCTGCTCAGTGACAAGACCCGATAGAACTTCTGCCACAAGATCTAGAATTGCAGTAGCACCAGCAGAGCATGGACCGCCTCCATAGCCAGAATCATCTACTTCAAGGAGAAGTTTTGGACTTATAACAAATAATGAGTTTGAAGCAGATTCTGTTTGAGAAGCAGACTTCGTGTCTGAAGCAGAATCCACATCAATTGCAGACATAGAAGACTCCATAGATAGGGTTGAAGTTGACCGTACTTTAATATCATTGTGACTTGCACGCCCCACCCAAGGTGTCAATGTTACTGGGGATGGAGATTGAGATGGAGTTTGTGGGATCCTGGAATTAGATCTCTCTGACAAACTAGGAGATTCCAGCATGGTCAAAGAAAGAGAACTCTCTGACTCATTCTGATGAATATGATTGGGAGTGTCTTTCATGTCACGAAAGTCAAACTCACGACTTCCAGAAGTGTCATTGGATGCCTTGTCAATTGCTTCACCATCAACACTACCTGAGGTAGGTCCACCGTCCTTCACTGGTCTGTCTACTTGCACTGCTTTAACATCAATTTCTGGCTTCTCAGCTCCTACGTTATTTGGAAAAGCAGACAAATCTTCAGAGCTAGCACTCACATTAGCCTGGGTGAAGCTTCCTATACTGATAGAGGTCTTTGCTGACAACTCATGTTCTTGAGGCAAGCTTGAGAAAGAATTCTGGGAGACACTACTGTCATCATCGTTCAAATTCTTGTCATCAGCTTTTTCAGTGAGTTCTTTTGCCATCTTCACAGCTTGGGAGGCCCTGAATGAACAAAGAGATTTTAATGGTTAACCAACATATAGCAATACATAACAAACTGACCGCTAACACCTACCACACAAAACAAATTAGGGGGGAGAAGGGATATGTTAATGATCATAAAAGTTAAAAGTCAGATATGTGTGAGACCTGATGCAAGAAAAGTAGAGGTTAATAGAGCTTTCAAGAAATTCAGCCCTTCTGCAGACAGCAGAAAAGGGAGGGCAAATTTTTGCAAGATCAACCATAAATCTCAAAACAGAAGTTGCCGCAGCAGGTGCTGACGCCTCTCCACCCATCAAACGGGCAGCATAAGTTTTGTGCATCAAAGCTTCACCTTGGAGCTCTCCAGCCATATCTATACACTCATCTACCAGCTCAGCCACAAGGCTAGCACCAATCTGGGAAAGATTGCCAGTTTCATGTGCAAGCATTGACTGCATGCATAACCTATCAAATGTTGATTTTGCCATAGCAATAGCAGATTCCAGAAGCTCAACAAATTTCAACTCCCCACAGTTATTATCACTTGGCATGAGCATATGAAAGTCAAGCATGCGAACTTCTGGTAACCTTGGATACACAGGCTTCCCAAACATCAAACAAAATAAAATGTAGTAAATATCAGGAGAATCATAGAAATTCGTAAGCACCCTTGTCAAACCCTGATAACCACCACTTGAGCGAAATTTTAGTGCAAATGTGGGAGAAGATGCAAGGCACACCCCTAAAAGGGTCATGATCCACCTCATACTGGTAGGATGAACAGCCTCATCAAGGAAATAGGTAATTAACTTTGATGAAACAATTTTGTGCCACTGCTCAAGCAATTCATCTGAGTGAATGGTCACTTGAAGATCAATAAGCATCTCAAGTAGCATATTTCTTACGATAACATGTTTCCCCATTGATTCCCGTGATATATGGCTACGTGATGTTAACTCAGGAGGATCAAAGGTCATGATTGTGAACCTCACAACCAGTTCCAATTCAGAAGGAAGAAATCCATCTTCTAAAATCACCCCAAGTAACACAACTAACTTTTCCAGCACTGGCACTTCGACATCGCCTCTCTGCAGGGTCACAAGTAAATGTTGGACAAGATTAATTCTGCGGAGAATTGTAAGGTTGTGATTTCTATACCAGTGCATGGAGACCAGATGCTCAAGAAACCCAAGTAAAGAAATTTGAATTGGCACTGGAGCTGTCACCCATAGAGTCCAATCCAACAATACATGTTCAACCATATCAGCATTTGACAAAACAATGCAGTTAGACGACTCTGTTGGCAAATCTGTATTTTCGAGCTCTGATATATGACTAAAGGAATCTTTTGGAGCAGAAAAATCATCCATATCCCCCTGAGATCCCACCGATGAAAATTCATCACGAAATTTTGATAAATTGAAATCTTCAGAACTCGTCTCGTGAACGGTGACAACAGGCGATTGAGTCGTCTGCCCTGTCCAAAGTTTTCTGGGTTCGGAGAAAGATGCCTCACATGCAGCTATCTGGAAAAAGATCTCAAGCGATTGCATGTCAAACAATGACATTCTGCGGTGAAGGAAAAGAGCTAGCAAGTGGTATCCACGACACTTCTGCATATCTCTAACATTCTGAGGATTCTGATGAAGCGCACATGCAAGTAACATCAATGCCATGTGAAGCATGTCCCTAGTTTCAGCAGCTTCAACAAGCGCAAGGATAATATTAATGCCTCCAATGGGACGGATTGTATCACCAATGACACAATGTTTACACACATAAGTATCTCCAATAAGTCGACCAAAACGTGGTATCCCTGAGAGAAGCCAACAATTTAATAGAAAAATTAGCTAAACACATAAGCTAAGGAAAAGAATTAAACAGTATATATTATTGAAAATAGAGATAACAATAGAGATCAATCAATTCACCCACCGCCAATAGGAGAAGCAGCAGCTGATAGAGGATCAACTAGATTGAGCACAGATAAAGTTCCAGATGATCGAATCATTTCTGTAATGGTTCCATCAAATGCAAATATCATTTTCTTACCCCACAACTGGAGGGATAGATTTCCCAATTTATCAGAATCCCAAACAATCCCACTATGATCCACCTTGCCAGAAATCTCTGGATTTTGTATATTTGGGGACAAAGGCAAGTCACTGTCTAAAGAATCTAATATAGCCATACTACCCCCACCACATGCCTGGTTAGGAACAAATTTCACTAAATCAGAATCCTGAAACAGCCCTTTGTATCCTCGCCCAAGAATGTACATAAAACATATCGAACCTGGAGAAAGCACCTCTTCAAATAGGTAGCAAGATCTGAGCTTCCATGACAAATCACTAACCTTTGCACAGGCAACCGGTGTCCCAATAGTTACATTTAGAGGCTTCCCAGCAGGAGAAGGAGAGTATCCAAGCTTCCCAGTGTGTCTTAGCTTTCCATCCAGATATAAATAAGCAAAACTAGCTTGAAATAACCCAGCCAAAGCATTTGGTTTGCTATGCACAACTGCAAGGTGATGCCACCTGCCTTCCTCCATTTCAATCCCAGAAAAAGTAAGGGAGGAAGAATTGCTTGTTGCAAGAGTTAGAAGCCCATCATCATCTAGTCGAAGCTCTGCATAAAACGAGCTTCCATTATCCACTGCCCCAACAGAGAATATCCTTAAAACCTGGCCTCCATATTGTTGTCCACTTTTGACACTTTGTCTTCTAGGAGGTATAGCTTTAGGAGCTTCACTCTCCCTTGATGAAGATTTTAAGAAGTTTTTGAACTGAAACCAACATACAAAAGAATAACCAGCAGCAGGGGGCCACGATCTTTCCCCTAGTGGCACTTGAATGCAAGCATGGCCTATCTTGCTCATGTCCAACTCCAAAAATGGGGCAAGAGACACATCTTGTGATCCCATATCCTCTGAAAGAATCAATCTTTCAATCATCTGGATAAGGTACCGACCAGAACTAAAATGCCTCATTTGGAATATGTATCGAACAAGAATTCTAAGCTCTGATACTGATAGCCTGTCAATCAAGAAGTGAACTGTCCACATTAATACAATTTTTGTGCAGCCAAAAATTCATCTTCGCAGGCAATATATTTCCACATTATTAACCACATTACCTGTAGGCACCAAGAACTTCTACAACCTTCAAAGCATGAGAAACCAAAGGAGAAAAACTTGACAGGATGGGGTATACAATCTCCAAAAGAATTTGTACACAACCTAACAGCATTGGAACAAACTTTAATAGAAGCATCACAGAATCAAAAAGTAATTCGTAACTTGATTAGCAAATTCGCACCTATTGATGTTAGATTTTCCTGATTGAAGCAACTGGAATAAGCAAGCTTTTCAATAAGGTTAAGCAATTCTAGCTGAACCTTTGGAGTGAACAGCAGCAAAGCACGTATGAGCACCCTGACAGCAGCAGCATTGTACACCCGTGCTTTCTCAGGAGCAAAAGAGCCTGATTGTGTTGTCAAAACAAAACAGGTTGATTCATTCCCAGTATTATGAGATACCATCGTAGATTCTGACATTAGAGATGGTGGAAGAACCAACTCAAGTGAAAGTTCCAGAAACAACTGTATAACTAGGCATTCACTTTCAACGCAAATTAACCCAGATTCACAGAGAAGTTCATAAAAGGTATGTGAAGATAGCATTGAATGTAGCTTTGTCCTGTTGACAGCATTATCAGAAACTGCAACTGTCATTACGCGCATCATATATGTAAAGATTTTAATTCCAACAGAATTTGTCAGCTCTTTGTTCTGTTCTTCATCACTTTGAAAAGAATGAAGGGTAGTTAATAAAAGAGAAAAACCAGTCACTTCACCAAAAACCCTCTGTGCCGAGCCATTAGCTCCTAATATCCTCCATAGGGCTCCAAAAGCATCACATTTTGCATCACATTGAAGAGTATATTGAGATCCCAAAGCACTTATAACCATCCCACTTTTTAAAATCTCAACCAAGGAACCTAATTCATCTGAATGGACCTGAAGATAATTGAACAAATAACATTATAAAACAGCAAATTCAACTAATGCAAGAAACAGTGCATGACATTCAGAAAAAAGCATACTCAGAGAGTGATTTTACACACATTGGGTGACAGCAAACAGGACTAATAAGCGACAGTATCCACAACAAAACATTTATAACAAACGGAAACCTCCAAAAGAATAAACTTTTACATGAAAAACAGAGAATCATAAGGGTTAAGTCAAAAATCAAGATCTAATTCAGTGACCAAAGAAAAAATGTAGCAATACACATTGACTTATCTAGCCATTTAATAGGAACACTCCGGATCTTTTCACTTTGCAATTTTTTCTTTTCTATAATTTTTTTACTGTTCAAACACTCAATTTCCCTTAAAAAATATCACACCCAATGCCTGTTTTCTAAATAAAAGATTACATCCAACAACTCTTCAATTTGAAAAATATCAACAAAAAAACAAACTACAAAGTAAATACACCCTCATACTAGATACAGAACTTATAACCATCTGAACAGATGAACAAAATTTAATATCAACGATGGAGGAGAAAATATATCAGCTTCAAATAAATTAACGATCAAACACCAAAATACCAACAGAACCATTGTCTAAATTCGATAGCCTCAGAAGAGTCAACATCACAGCACCATATACAGTCTTGATCATTAACATACAGGAAATTCATATTAAATGCACGACAAGGTACAGACAGGAAAAAAACATAAAATCATAATTAAGAAGAATGCACAAACAGTTACGACAATGAAACTTCATTTGAAGCATAAAAGTAATCTGATGAGTAATGAACTGGTAAAAATTAATAAAGAGCAAAATAAATTGTTTGTACCTGCTTGACATCCTCCATAATCAAACATGACAACACCCGGAGAACGCCTGGACGGTGGATGTCAGAGGCTATAAAAGGAAGTGCAATCACAAAACCATTAGCAGAACGAAATGATGCTTGATTGGCTTCTGCTTTCTTGAGCAAGGATACTAAACAGTCCCAAGCAACAGCAACTGTCTCCTCCATATCAAAAAGAGGGATTTTTCCAGAACCAGATTCGAAGAGTTTTGGGGAAGAAATGATAGCATCCTTGGTGTCTAGGTGCTTCTGGAAGCTGCTAGAGCTAGCTTCTATTTCCAACTGGCCATGGTTATCACTAAACTGCTCGGGACCCAGCTGAAACTTATGTTGCTTCAAATCATCTAATAGGACCTCCAGCACACCAACTTCCCTTAATACTTTCTTGTACTGCTGGTCAAAAGATACAAGTTTTACAAAAAAGGACAGAATCGTATGCTTCAAGTCAGAGGTTACTGGTTGTTGCAACAAGCAGCAAAGTGAAAGCAACTCTTGTTCAGGGATGAGATTCACAACGGTCACTGCATATTCAAGAATTTTCAAGATTATGTCTTGCAGCGCAGAAGGAAAACCAGCCATATTAAGAATCAATAGAGGAACAGTTCTCAATTCCTGACACGACTTGTAGTTTTCAAGATGACTGGAGAACATCTTAAACATTCTATTTAGCACTTCCGCCTGTAGTTCAGTATTTTCAGCTTTGATTAAAATGTCCTGTAGCATTTGTACAGCTTCTAAATCTTTGACTTTTCCGTTATCCATATCCCACATTTCATCAGTTATATGATCGGAGGATGATGTGCGGCTTCTTCCATGCCCATTAGGCTTTGTTTGAGAACTTTTTAGAGCCTTCTGCCGTGATAATCCATCAGTATCTGAGGGTCCTGTCAGAGCAAAATTGATGATGACATCAAGAAGCCTACAAAGTGATGGAGAGAGACTTTGCGTTGAGGCATTTCCATCTTCTCTTAATTCATTTCTTCCTGACCCACCAGCGACATGTAACCTGTCTGAAGCAGACTCAGCATAAGGTGAACCAGACTGCACTGTCTGATCAACTCTAATCCTTGACAGAGTTAAAGCAAATTGGACAAGGAAGTGATAACCATGAGCATTGCGAATATCCTCCCTGAGTCTGACGCCACCAGCATCTACAGGCACAAATTGCAGCAAATAGACATAATTCTATTAGACAATCCAAGGGAAAAATATTATTGGCATGAATGTCAACTAATCTACCTAGTGGTTGTAGTAGTATATCAAATTTGAAACATAATAGGATCACATTAGCAGAAAGCAAGTTTTACTAAATTTAAAGAATGTCACATGTTGTAAAGCAAAGGTTCGAACTTCAGCTCTAATTTTATGCTATAGGAGAAATTATGCCCTCTCACCAGTTCTATATGACAATTCAACACACTCAAGAAGCAAGTCCACAATGCCCATAGTGTAGGCAGGATCTCCACAGTCAGGATTGAAATCCTTGATGGCCATGAGAAGTACTTTTATCTGGCACAAAAAGGAAGCACCATCAAATCAATAATTAGGTTCTTAGATCACAAAGAATCACATGAGAAATAACCAAAGGGCAGCAAAACAAGAAGGAAAAGCTTAGATGTACTAAAGCATGTAGGAAGATGTACTCCGCACCCAACTCACAGGAATGTTTACCAGTGTCCAATCAGCCATCTCATTGTGAAGCGTAGTTTATAAGAGAAGGACCATAATTCACTTGCAATCACTGTATGAACAATCATACAGGCATTTTTGACTGATGATTAAACTTATGAACATCCAGAATCAGATGATAATTTTCTTTCCAGGAAACATGTGATTATGAAACTGAAAGCAAGCCAAGGTATTATCAACTTCTATAGATGATGGATAGACCATAGTAAGATATTATTGTTGAGTCTGGATGAAAATATGACTAGAGACCATTAAAGCAATTAACACAAAAGAGCTGATGATATTACTAAATGGAATTACAATATATTACACCATACAACCCCCCATTCTTTTTACTAACTGGTGCAGAGTACCTCGCCTACTAATAAGAAACAACATATGAATTATGCACACATATATACAGGATTAGCAGAAATACCAGATGATGCTTGTGTATATACTTAGCAGTGCAGCCATTGTCATTAGCCAAAAGAAGACCAAGAATCTGGACCAGGGAAAAGAGTACCATTCAACAAAAATACATGAAATCAAAATCTGTAAAAATAAATTCAGTTGATCATAGAAGAAATGTCCTTTTACCTGCATGGCATGTCTGTAAAGTTGAATGGTATGCAAAGGAACAAGACCCTCCTTGTATTGAGAGAACACAATTAAAGAACCATTGGCAACCATTTGAAACAATAACTGAAGTGAATTATCCTCTATCAGACTTTGAGCGGCTGAGGGATGGCTAGCCAATGCTTTCATAATATGTACAACCCTACCCTCAACCTGATAAAAATCAGACTCTGTTCAGATTTTTAGATTTTAGGTCAATAGCAAACCAAGTTTACATAGGGAACAACTGGCGCAAGAATCCATCAATCAAAGCAATAGTTAGCTTCCAGATACAACAAATACGTCAACGAGTTTTGACAATGTACAGAATTAAAGACAATAGGCAATGCCTAGAAATCAAAATCAAAATCAAGAATTCAAAAGTACACCAACAAAGAGAGCAAATAATTGAATTAGACCAGATCCTAGTTTCTTAGGGAATGTGACAGTTTTAGTGCAATAAAAATAAATAGAAACAAGAAGATTCACATTTGGCAATGATTGTCTCCTTGTAACCGGAGTAGAATGAACTTGGACATTTCCCTTTTATATGAACATTAAAACAATCTGTATTCACTGCGAAGTAGTTTAACCAAGATTAACTTATGCTGCAGGTGATAGAAGTAAACACAAAGACGCATGTACATGATGTGCATCCTAACATCTGAACCTTATCGAACTAATACAAAGCAACAAGAATATCATGCTATTCAAAACAATACTAAGCAATCTCACTTACGATGTGTGAAGTATTGAGGACAAAACATACTGATAGATGCATGTGCAAAGAACTGAACATTTGTACTGCATTAAGATGATCTGATTAACCCAAATAACAACCCAACTTTCTTTAAGAACAATTTCTTGCCTCATTTCACAAAAAGGCAGTCCATAAGATTTGCAAAAAGTGTTATCTAAGTAGGTGGTGGAAAGCGTGAGGGGTAGGGGGAGCTAACAATTTTGTTATAATGCATTTGGAGCCAGTTTCCATTTTGTTGTTTCAGGTTTAAGATGCCTCCTCAGAAAGTTTCCTTTATGGTTATTCTTTTGTTTAAGACTTTATCCAGCAGGTTACCCTTGATTTCGTAATGATTTTGTAAATACATTCTTTTCTACCTCCAAAAATAAAAAAGGGTAGGTGAAGAGGGCATAATACAAGAGCTTATGATACAGGATAACAGTGAGAACTATGCAGAGAACTACCACAGCAAGCTAGTACCAACTAGAAAAGTACCTAAAGCCAACGAAATAATATCTATACAAAATTGAGAGTACCTCAGGGAAAGAATACAACAAGGACAGAGTACCTCAAGTTGGGGAACAGATTTTGTTTCAGCGGTATTATTTTCATGAACCGATAGCAACTCATCATCATTATTTGGCTCTTTGGAATGGTTGCCACCATCGGGAGCAAGAAGAGCATTCAGCACATGAATCAAACAGGATAAGATTCCAGAATCTAGAAATGATTGCTTATCAACAGACTGCAAATGCATATACACCATCATGAGCATAAGTAGCAAACCCATCATGCAACTTCATATAACAGGCAACAGAGAAAAGCTTGGAAACACAGGCAAAAACATCTGGACATTATGCAATTTACATATTGGTACATATATCAATTATCAATTATGATATGTATCATGATTTGAAAAATAAAATAAAATCCAATATATGTTTTCCCATATAAGTTGGTTATTAAACAAAGGGGGGGAATCTGCCAAAAGATGCATTAGATATTTTTGTCATTTTTCATTCAAGAAAAAGTTGAAAACATATGATAGGCTGACTGGGGTTCCAACAATGTTAAAAGAAATTGGGATCCTAGAAGTGCTTCTATGCTTTTCTATGGTATAACCATTTTCTGTCAAGTAAAAATGAAATCGAAAAGAACATTTGCATTCTCATATTGAAAATGCACCACAGATGACACCAAAAGCCAATCATCATTATGATGTCTTAGATGGGTCAATGAACAAACCCCAGATACTAGGATTTCCACTGCATGCAATAGATTAGCACCAGGTCTAAAGCCATCCTGCAGAGAAAGAAGAATGTCAGTTGTCATAGAAATACAGAAGTCCATGGAACCTGCAAGGAGGCATATCTTTTCACTTTTAATGTATGTTAAAACCTTTGTGATTTCTGAGAAAAATGCCAAAACTTTCTCAGCTTCCAAAGCTCTTGTTTTACTGCTAAGCTTCAACTTTTCAATATCTGTTACAAATGCCCTTCCCACAACAAAAGAAAATATGTGGGTCTCTACTAGCCTGCAAATATCAGAAAGCATATAAATGAAAAGATAAATTATGTAGTTCAAACTAGTTTTAATAATTAATGCCCCAGCATTAATACAGTCCTCCTATGAACATAAAAGGTCACAACATAATCTGATTTTAATCTAAACAGGGGTTTTTTTTTTCCTTTTTCAGGTATGCACAAATATAGAATACTTGTAGATCCGAAGAATACAAGCCAATGGCCCTCCCTTCTAGATCAAACCATCACAGACTTTCCTAGTAGTTTCCATTAAGGAAATGGAAGCACTACACAATTTATGAAATTTTCAGGAAATATATGCAAAAGATACAAATTAAAGTTACATCTTTCCATATTGGATGTCCACAAAAGCCTGATAAATTGGCAAGCAATCACATGTAGTATCACAAAACAATGAAAAGGTTTATCCAGTAATATGCAATATCCATTGAATATAAAGCGATAAGTAAAGAAAATAAATTTTCCTCTTACATTGAAATTACTTGGGCAACATTTGTGTGTTGCTTCTCTAATCTACAAAAAATATCTACAGTCCAATTTAATGCATTTTCCTTCTCCTGAAGACAGACAAAAAATAGAGGATAAGAAATGTATTAGTAGCAGTGAAATTTAAACTGTTGTAGTAGATAGTCATAATCCTGGGATAAAAGCGAGCCATAAGTATCAGTTAAAAACACAATTCTATACAGCTTTGAAATACATCTCACCATACCTTTTCAGAAGTGGATGAACGGAACTCCTCCCAGTATCTCTTAAAATCCCATTCCAATTCATGTTTTTCTCCACTGTAGAATTTGAAATTAATAAAATGTAACAGTTAAGACAGGATCAAAACTCAAAATATGATGAAACACGACCAGAAAAAAGATTCAAATTTAAAGAAATTTTGACGAGTGAAGCAAAATCCTTAGCCCAGAAGACAAAAGGTTCAACACAATGCCAAATCTAGGTTATATAATCAGAACAAAAAAATTGTAACTGAAGAACTGAAAGGTGTCTGCGGGGAAGGACCCACCATGTCCATTTAGCTTCAAATTTTATAATGGTCCAGTTTTTCAAAAATCACATTTTATTTAATGACACATATCCAACGCTGAGAAGAACTATTGTGTGAATGGTATCATAAGATCTTCTATGAGCAGGAGATTCAGTGATGGTCCTTGACACAAAAATGTCGTATCACAGCAACATAGCCTATGCAGTGGCGGCAGCTTGTTGAAAATAGCCATTGCATCAAATTGCATTTCTGTATGGAATTGAAATTCCAACATGAAACAAGCCAAAACCAACAATGCACAGCTTTCCCATATTACTTTTAGCAATATGGCCAATTGCAGCTACGGATGCAATGCTATAGATCGTCTAAACAATTCAGAAAGTGAACATTACTAAGCCAAAACATCACAATTCACATTACTATCCGCTTCACCAGACAGGATAGAGATTAACCAACTGCAGGCAAGCAAATAAAGCCATCAAAAGTGGCAACCACTTGCAATTTAAAAAGCATCTGAGCTTGCTCTACCAATAAATCATCCTGATAATTCGACTGCCATCATAGTTCAATGTGGACAAAACCACTTCCTAGAATTCGGTGGATATACAGATAGCACTACAAAGAACCACAATTCATGTTTTCAATCAAGTCATTGAACTATGCTCATTAGTACACATGCTCTGGAACATGACACAATGCAATGCATCCATTATGTACCAAAAGCTCTTCATAGTTCCAAAAAAAAAAAAAAAAACTATTTTTATAATTTACATCATCAAGCAATCAACTGATCAGATTCCTTGACCAATCTTAACAAAGTAAATCATTCATAAACCTAATTAAAGCCTCGGTCAGCATTATTCAGTAGAACAAAAACGATAAAATCTAACCTTGAAGCCCGTGACAAAAAGTCTTGGCGGGACGGCGAGCGATGGTTGGCATTGTTGCCGCTGCTGCTCTCTTTTAAGGGCGGCGATGATGGAGCAGATGACGCCGGTGTGGAAGCCTGGGAGAGACCTACTTTGTCCTTCAAGTCTTTAAGCAACGATCCCCATTTCATCGTTTTCTTACCACTCGATTTCCCAAACATGTATGAACAGATATCTCTAAGCAACTAGGTACAGTAAACGACAATATAGTTACAATAAACACCGCAGCTCTCTCATCCAGGAGACACAAACTTCGTAATTCCTTGACAACAGCGATCAGATCCAAATCCCAAACCCTTCTACTACTGACCGGGAAGGATCTGACAGCTCATTCGCAGTTCTATTTACAGAAACCAAATCAAACAACTGATCAACAAAAAACGCCGCAGAGAAACCAAATGCAGCCGATCGGAGTGAAATTAAGGGTTAAGAGTTGCAAGATCTGCACATCCAACCCGGCGCCCGTAACCCTGTCTCTATACCGAATCTAATCCTGCTAATCTCGCCCCCAAAAAGCAAAAAAAAAAAAATGCAAAAAAAATGAAAGTCCGAGCTATGTCTACGTATTCAATCAATTCTTCCGTTTAGATTCTTGACATCCGAAATGTCAGTCAACCAACACGTAGACTCCCTGGTCGATTATCGAGGCGCACCTTCAACCTTGGATTTTGCCCTGGAAATGGAAATCGGGATGAAAAATCTTGCAGCGAATTGAAGAACGGAAATCAACGAATGCACGGCGCTCTCTCTCTCTCTCCCTCTCCCCCCGTTTTCGGACGCTCTCCCCGCGCTTGTTTCTCGCTCTATATCTATATCTATAAAATATATATATAAATAAATAAATTGACGATAATAATAATAATATTTATTATTATTTATTAATTAATTAAAATCGAAATAAGCAGTCGTTGCAACATATGTAGAAATCTAGCGAACCCTTACTAAAACCCTTCAGACTCCCCATAACTAGCGATCTGCCACGTAGGATTTAATCGACGTCTGTCAATCGTCCACGTGTCTCCCGGAGATCGATGCCTGCAACGTGAGGCCCTGTCAGTCGCTTTAACTCTTTCTATTAATTATTTGTGTGTTTTTTTATTTGTCTGTTTTATTTATTTGTTAAAAAAAATAAAGCCTGACGATATTATTTAAAAATAGTGATTAGTGGTTGGAGATGCACAAATATTTATTGAGTTATTCAACAAATCAGATAAATATAGACCAAATTAGAATTTTCTTTTGTGTTTAGGTGAATCTTTTATGGCTTGTATTTTTCTATTTTGCTGATAATTAAGTTAATAATTGTTTTGATGTATTTGTTTATTTTGCAAGTATTGGTGTAGTCTTACCTAAAGTGATATTTATTTTTTTTGGATTTGTATAAGTGAATAAATTAATTTAAAAATTGATATAATTTAATTTATGCACGTTTGGTACATACGATAGAATTGAATAGAAAATTAGAATTAATTTTCAATAGAAAATTCAGTCAAAAAATGTAAAAAAAATATATAGTTATTTCAATTGATCAAAATAAATAAATAATTAATCTGACAAGAGAGTTTTTAACTAGTTCATGAAATATAGTTTGATTGAGACTCCTTTTAGTGGCCTTTTAAAATAAATTATATTTGATGTTTTTGTAAAATTATATTTTAGTACAATTTTTTAAAAATTTTAAAAGTTAAATTTTAAAAAATTAAATAATAAAAAAAATAACAGTGCAACTTTTATTTCTCTGAAAATAGAAGAGAAATCAAATCAAAGAAATTAAAATATTTTCATTTTTCTGTACCAAATACACCATTATAGAAATAATGTATATATTATTTTGTTTCGTTAAATAAAAATATATTTGGGGTGTGTTTGTTTGAGGCTTTGGATTTTGAGTTGCGATTTGAATAGTAAAAATTTTAAATTTGAATAGGTGTACGATGTGATATAAATAGGGGTTGATGTAATGTTTTGAATGTAAAATTGATTTTTAGTATAATATAAAAAATAAAAATATATTTTTGATTTGATGTTTTTTTAGAAAAAAATTGGATGAATAGTGAATTTAAAATCCAATCTTCCAAACAAACACACCCTTGGTCAAAAAATGAATTAATTGAATTCTTTTACTTGAAAATAATTAAATATTGAGTTAATTAAGTATAATTAAGATGCCAAAAAAATATAGTTGAACCATACACAGACATGACACAAGCATAAACACGAGTTCGGGCTCGGAGCATAAGGTTCGGGGCATGTGGGCTCAGGAGCCGTGTTATAAAATGTGGTGTGTTTGTTCGGAGGGATTGGATTTTAAATACATTATTTATCTCATTTTTTCCCTAAAAAACATCAAATCAAGTACATATTTTTCTTTTGTTATACTTCCAAAAGAGACGTCTTCTTTGGTGTTTGCACGATAATTAAATAATAATAGTATTTAATTAAAAATGAGTATAAAGTATAATTTAAAAGACTAAAATGTCCTTGTTTTTTTAAGAATTTTAAAAAGTTAGATTATAGTAATAATTATGAATAGTTTAAAAAAGTATGAATAATTTTGTTATAAAGCGAGGACCACAATTAAACAAGACAATCGTTTTTATGTCGGACGAAAATGAAAAAACAATACAATTCTTTTGGGACAGAGGGAGTATTATACTAAAAATTAATTTTACATTCAAAATATCACATCAACATTTATTTATATCACATCAAATAAACTATTCAAATTTAAAATTTTTACTATTTAAATCCCAACTTAAAATTCAAACATCAAATAAACACACTCTTGATATTAGGAATTCTAATTTTGATATAGTTCTCACACAAAATAATAATAAACAAATTAGTTGATAAAATAAGTAATAGAATTATAATGATAAATCAAAAATAATATGAAAATATAATGTTATAAATTTAGCAAAAAAATATCTGCATTATAAATTTAACCAAAAAATATTGCAGATTTTCGATTGAAATAAAAAAAAATAATATGAACGTATAATGTTATAAATTTAACCAAAAAATATCTGCAGATTTTTTATTGAAATCGCACTCATATCATAGTTACTCCTATCAGATAAACAAGGTAACATTAAAAAAATTATTTATATCTGTATAATTTACTTCACAAATATGATTGTATTTGTTTTATAAGAGATCAATAGAAATATTTTTGTCATTTTCTCTTAATTTGTATTATATATCTGATACAATAATTAATATTTAAAAATAAATCCAACAAAAATCTATGTCATTTTATTTAATAGTAAAAATACTTTTGCATTAGTTATTATGTATGTATTATAAGATACTAAGAAAAATAGTTTGTCCTATTTTTTTTTCTTTTAATTTGTACTCCCTCCGTAATTCAAATATATTTTCACTTTTATTTTCTGGTTATAATTTAATTATTTTTGTTTCATTTTTTAATAAAAAAATATTATTTTATCTACATTTTTTTTACCCAAAAAAATAAAAATTTATATTTTTATACATTTTTCTTAAAATTCGTGTATGATAAAATAAACACACAAATGAATGACAGATAGAGAATTATTATATTTTAATATAATAATAAATAATTAAAAAGCAAAATACTCCATATGTAATGATATTTATGTAATATATAATAAATTTGAATAATATTTATAATATTAAGTATATAATACAATTATTAAAGAAAAAAATAAATACGTTTGTTACAAAAGACTGAATAAAAAAAATCAGATTGTCAAATAACAAAGTGAATATATTTTAAAGAAAATGTAATTCTTCTATCAAAATGGAAAATTGATGGAGTAAGTAGGAAGTACTCCATACGTCCCAAATATTCTGTAATATTTTTTTTTTTGATATATTCCAAACACCATGCAACATTTTCAAAATAAGAAATGATTAATCTCTATTCCACATTTTATTCCCTCACATTATCCAAATAAAAAAATAAAAAAATATTTCTTTCTCCATCATATTATTTAATTTCCAAATTATCTTAATTAATATTACCCACCTAAAAATTCATACCAAAAATAAATATTGCACTTTGTTTGAGACGGATGGAGTAGTCAATATAATTAGAATAGAAACCTCAAAGAGACAGAAATGCAAATGAAGATGGTTGTCTTGTCCATTGCTGTAATTATGGACTGCTTTGACTTTCCCACTGCCTTCTCCTCCACTTTTATTTCACCAACTTTTTATTTTTTATTTTTTTTTTAATGCAGAAATATGCCATTCATTTTTATTATTTATTTCGTTCCAAATACCCGTTATACCGTAGACACAGTATTTTTGAAGGAGTGTGATTAGCAGATAATTAAGAATTTATTAATGAAAATAATTATTCTATAATATAAATAATTATAAATTAAGATTAAGATAATTAATTAGTTTAATTAAAATTAAAAAAAATAAAATTTAAAATTTTAAAATGAGATTAAGATGTGTAATCATTTCCAAAAAGAAAGTGACATGGTATATGGGAATGGCAGAAATGGCAACGTGGTATTTGGGACGGAGGGAGTACAATTTTTTTTTTAATGTGAATATTTTTAGAAAAGATAAAAAGATATGAGCTTTTTTCGTCTTAATTTAAAATATATTTTATTATCATTTTTGTTCGCCTCACTTTAAAATATTTATTTTATTTTTTAATTAAAATAATTATATATTAATACCAAAATATTTTTAATTTTTATTTAAATTACAAATATATTATTATATATATATTTATTTTTTACTTTTACTTTATATTTTTATATAATTTTTTATATTATATACAAAAATCATTTTATCAAAAAATATTGCGTGAACAAAAACTTTGTTCTTTTATCCAAATTTTTTGGATATACCCTTTTAGAAAATACGAATTCATTTTTTATACTCACTTACCTAATTTTCTATGTTTTTAAGTAAAAATTATTTTTTCAAAGGAATACACAAAACAAACAACCCCAACACAATCATTTATTTTAAAATTATAATTACAAATTTCACTTAAAATATATATAAATTTGTTTGATTTCGATTGTTTTATTAATATATTTATAAACATATTTTTATATTTTATTAAATAATTTATTTAAATTCAAATTTTTAATTTTAAAATTAATTCTCAAACCTAAGTTGAAAGACGCCTATAGTCCCTACGTAATGTAATAAACAATAACGCGTGTTTCCATTTTGTCATGAAATCGGGAAATGGCCCCACACGCTTTTATTATTATTGACTAATTAAGGATTTGCTGCGCCAACGTTACGGAGTGATTATTGCCTAATATTTATTGCACAATTATTTAAAATAATTATTCCTACGATTTTTATATTTGTTATGTCCAAAATGTCAAATTTCATGTCACGACAGAAAAGTCTATAAATAATTTAATAATAACATGGGTTAGTGTTACCAAATTTGAATCAAATTCTTTTTAGCAAGTTCCTTTTTATCAATCGGTGCACTTGACTAATTAAAATTTATTTTAATTTTTTAAAGAAAGTAGCTATTAATTCCACGTCATCCCACTTGCTTATCTTGTTGATAAAGTCGGTTTATATTTTTGAAAATTTCCAAAACGCAATAGAAATTTCAAATTACCAAACTGATTGCTTTTAATTATTTTATTTTTGATTTTTATTTGAACTTGTCTTTAATTTGAAATTTGAAATTCAAAATTTCATCAATTATCGGGGAAAGTTCAAAAGCAATAAATTAGGGTTTTTTTATTTTATTTTAATTGGATCAGTCCATCGGTTTTATTGAGCCCACGCTTTTAAATAATTGTTTTGGCCCAAATTGTGAATGGCTCATTAAAAGCCCAAAATCGCTAAAAGCGTTTTTTCATTTGAAATCGCGCTTTTAGTTTCTACTTTTTCGTTGAATTAACGCTTTCGAGCTTCCACTGTAATGGAGACCGCAGCGTTGGAGGAGTCTCGGCAGGTTCGGAGGATAGGTGAAATTCCTTCGGCTGAAGAATTCGCTTCTCAGATTGAACGCAAGAATGATCCAGTTGTAAGTTCCTCTTCGTACATCTCATATAGGAACCTCTTTTTTTTTTTTTTTTTTTTTTTTTCGGAGTGCAAGCACTGAGCAGAGAATGTACACACTGGTAGTTGGCGGTATTGTAATTTTATTTTATTTTTTTGGTACTGTCCAATGAGAAGGTTTTCAGTGGATGCATAAAGGAGTGGAAGGCGTTTTCGAAATGGAATGTGTCGAATGGCGGGCTCGATTATTTGCAGGTAAGTTGCTCTCGTTGCAGGGGTTTGAAAAATTGGAGGTGAAATTCACAGTTAAAGGGTTGTGTTATTCGGAAAATCGATAAAAAAAGGAGTTATTACTATATTCTATTGTTATTTGCTGTCTACAACAACTAGGAGATTTTGGTTATTCAAGAACACTGGGGAAAGCTGCAGCTATATGTTTATGCCATTGGACACCACTTCTCTACATTGTACTACGCTGATACGAGCTACAAGTTCATACAGAAAGTGATAATTTTTTGGATATATTGTAGTTTTACAAATGTAATTTAAATGGGGTTCTAGGTGCTTAGTTGATTTCGAAGGTGTTTTTGAATGTGTCGAATGGCCGTCCCGATTATTTGTAGGTAAATTGCTTCTTGTTGCAGAGGTTGAAAAACTGCAGGTGAAATTCAGACTTAAAGGGTTGTGTTCCATTGGACACCGCTTCTCTATATTGTACTAGTTGAAACGAGCTATAACTTCATACAAAAAGTGATAATTTTTGTTTATATTGTACCTTTACAAATGGAATTTAAATTGGTTTCTAGTTGCTTAGTTGATTTGGTGGTGGTGTTGACTTCATGGGCCCTAGACATGGTTGATCCTTGTGTTTTATGGGAGAAGTGAACTGAAGTCTTTTCCATGTCAGGAGTTGGCAGGCGTTACCGTTGTTCAAGCTATGGCTTCCAGATCTGCACCAATATTTTATGGAGATATAAGAAGTCATGACAGGGTGATTTTCTTTTACTGATATAGCATGGAAGTATAGTAATTATCTGATTATTCTGATGTTTACTATTTACTGTTATTCTTTGTAAAGGTTCCAGTACCATTTTCTACCTTCATCGGGTATTGCAAGGATCTTCTAAAATGTGGAGATGATGGCCGTGACTCTATGCCTGACACACTGAAGCATAAACTAGTTGAAAATTCTAAGGAACATAGTGAATCCATCACTGAAGAAGCATGTCCAAGGCAAATATATCTTGCTCAGGTAAGTTGTGGTGTAAACCAGTTAGGTTGTTGATTGTCTTTTAATGTTGTTGAGGGCTTTCTTATCTTTGACTTGGTGGTTGCTCAATTTCTCAATGAAAGGCTCAGCCAATTAGACAAGAATGTACTGCGGGCTTTGTTTCTATGTTTTTTAAACTCCACTCGACTCTGATACAATGTTGCCTGTTAATAAAAAGTTTGAGTGGTTCTTTGAGATTATTTAAGTTAATTAACAAGCAATTGGACCTTTGGAGTTGGGATCCATGGCTATGTCTAGCATATGTCTAGTACTTCAACAAGCATGTCCTGACAATGAGGCAACAAGCATGTCCTGACAATGAGGCAAAATTCTTCTAAATATTACTATTGTTCTTTTTATGTTCAGTAAGTAGTATGTGGTTTCAATAACCAAGTATATCTTTGTCTCCTTAGCTGCTTCATTTTTTGTTATCTTGGTTTCATGGTGTCTTCCCAGATGAGTGACAGTCACATGGTATAGGTACCGATTATGAATGGTGAGAATGAGGAAAATGTTCAGTTGGAATGTCTACAAGAAGATATAGAAACGGTATGTTTTTTCTTGCCTTCTCATTTTCCCTCTTCCCTTTATTTGACTTATTTGAGCAGCTTGAATCTTACTTTTTAACTTATTCAAATGGGATTAATACCTTTGTTTTCATTCAATAGCCTTCGTTTCTGGTGGGCAAAATTCTGGGTTCTGTCAATTTATGGATGAATAATGCCGCATCTAGATCTAGTACTCACTATGATCCACACCACAACCTTTTATGCATAATCTCAGGGTGTAAGAAAGGTATGGAATTTCAATGTGCTAATTTATAATCATATTCTAAACATATATTTATCTACCATGATGAACTCCCAGTTTTAGTTTGTATGCGCGATTATGAATGATGATGGCGTGCATACTCCTGTTAAAGATTTTGTTTAGTGAGGCTTTTTGGCAATTTGTTTTCAGCTTTAGCTGATGATATTGATGTTAGCATTGTGGTTTGAATTTTCAACTCGATTGCCAGTTTTGTGTTTCCAATTAAGGGAATGAAGGTTGAAATATCTCTCATGGAAGCCTAAAATGTTGGAAGTCGAAAAATCTCATGGTTTTATGTGATGAGTGTTGTTCTTATGTGTAAATGGATATGATATCCCATGTAACTGGCTGTAAAAAATGAAATTACTATTTTTGGGTCCATAGCGAATATTTTATTGTATTTTTCTCTCCTAAGAATTGTGTTGCTGTAAAAATCAAAATATGATTTACATAAAAGTATAGTCATTTAACCCAAGTACCCACATTCCAGAGCGAATATATTCTTGGCAGGCTTTCCTTAGAGGGCATGTGTTTCCTGATTACTCTGTGTATGTAGTGGGATTTGGGGGGTTTGAACCTCCTGTCTAGAGAACTCTAGGCTATTAATGTTAGGTGATCATTTGCATACTTTCCTTGTTTCCCGTTACTTCCTTGGTTTTTTTCCTAATAACACTTTTACATATGCATGTTATCCGTTGGGAAAAAAACATTTTGGTTGTCAGTTGTTTTGTGGCCTCCTTCTGCGTCCCCCTTCTTGTATCCACTCCCCGTGTACGGTGAAGCCTCAAACCACAGGTATATGCTATCATTGGAATTTTTCTCGCATTATCTCTCCTTCATATCAACCTACTCCACTTCACATATAATTCTATTCTTCAGCTGGAGATTTATGCTGGTGGTCATTAACCATTTTCTATTTCCCAGTGCTGTTCCGTTAGAGAACCCAGATTTCAGTCTCTATCCCAGGGCAAAATCAATGTATGAGTACTCTCAGAACGTTGTTCTTCATGCTGGAGATGCCCTATTTATTCCAGAAGGATGGTAATGCAATTCTGTTTCTTCTTTCTGAATTATGCATTCCAAGAGAATTTAATGTGGTGTTAAGAGGAGCTAGCAAGATTGGGAATGAATTTAGTTGGTAGTTTATAATTTCTTAGTATTAACATTGCTGCATGAGGCAAATGCATGAGGTGGATCTGCTATGGATCCAGTACTATGTGTGACATGCTTGTGTTCAGTCCATTACTTATATATATGCATTTTTGGTATCATCTGTTACACATTTTGGATGAAGCAAATGCATGAGGTGGATCTGCTATGGATCCAGTACTATGTGTGACATGCTTGTGTTCAGTCCATTACTTATATATATGCATTTTTGGTATCATCTGTTACACATTTTGGATGAAGCAAATGCATGAGGTGGATCTGCTATGGATCCAGTACTATGTGTGACATGCTTGTGTTCAGTCCATTACTTATATATATGCATTTTTGGTATCATCTGTTACACATTTTGGATGAATAGCTGTAAGTGCAATATGTTTAACAGATGCCCTCTAGCTTTTGTTCCAGGTTTCATCAAGTTGACAGTGGAGATTTAACCATAGCTGTCAATTTCTGGTGGCAATCTGACGTGATGTCTGGCATGTCAGAACACATGGATGGATACTATCTACGTAGAATATTAAAAAGGTACACCCCTGTTCTTGGTACTTTTCACTGCTGTTTGGTACTCAGGCACACGCTGAAATTTTCGTCTGCTTTCATGTTTGATTGGCGTTTACTCTGAACATCAAGGTTGACGGACAAGGAATCAGTAAGTAATCTCTATGCGGATCTGTTATTTAGTAATGGATCAGATTCTTCTAGTATACTCTGCCATATGTTTGGATTTCTTTCTATCACATTAGCATCTCTTATAATCTCTATGATATGATGTTAATTCTTTTGATGATTGGTTAGATTCAGGTAACTAAGCCAAAACCATAATTTTGGATTCAAATATAAATCTATATTCTTTTGGTGATTGATTGAATTCAATTAATTAAGATACACAAAGTTAAAGTTATATTCCAAACATTCCAAGATCACTCAAAACTTATGTACTCGGTGCGGCTTCTTGAGGACCTTTTCATATGTGAATGTGATATTTATTACTACTACTGAATCATAGAAGTTAAGTCTTAATATACCATATCATATGATATTTCATAGTAGTATCTTTAGGAATTTTCACAGTATGTAATTTCCTAGTTATATGTTACGTCATGGTGGTTTATATTTCTGTTATTCTAAAATTTGATTTTACACTTAAAATCCTCACCTGAATTTGCTTGTTAGACTTTTCATAATCTGGTGTTGGTTTGACATTTGGTTTCTGGCATCCAATAGGGATGAATGTGTCATGTTGAATTTATGGCTTGCTTGTCGCTATACTTTTATTTTCCCTTTGATTTTCATCTCAACCTTTCTGTTTCAGTTAGAAGGTTAACAACTTGTTATGTGTTCAGGACAGGATCGAATGCTTTGTATATCTTCCACTACTACAGATAAAAAGGTGATAGATGCAGGCCAGTTAACTTCGAATGCAGGTTGGAATCACATGTTATCTACATTTTCAGCTCTGCTTCACTTGACGGAAATATATGTTCATTTACACCTAAATACGATTAGTTATTTTGCTTGGAACACAATATTAGCATGCCATATCTTTGTGATAGATTTGGATGTCGTTCATCAAACATTCAGTTTGGAAGGGAAAATGGACCAAGGATTTTCATTACAAGAACTGGAACCATCAACACTAAGGTCTCTATATTCACTTATCTCAATAGTGCACGACCGTGTCAACCACAGTCAACTGGGAAACAACAGCTCTGGTGACAATTCTGCCAGTGGGTCGAAAGATGGAGTACAGAAAGCTGTTACAGCAAATTTATTTAACTTGGAAGATGATCCGATTGCTAAACTTGTTTGGACTCTTCAACCACTTGCCTTTCGGGACCTTTTCTTTGCCATGGCTGTGAGTTATCTCCCCCTCAAAATTTACATGTTTTATTTGGCTGAACAAGCTAAAAGAAGGGCACATGGCTTGATTCCCTATTTTTTCCCCAATTTTATGTAGTCTCATATCACTGTTCAACAAATTATGTACGAATTTTATGCTTATACATAAAATGAATAACCTCTGGAACATTCAAACTTTCCAAAAGAAGAAAAATAAAAAATCCTGTTATGAAGCATTATTATATAATCATGCAAAGTAAACGTTTCCTTGGAGACAACAATCCATCATTATTCCATTGAGAGGGTAAGAGGTTGCAATTTTATTTTCATTGTTATGCATTTATTATTGTTTTTTTTTTTTTTGTCAGAGTATGTTTATCAATTTGTGCTGTACTATGTAGGATTGTCGCTTATTTTGTTTCTTCTTTTTCCCATATAGAAATTCTTTTGAATTTTGTACAACTTTTAGCCATTTTTGTTTCAAAATTGATATATAGAACATGTCTTTTATGGCATTTTGTAGCATAATTTGCATTTTGTATTTTACATTTTGTCTTTTGAATTTGCATTTTGTAGCATAATTTTCCCAGAACATTGGAAGCTTATATATTACATGCCCTTTCCCCTGTGGGTGTTGAAGTCCTTACCAGGAAATTTGAACAGATGGATCAAATGCTTCTTGCAGATGATCGGTACAATGAATTTTTCCTCTCTTTTTGTGGTTTCTGTCTTAATGAATAGTTATCTAAGGTTTTTTAATGTTTTCAGGAGTCAGTTTTACGAGAAATTCTATAGTGTGTTTGATAACCAGTTTTATGCCATGGATGCACTTCTGAATGGAAAAGAAGCATTTGCAAGCAAGGTATCCTACTGTTCCTTTCCTTTTATTTCAAATTGTTGCCCTCACATGCCTTTCTCATCCTGTTTAAGATAGATGAAGTTTCCAAACCTATCTTGATTTTAAATTCTGGATCCTTCCTAAAGACCTCAATCTTTTAGTTTTTGCTCTCTCAGTAAGTAAATTTTGATTAAATAACTATTTCAGCATCAGTGTCATTCTACTGTGTTCCTTTATCTACCAAATCCTTACAATGTCTGTAGACATCAGTATTTTGGATATTTGATTATCTGCAAACCATTTGCTGGGATCATTATGATTTTCACACAGTTATGACTATGAAAAGAAAATTTTCTTGATTCTGCATGGTGGCACGCTATCTTACTTATTAATTATTATAAGTTATAACTACTAGGGTGTAGTTGAATGCATTAATACTATGATTATATGCTAGCGTCAAGTATTTCATTGTACTGTTTACCTCAAAGTACTCTTAAGAATGCTCAAAATCTTAATTGGTGGAAGGAATGATGTCCTTATCTGGCATCAGATGTTAATAGATGGAAGTCGAAACCACAAGTTTTCCTTTCCACAGGATGATGTATTCTGAAGTGTCTATGGGAAAAATCGTGCGGGTTTTGTGTGTAACAGTAAACATCCTGTTGTTTCGTTCCCTATCCTGACACTTGTTTTGCATATTTATTGAGCACTTGGCTCTACCTCAGTGTTTGTTATAATTAAAATAATTTGCATGTTATGCAATGACCAAATACATCTTTAAACATAGTTCAATTTTATGCTCAAGATTCGCTTGACTTGTTTAATGAGTCATTGAGTTGATTGAATGTGCTAAACTGTGGGTGAACTTGCATCTTTGAAGCAGTTTCTTACAGGATTCTTTCATTGCAACAGGCATTTAACAATGTTTTGGTCCAGTATCTGGGGATTAATCTTGATGGCCAAAAACTATAGCTGGGAGGAATCACAAGGGTGATGGTAATCCTATGCCAGTTGCTGCTACTCATGGCTTTTGAATCATGTCAAACTGAAATGGGGCATCTGTATTGGTTTAGATACATTTTAGCTGCAATGCATGTGATGCTGTTGTGTCGTGTTAATGGGTTACTGATCTCTGCTACGCGAAATTTAGCACTGCTGAAATTTGTGCGATGCATGAACTCACACATGTACAAGTTTCCTTTTATTTTATTTCTAGTTTTAAATCTTTTCTTGCTTCTTTTCATGTGGTCTATTATGATTGAATTTATATCTAAATTGTGATATGATTTATTCTTCTTGATTTTCATGGAGGGCTGTTGTTGTTGTTGATCTGTTCTGATGGGATTTGTAATGTTTGATTTGATGAAATCTTGAACCCTAGAATTTGAATTTCCACCTGAGTTTGGACTTACAATCATATCATGAACAATTGAAACCCTAATTAATTAGTCTGCAACAATTGATAAACCCTTTTGATTGTTTGTGTTCTGTCGTAAATATCAAATCAATCAATTATATATATATTTTTATATTATACTATAAATTTATTTTATATTTAAAATATCAAATTAACTTATATTTATAGTTCAAAAACAAATGTTTATTATATATTAGTACATATATATATATATTATATGTAAGCAATAAAATAATACTAATATCTAACCATGATTAATAATATTTGTTGCCATACTAATATGTAACCATGATTAATAATATTTGCTGCCTCTTTCAACATTGCTTCATTACATTCACAACCAAACCGACGCCTCTTCAACCCTATTTATACTTGTGCTTATCTCTCTCTCTAAGTGAATCTATATATATATATATATCTCTGTATGTATGAAGAAACAGTGTTGCTAATTATATATATATATATATTTTATTATTATTATACATATGTATATATATGTATTTGATTTATGGCCATAATTTCAAACGAAACCATTGAGTAGAGAGAAGAGAATAATATCCAAAATTGTATCATCTCATCTCATTCATATGAATTTTCAGTGGTAAAGAATCATGCTTTTTGCTCACGGCTCTTTTCTACTCCCAGATTCTCTCTCTCTCTCTCTCTCTCTTAATTCTTACACACACATAAAAAAAAAAAAAAAAAAAAAAAAAAAGAAGAATGTAGGTCCTAATTTTGTAATTTTAAAAGTAATTGAAAATAATAAAAAATTTAATATTTGATGTGATCTTCATTTGGTATAATATTTTTAAAAATTTTAATGTAAATAAATCGTGTCTAAAATTTCAAAATTGTTTGTATAATCAGACGGTAATACTCCATATACATATATAATTTTTTTTATAATGAGAGTAAAAATCAACAAACAATTCATATTGGGCCTAATATTTAGCATTAACTTGGGCCTATTATTTAGTAAATTGGGCCGATAATTTGACCCATTATTTAATGGGCTTATGTTGTTAAGTTGAGCTTTTATTTTAAGTTTCTTCGGGCCGGCCCGTTATTTCTGAGATTCTAGAAGCTATATACATATATATAGAGAGATATATATCTGCAATTTTGAATACGTGCAACGCCGGCTTTCCAATTGACAATGGAGATGTTCCCCCTAATGGATTGTGGTTCTGCTAGCGGAGAATGAAGCTCGGGGAGCTTGAATTGTTGATTGTTTTGTTAGGGTTTCTGGTTTACTGGAACAATGCCGTCGCCGGAGAATCGTTGTCGTGCTTGACGGTGTATAGAGAAGGAGGCGCGCCGGCGGTGTTCCAATCGCCAAAATGCCCTCGCTGGACCATATCGAGCTTCAAGAGGCGATCCGACGGGGAGTCTGGTTCGTCGCCTGCGATTTGTCAGTCAGCGATGCTCCAAGGCCGCCGGAAGTCGCAGGAAGACCGGACGCTATGTGCTTCGAATCTTCGAATACCTTTCCCAGGTGCAATTGTAGTATGAAGTTATATTGGCTAGGATGGTTGAAGTTCCTCTACAGTTGGAAGTTGAGTGATTAAAAGTTTGTTTATTATGTCTTTTGTTTTCTTTGAAGGTCCGAGAGGGATTACCGAAATGAAAGTCGGGATAATGGCAGTTTTCGACGGGCACAATGGTGCTGAAGCTAGTGATATGGCTTCCGAATTGCTTCTGGAGTACTTAGTTTTGCATACTTATTTTCTTCTTGACACGACCTATTCGATTTTGTCTAATAAATTGATAAGACGGCTGCCGGATAAAGGAGAAGAGGGTTCTGGTTTTCAGAAGGTTGATTGGAATGAAGATTTTGAGCAGCAGATTCTTGATCTCGGAAGGTTCTTCTTTGCTGAGATCATTATAGAACGTACATGTATCACATCTTTATAATGATAATAATCTGCACAATCTGGTAGATTGTTTCTTACGTACAAAAAATCCCAACCAGAAGTTGGGTGATTTGTGAATTAAATTTAAGGTGACTATCCCTTAATATGGAAAGTTTCAGAAACATATATATATATATATATATAATATACTTCAACAAATGACTCATTTTCAGTCTTAAGTGAAAATGGTAGTAATACTTAATTTTATGTCTCCGAGAATTTGAGTTGAATCTAAAATTTTGAATATATCAAAGATTTTGTTATTCACATCTTTCCAATTTGAGGGTTGGACTTATTATATGAATTCATCATTATAGACATATATATACATCAGGTTTGGTTTCAAATATAATATACATTATTCATCTTTGTGCTAGTTTGGGACTCAATTGAAAATTTATGTAGGTTCAAGGTGCCATTTTCTGCAATTATGGATGGATCGTTCCCTTTTGAATTATTGAGGGAAGCATTGTTAAGGGCAATCCGTGACATTGATGCTGATTTTTTCAAGGCAGGTTATTTAATTCTTATGTATATGAGGATTTAAGATACTATCATCTTAACACATGTGGCTTTTTGTTTCTATGAAGGATGCTTCTCGATACAACCTCACATCTGGTACTACATCAACAGTTGTACTACTAGCAGACTCTCAAATCCTCGTTGCTAATTTAGGTGACTCAAAGGCATTCTTGTGCTCTGAAGTGTATCAATCTCCTTCAGAGGCTAAAGGTTGGTACATTCTTGATTTCTCATCATGCTAAAAAAATCAGTCTAGTTGTCTGTTTATGCTAATATAATTTAGCAGTCAAGATCCCGACTTTCATAAGTTCACTAACTTGCTATCCTCAGTTCCCCACTATTATGGCAGACCCGTTCTTGTTACTCATTAGGATGTTCACCTTTGATTCAGATATAATTATCTGCTGCAAAATGAAAATATAATTGATGATTGAATGAAAAAAAAAAAAAAAGAATAAAATTCATATGTTTTATTTATAAATTGCCCTTTGGATATTGCAGCTACTTTATTTCGGGTGTTCAGACAGAGAAGAAGTCAAGGTGTTGTTACATCCTTAGAAGAGTATCATCGCCTAAAATCAATAGCATCTAATGGATGGAGCTTTTTGATTGCTAAAGAACTAACAAATGATCACCATCCCGATAGACTGGATGAAAAACTTAGGGTTGAGTCTGCTGGGGGCTATATTACAAAATGGTCGGGTGTAGCTCGGGTTAATGGTCAATTGGCTGTATCTAGAGCAATTGGAGACATAAATTTTAAGAGGTATGATAGGTTTCTGTTCCTGAATTTCTCAGCGTGATTAAATTTCCTGCTGGAAGAGAGACATCTAACTCTGGTTTGAATGCTCGCAGTTTGGGTGTAATTTCAGTGCCAGAGGTGACTGATTGGCAACCTTTGACCAACAATGACAGCTATGTAATTGCTGCTTCTGATGGTGTTTTTGAAGATCTTACCCCCCAAGATATTTGTGATGTATTGTGGGAACCCCTATCTCATTTGACATTGCCACCAGAAATCAATTCTTCTTGCTCTTATTCATTAGCAGATTGTATAGTCAATATGGCTTTTGAAAGAGGAAGTACCGATAACTTAGCAGCTATCTTGGTTCCACTGAGGGTATTAGGTTCCTCTGACACTTTTGCAATGGACAGGAGTTATAAGGCGAGTAAATTTGATTACTCCACAGATGCAGATGAAAGGCAGATCTATGAGAGTTCAGGTTATTCTCTTTTTCTAAAATTTAATATGCCATATTTTATAAATCTTTGAAGTATTTTTCTAGTTTCCTCTTTTGAGTGATTTTTGTACTGGATATTCCTTGTATATCCTTTCATTATTCCCTGTATATGAATTATACCTGTAACTAGGAATTATGAAAGATATAATCATAATTATTGGTAGCTGAGGCTAGGTGCCTTATTTTCTCGCAGATATAGTGTAAAAAATGAAGCACTTGTATGAATCTTAGAGTAACGTCTGCATGATATAGTCATATCTTGTTGTATCCTTTTATAGATTAAAAATATTCATTTTTATTTTTTAAAATGTCATAGAATTTGAATTATGGTATATGTGTAGTTATACTATAAAGCTAGGATCTCAGAGTAGCTTCTGCAATAATGCATTAGGATTCTATTCTTCTTCAATAATGCAGTGTTTGAGTTCAGGAAATTCTCATGTTCTGAAGAACGTATGAAAAAAAAAAAAAATGACTTTCTTTTGAAGATAACTACGATTTTTAAGTTTCAAAATTTTGTTAGATATCATTCTATTAAATAGATCAAATTCAAAGTGGTACTGGGATAAAAAAAATTTAGATTGTATAATTTCTTGGAGGGGATATGCATCAAAGAATATGTTGGCAATTAAGTACAATAAATATTGTAGACATGAACAGATAGATCCTAGGGCATGTCCATCTTATTCTTTGAAAACCCATTACTTATATATTCTTGGAAAAAATTGAGTAATACATTGTAGATTTACTTCTCGATCGAAGGTCCTCATTACTTCAGGGTAGTTTATGGTGATTTTGGAAATGTTTCAACAATAATACTTGCCTTGTATTAATATGAAATTCTCCATTTGATATGGATTTTGTTTCAAGTATTATTCATAACAACCTAATCATTGCCACATGCTTTTTCTATCAGCTGATGGCAAAACTTCAGTAGTCGCAGAAGTGCAGCCTTATCCAGATGTTGCTAAGTTTGATAGGTTACTGGTAAGAATTAAAAGAAACAATTTGATGCTCTGATTGCCAATGGAAATATAATTGTTATGGGTGACATTCCTGATTTTTTAGGGATAAAGTTATTTCTCCAAAAGCATTTTCAAACAAAGGACATAGATCCTTTGAAATATTTCCTTAGTGTATTAGAATCATTAAGGATAGTAAATTATGTTTCAGACTAATGAAGGTTTTCATATAGTCAAGCATATGGCGAAGTAGGGGCAAAGCATTGTACCACCCCAATGACTACCTTATCGCAACAAAAGAAAGTCGGTGGTAAATCAATTCATGATCCACAGAGTTGTTGGAATGTCCAACTATTAGCACTAACTGTCTAACTCATTCAAACTTTGGTTTTTTTAGCAAGTGTACCACGTGGTTAAACTCCTATAATCAACTATTGTAGGCTATAAAACATTTGACACTTGCAAATTGACACATTGTTAACAAACATTGATTTTGGTTGTATATTAATATTGTTCGAATTTTTCCTGTCTACAGGTTGAAGGAAAACACAACAGCTCTGGATGCTTTTATTTGTCTGAGAACCTTGATGTGAATGATGATTACACATTTTGGGTCCATAAAGATGACTGGGAATCCGTGTCTGATCTGTCGCCTGCTTTAATTGTCCCAGATACATTTTTCTGGAGTAAGTCAAGTTGCTGTTTCAACAAAAAATTAAAATGATTACATAGAAAAAGGATCTGGTTGAGTTTTTGTATTTGTGTTGGTACTCTTAATTGATTTCCCAGTTATTTGGACAGGTGGACCATTAGATTTATACAATGATCAGCATGTATGTGTTCATTTTGGAAGGCATATTAATAAGGATAAAGATCAGTGCATCAATTCTGATGGGTTTGCAAGATTTCTTGGTTTGCTGGGATCCATCCCCTTTAACATTGGTCAGAATGATCAGATGTCATTAGAAACGAGGTAGGTGGGCTTCCCGGTAACATTATACTCCTTTTGTCCCACCTTAGTTGTCCAGATTCCTGTAGAAACAGGAATTTAGGCAAGGGTATAATTTGCAAATAATTAAGTATGTTATTAAAAATAATTATTATATTATATAAATAATTATAAATTAAAATGAATATAACTAATTAATTTTGTTAAAAAATTAAGAAAACTATAAATTATGAAATTTAAAATGCGATTAAATTGTATAATTATTTTCCAAAAAAGAAAAGGGGCAAATTATACTGAACGTACGGAAATGAAAAATATGGACAAGTTATGTGCAATGAACGGAGTAATATTTTGTTTTATATTTGAAATTCTAAATGGTGTAAGGTTGTCTTGAGTAGTGTCAATTGTTGTGTTGCTTGTGTTAGTAATTACCTTTAAGATCTGGCTGATCCTTTTTCCATATGATAACTATAGCTTTTCAAGATGGTTGGACTTCTTTTACCATGGCAGCTGAAGCCATAGGGATATAAATGCAAAATGATTTCACTTTTGCATTCTTTTGTAACAGGTTTCTGAGCTATTCATAAAATAAAATGGTAGTTTATTATTATATTATTATTATTTTTGATCTAGTATATACTGCAAATCACCGATGCTCCATGAATAGTTATACTGTTATTCATTTGAGCTGACTTCAGTTGTCTCCATATGTGACAATGCTAATGTAGGTGGGTGTGACGCAGATAATTAATTACATGTGGTGCGAACTTTTTGTGTTATAGGCACGAGTTTCTTTGTTTTGTTAGGAATAACTGTACTGTTTGTTTTCTTGTTATAATGTGGGGTGGCAAATCACAAATAACAATTCAAAATTTATCACAGTTGAAGAAAATCAGGTCAAAGTTTCCCGTGCAATAGTGTGCTGCAAGATACTATTTCTTGCCCAATTTTGTGTCATCTTGTGAATTCCTTTAATCCTCTAGCTGTTGCGTATTTTGTGTGTATGCTTTTGGAGTTTTAAATATGTGATGCTATGATTGTAGGTACATATTAAAGAAAAAGTTTGACCGTGGAGCATATGGTGAAGTTTGGCTTGCTTTCAATTGGAATTGTTCTCAAGTTGGAAAAGACATCAAAGGAAGACATATAGGAAACAATGTACACGAAAATGAGCATTCGAGGGCATACGATAAAAATATGGATGGAAGTGCTTTTTCTGAAAATTCCAGTGCTGGGTATTCTGCAGATATTCTGTTCATCTTAAAGCGCATAATGGTAATTATATTTATATGCTTTCAGTTGGACTGCAGTCACTGCATATTCGTATGTTCAATTGGGATGCTTTGCAGACATATAACTCAAAAGCTTTGTGGTTTTTGATAAATGCCTGGTGAATGAATTGCATGGAGGCTACTAAAGTCCTGTAAATGTGATGAACTTGAGGGCATTTTGCATGCTTACATTTAGAAGGAATATTGCTCGTTGTGCTGCATAGAAATTCTAACTTGCCTTATTCATAGTAATTGGGGATTTGGAATAATTACCAAATACACTTATCTTGTTTCTTTTATGCATTCTGTTGTTTATAAGCCATAGAGTTATCTGTCGAGACTTGTGACCTCATCAGTTTGGTTTCGTATTAGAAACATTTTTCACTTGCCTCAATCATTAAACGCTTGCTTTGTTATATTCTATGGCTTTCTGTGAGCAGGTGGAAAGGGGGGTGTCTGCTTACCTGAGTGGGCTACGGGAGAAGTATTTTGGTGAAGTTTTTCTAAATGCATCAAATTCTCTGTGTGCATTCTCCTATACCGGAGAACCAGATTTTGTCCAAAAGGCATCTCAATGCAATACACACACCTTCATATATGCCAATGAATCAGTTGGACATAAAACTAAGAGACTCTCAAGTTTTAATGATGAAGGTTTTGGGGAAAAAGAATGGGATGAAGCTGCCTACGAGGAAGGGCTAAATCATATTGCAAGATATGTGGAGTCTTTTGAGTCACGAACTAATGAGATCTGGCTTGTATTTCGACATGAAGGTACTTCCTTGACAAAACTTCTGTATACTGCCGAAGAAGTTGCAAGTGATGCTGATGAGGAAGGAAGTGAACGTGGTGGTAAGCGTGTTCAGATCTTGCGGCCATCAAAATGGTGGCACTGGTTGAAGACTACAGAAGCCGGGAAAGAGGAGTTTCGTAAAATTATATTGCAGTTGGTATGGTAATAATATTTTAACTTAATAGGGAGCTAGTTTCACAAAAATAGAAACTATCTCATTGTACTTTTTTAATTCTGTTCAGTTGCTGGCACTCAAATCCTGCCATGATCGCAACATCACTCACAGGGATATCAAACCTGGTAAGGAGAGAGTCCATATTATGCATTTGATTGCTTTGTTTTCTCACATGCGGCTGTCTACTGAGGATGCTATTTGTTTTCTGTTTGCAAGAAAACATGGTAATATGTTTCGAAGACCAAGAATCTGGAAATTGCTTAAGAGGGAGTCCAGGGACTGAAAAGAATTACACTACTAAAATGTACAGCATACTTGAGGCATTTGTTTGGTTCTTTCATTTACTGTTTTTCAAAATGGTTTTACTGAATACCTCATTTAGTCATTTCTGTACTGCAATTTATGTAATCCATCATTTTTATCGTCCACAAATCACATATACAAGATAAGCCAAAACAATATTTGCTATCTTGGCTTATCTTATATATGTAATATCTGTGTATCTAATATCTATTCTATCATTTGATGTAATGTTATAAAATTGGGTCATATTTGATCCACTAGATGCTCAGCTTTTTATAATCTGTGTATAAACATTATCTTGCTACACATGGTCTTTTTGACTAATGCATAGTACTCTTCTGCAACCTGGGCTTCTTGTTGATGAAATTCTCTTTATCGATTACAGGCGCATCATTGACTTTGGCAGTGCTGTGAATGATTTCACTGTGAAGCGACTGTATGGTTCTGTTGGGCCTTCCAGGTATTATATGGATATTATGATCATTCTTTCTCAGGTGTATTCGCTAGAAATTCTAAGCAAGTCCAGAAATAAATTATCTTAAAGTCCTTTAATTCAGTCAGTAGTTGGAAAAATTGTGCACCCTTATCATAAAATGAATCCTCCTTTCCCTAAGTATTGCCTAAAAATTTTATAAATCGATCCATGTCTACACGTTAGATCAGTGTTCTGTTTTCTCTGGTTTATTCTTGATTCTTTCCACAGCATAAAAAAAACTTATGTTTTCTTCTCTACCTTGTAGTGCTGAACAAACTTCCGAGTATGCTCCACCAGAAGCTTTCCTAAATGTGAGTTGGTATCGGGGACCACCAAGTGCCACTGCAAAGTATGTTGAATTCCTTTCAATTAGCATTTGTTTTTGGTTTGTTAGTTTTTTAGCTGTGGGATTACTAATGATTAATTTCATACTACTACTGATTTTATTTCCTTTTTCTATGCCTGTTCTCTTGCTAAAAAAACTCTGTATAATAGGTTCATGAGTTCTGTAAACTTCATCAATTAAATTTATATCTATATCTATATATGAGTATTGATTTTTGAGCTGCTTTGTTGGATAGGTATGATATGTGGAGTGTCGGTGTGGTAATCTTGGAGTTGATTTTAGGATCTCCAAATGTATTTCAAATAAGTTCTTTAACTCAGGCTCTTCTAGATCAACACCTAAAGGGTTGGAACGATAGCCTGAAGGAGCTTGCTTATAAGTATGTCCGAAATATTTTATTTCTATTTTTTCATTATAAGACCTCCACACACACACACATATATATGATATATTCCTTGTTCGCAGGCTCAGAGCTTTGATGGAAATGTGCATCTTAATACCCGGAATATCCTCAAAGCAGCTACATCATAATTGGGGTACAAGCGGCCAGGTTAGCCATATTAAATTTTTTTGTTTGTTTGTTTATTCATATTTTGAATGTCAGAGTAAAATCTAGTTTAAACACGACAATTCAGAAATTTGCGCATTTGGTACAGGGTTCGAGTTCTCCAGTTCCCTGGAAGTGTTCTGAGGAATACCTCTCTAATCTAATAAGGAGCAGAGATCCTCTTAAATTAGGGTATGACCTAAATCTGCTCCTCCATATTTATCCAACTTTGACTGAACCTCTATCTTCTCAGCTTTCCAAATGTATGGGCTTTGCGTTTAGTACGCGATTTGTTGAGGTGGAATCCTGTGAGTGTTCTCTTTCATTAGCTTTATACTTGAAATATCGATCAATCTAAATGTACCCTATTAGCTTTACATTATTAACCTCATGAACTTATTGCATTCAGGAGGAACGGCTGAATGTCGAAGAAGCGCTCCAACATCCTTATTTTGCACATCCCGGAGTCTAGGTTAGTAATCCGACATATTTTCTTACGACACGGTACTACCTCAAATGTGCAGAAACAGTAACACCACACCACTTTTTAGTCATCTTACCTGAATATATATATATATATATATACACACACACACGTACATACATACTTCACTAGAGAAATACCATAGATTCTTGCTGTTGAGGGCCTTTATTAATTGCCTAAAATGCCTATCAGTGTAGATTGTATGTTACTTTTTGTACCATTGTTGTTTCTTGTTTATGTATATAGCTTTAAGTGAACTTTCTTCTATGTATGTGTATATAACTATATACACAATAGTTCATTTCTTCAGTGTTTATAGTTGAGATATGAATAATTGTGAAAGTATTATAGATCATATTTTTTGTGTTATTGACCTTGGAATATTTTTGTTGAGTTTTATTGGTATATAATATATATATATATATATATTGTACTAATATTTTTGGAGAATTGTTTAATATTGGAACACCAAGTGAACAAGTCTATGTTTACTTGTGTTTTAGGATGTCTCTTGGTATTTTTGAGTTGTCTTTGATTTGAAACTTTTCTAAGTGTAAAATATAAAAAAGATATATATATATATATAAATGTTTAAATATAAAAATTAAATAAATCCCATTTTCTAAATTACAAGAGGTGGACAATCAAATCACTTCACCTGTGATGAATGATCGATACCTTAACCTTATCTTACAAGAAAATATGGAAAACTGACCCAACACCACCACTCCTTTTTAATTATCAACACTTTGACTCTCCATACAACCTTCCCACTTTCTATGGCCATTACAAAACACACAAATATATATATATATATATATACACACGCATACATATAATCAACATCCAAAATCATCCACCACTTGAAATTGTTACATATAAGTTTTCTCTTTTCCCCAAAGCAAAATAAATAAATAACACATCACTTGCAAAATCCCAATCATTAAATTGACATGATAGTGATGATAGTATGTGTATACATAAATACATACCATTCATAATTTAATACCACAAATGTGGGGAAGTATTTCAATTTAATAAAATTGGGACAGAATCAAATTGTGAGGTTGGCAATTGACCTTACTGTTGTCCCACTAATACTACCAATACATCTTTCATCCCCAAAACGACGACGTTTATTTCAATTTCATTTTCCTCTCTTATTATTATTATTATTATAGTCTCGTACTCAGTCATTAACCCTCCTATTTTGTTTCCTTCCCTTCCAACCACATTTAAAATAATCCGAAAAGTTTGCTTGGTTTGTAATTGGATTTAAATAATATTTCATATAAAAATAATAAATTTTTTATTAACAATTATTAAGAGTGAATAATAATAATATTGATTTAAAATGTATATAGACAAATCCTTTTTAAGTGTGATAAAATTTTAAATTAAAATAATTATTTCATATAATATAACTATGTACTATTATTAAAATTTTAGAAGTAAAAAAAAAAAAAAATTCTTCAAATTCTTCAAAGATTATTTCATTTGAATTTGAATTCAATATTTTTTATTATTCAACTAAAACTCAAATAAAAAAAATACAAGTACAAACAAAATAAATCCAAAATTTTTATTTTCATTTTAAATAAAAGGGACAAATCAAAAAGTGAGACAAGAAAAGGGAATAACTTTTCTTTTTGGTCCTCAATATTTATTTATTTATCCTTTTCCCCAAAATCCATTATTTCTTTTCAAAGACGAGAAAATACTGAGGTTCTGCTTCGGGTTCCCCTCCATCGCTTTGATCCGCACGCTGTTCTTCCTCTCCTCATTTCCAGATTTTTCATTTTCAGATTTTGTGGTTTGTAAATTCAGCAACGGAATTCACCATTTCGTTCCTCCTTGTTTACGCTTCTCTCCTTTTCCATTTACCCTTCGTTTATGGATTTACGGATTTGGTTTACTTATTGAGATCTTAATCTGTTCTACAGTGTGAATTCCGCTGCCAATTTTTAATTTCATTATTTATTCGTTAGATTATCGGATAAATTTTCTGGAATCCATTGCCTCTCTGTAATTTGCTTCGCATTTCTTTCAAAATCAGTGTATTCTGGCATTTATGTGTTGAGTGAAACCATTATTTGTTTGTATGTTCATTTGTCTTCGAAATTTGTGGAAAAGTTTCTGGTAGCTAGCTATTGTGGAGATCCGGGAGCTTCTTCGGTTGTTCTGTCCTATGAGGACAGCTTTCGCTTCAGATTCTGGTGAAGAATCTCTCGATCCTCAGCAATGGCTTCAGGTTGAAAGAGGAAAGCGTAAAAAATTTACACTCGAATCCGAATCTGCTGCATCATCATCATCTTCTATGTATGTTTCTAACTATCTCCTCTCTCTGTTTTTTTTTTTTTTTTTCATATACATACAGATATATATATATATATAATTGTTCCATTCTATTGATTAACAGGTAATCACAAGCTGTACATACGTATATATATATACATATGTGCTTTTTGGTAATTTTAGAGCTCTGATTAAGGTTCACAACATATATATAAGGATATATATATGTATATATGATTTTTGGTGATGTTAGTTCATACATACATTATGTATATAAATGTAGTATTCCCTCGTCAGTAGTGGTTACATCATCGTCGTCATCATCATCATCATACTTAACATTAAAAATATCTATATATTTGTATAATTTTTGTTACAAATATCATTTACATTTATACTTACATTTTGATATAATAATTAATATTGAAATATCAACATGCAAAAAATAAATATCCCTTTAAAGTTGGACTGAAATAGTATAATTTTTGTGATTTTAGAGAACGCTCTGATCCAGGTTCATACATACATTTATGTGTATATATATATATATGATTTTTTGGTGATTTTAGAGAAGCTCTGATCAAGGTTAATACATGCATACATTTATGTTTTTGTTGATTTTAGAGAAGCTCTGATCAAGGTTCATACATACATTTATGTATATATATATATGATTTTTGGTTATTTTAGAGAAGCTCTGATCAAGGTTCATACATACATACATGTATATACATATATATGTTTTTTGGTGATTTTAGAGAAGCTCTTATCAAGGTTCATACATACATACATATATTTTGGAGAATTTATAGAAGCTCGGATCAAGGTTCATACATACATTATGTGTAACGTATGATTTTTGGTGGTTGTAGAGAAGCTCTGATCAAGGTTCCGGCGCCGCGAATTCTGCCGTTCTACAAGCCGGTTGATTACGTCCGAGTGTTGGCTAAAATTCACAAACAGCTCGAGTCATGTCCGCCGGAAGAGAGGTCGAATCTGTACCTGTTGCAGTATCAAGTCTTCAAGGGGCTCGGCGAGTCGAAGCTGATGCGAAGGAGTCTCCGGTCGGGCTGGATGGCGGCGACCACTGTCTATGAGAAGCTCGTCTTCGCGGCGTGGTTGAAGTACGAGAAGCAAGACGAAGAGATCGTTTCTGAATTGCTATCCTCTTGTGGAAAATGCTCGAATGAATTAGATGCCCCCGTCGATATCGCTTCCGAGTTCCCAGCAAACGAGTCTGCTTCGAGCTTTTCGTGCGATGCGACATCGACGATGCTCTCTCACCCTACGGTTACCTTCGTAATAGGAGACGAGACGGTAGTGGGTGACAGGCAAAAGATGGCTCGGCTTTCAGTGCCGTTCAATGCAATGCTTACCGGATGCTTCACGGAGTCGATGAGTAAAGACATCGACTTTTCAGAAAACAACATCTCCCCTTCGGGAATGCGGGCGATCCGCGATTTCAGCGAGACGGGGAGACTGGATAACAAATTGCCGCCCGATCTTCTGCTGGAGATTATGGCGTTTGCGAATCGATTTTTCTGCGAAGCTATTAAGGATGCTTGCGACAGAAAACTCGTATCACTAGTAGCCTCGACACAAGATGCGGTCGAGCTCGTGGACTTCGCCTTCAACCAGACCGCTCCCGCGTTGGCTGCTTCTTGTCTGCAAGTGTTTCTGCAGGGGCTTCCTGGCTCGCTGGACGACGCCCGCATTGTCGAACTGTTGAACAGTCTTGATAAGGATCGAAGGTCGATAATGGTTGGCCCTGCTTCGTATCCTCTTTACTCGTTACTCGCAGAAGTCGCCGTAGACTCTGATCCAGCCTCCGACCTAGCAGTTCAGTTCTTGAACAGGTTAGTCGACTGTGCCGAAACCAACCGGCAGAAAATGGTGGCACACCATCAGCTGGGCTGTGTTAGGCTCTCGAGAAAAGAGTATAAAGAAGCAGAAAGATCGTTCGAGGCTGCGCTACAAGGAGGGCACGTCTACTCGTCCGCGGGGTTGGCGAGATTGAGTTATATCCACGGCCACAAGTGGCGCGCTTACGAAAAGATTAGAGCCGTCGCGTTGTTGTATAATCAGCTCGGATGGGTGTACCAAGAGGAATCGTTGTACTGCCGAGTCGAGCAGCAGTGGGCGGAGCTCCACAGGGCAACTGAGCTGGACCCGACGTTGACGTACCCCTACATGTTTCGAGCTGCGGCTTTGTTCCGTAAGCATGAGGTGCGATCCGCGCTTGCGGAGATCGACCGGGTTCTCGGGTTTAAGCTCGCGTTGGAGTGCTTGGAGCTTCGATGTTGCTTCTATCTCGCCCTCGAGGATTACCAGTCCGCAATGTGCGATGTTCAGGCGATTCTTACGCTTAACCCGGATTATCGGATGTTCGATGGGCGAGTTTTGGCTTCCCATCTCCGTGCGCTCGTGTACGAGCATGTCGAGAAGTGGACGCCAGCGGAATGTTGGTTGCATCTCTACGATAGATGGTCGTTGGTCGACGACATAGGTTCGTTGTCCGTGATATATCAGATGCTCGATTCCGATGCAACGAAAGGTGTTCTGTACTTTCGACAATCACTGCTTCTCCTCCGGCAAGCTTTCAACTAAATATAATCTTCTTATGTTCTTCATTTCCCTTTGGATGATATTATTCTCATCTTATTTTTATCCATGTATAATGATCAGACTGAACTGTCCGGAGGCTGCAATGAGGAGCTTAAGCCTCGCTCGCCGACACGCGTCGAGCGAATCCGAGAGGCTGGTCTACGAGGGATGGATCTTGTACGACACCGGTCATTGCGAAGAAGGGCTGCGGAAGGCCGAGGAGTCGATTAATCTCCAGAGATCGTTCGAGGCCTTTTTCTTGAAAGCCTATGCGCTGGCGGATTCGAGTCAGGATCCATCTTGTTCGTCTACCGTAATATCACTCCTCGAAGAAGCTTTGAAATGTCCATCCGACAGACTTCGCAAGGGCCAGGTATTCGACAAATTTAATTTTCTTACGCCGATCTATCCGCTGCTGTTTAATACCAATGTAGTGATGATCACTCTCCAATGTTATATACTTACCAGGCCTTGAACAATCTTGGAAGTGTGTATATTGATTGTAACAAGCTAGACGAGGCGGCTGATTGCTACATGAATGCCCTGAATATCCGGCACACCCGAGCACACCAAGGGCTCGCGCGTGTGCACTTCCTGAGAAACGACAAGGATGCTGCATATGCTGAGATGACAAAACTGATTGAAAAGGCGAGGAACAATGCCTCGGCTTATGAAAAACGATCAGAGTTCTGCGACCGAGACCTCACAAAGGCGGATCTTGAGATGGTAACCCGCCTGGATCCGCTCCGAGTTTATCCATACAGATATCGAGCTGCAGGTTAGTTCTTTCGCCATCATATATATATATATAACCCGGGCTGCCAATCGAATCGAGCATTACCTGAACAACCTGATGATCGAAAAATGGCTGTGTCATCTGGCTGCAGTTCTGATGGATAATCACAAGGATAAAGAAGCCATTGCAGAACTATCGAGGGCTACGGCGTTCAAAGCAGATCTGCACCTTCTTCATCTCCGCGCTGCTTTCCACGAGCATATTGGTGATGCCAGAGGCGCTTTACGAGATTGTCGAGCAGCTCTGTCAGTCGACCCCAATCACCAAGAGATGCTGGAACTTCACGGCCGCATGAGCAGCCAAGAGCCCTGAAGATCAAACCGGCTTCGGGGACTTAATGTCGACAGCCTAGATGGGAAAAAGAAAAATCTAAGTTAATTGTGAAAGAATAACATACCTTATAGAAGGCAGCTTTACGACGAGCAATCATTATATCATCTATTCTCCCTTCCCTGTTCAAAAATGAAACCAAAAAGAGCAACATCATAGGTGTTTTCGGGATATAAAGAATGCCCGTCTCGGGGGTTCCTGTTGGCGAATTTATGAAAGGAGTGATGGCGGTAATTATAGAGGTCTAAGTTGGATTCAAATGGCTTCTTCAAGTTATTTCCAGAATAAAGCATGTTACAGTGATAGCTAACTCGAGGTTAGAAATATTCGACAAAACATTACATATCCGCCGAAAATTTGTCACGGTGAAAAAAAGGATTTGGTTCAACGCCACGGGCCTCGATGGCAGGTAGAGATTGTGCCATCTACAAACCTGAAAAGCAGTAGGGCTTCATCAAACTAGTTTTGTTATCCCAATCATATATTTCTCTCGAACAAAACGTAAAAATGCATGAATATGTCCTAGTGCAAGTAACATTCCAAACAATCCAATGAAATGGAGAAACAAATTACTCAAATAATCTAGTTTGATGACTATTAATTCATAGTGTACCAAAATCTGTCCCATAGGCAACCAAATAAAGTCGGGTTTTACGATTGGGTCAAGTGAAGAGTGAACTTTAAGAGGAAGATCTTACCTTGGTTAGTTAGACTAGCAGAAAGGCAAATACTTTTCACAGAGTCATTGTCCGCTGAACTGCAGCGTGCGGGTGTAGAAGGTGATCTGATTTGGGGTGGGGAGCATGTGCTACTTCTCGACATTTGATGGTTAAAATACATATCCAAACTTGAAGATACCGTCATTCCTCCCTTTCTCTTGCTCTTAAACCTTCACCTAACAGATATGTGAGGAACCACACAACAACCACAAGCACTCTTTGGTTTTTTTCTATCTAATAGGAAACAAAATATGACCCAATTACACACTAGTAGGTACCTGTCTTTTCTCTTCTCGAGATATCTCAGTACTGAAGCCTTTCTCGTTGATGACCCTTCGGCTGCATTTTAGTGGTTAATATGTAAGCAGAGGATTTCCATGAGGATGCAGTACAAAGGTTCAAAATCATTATAGTTGACAAACTTACGATTCACAATTACTCCATAACCAAGTATAATAACATTAATGTGACAGAACCCAGCTACACTCTTAGGAAAAGATAAAAATTCCCAATGCACATTACAAACATAAACATGCTTTTGTTTGATGTTTTCTATCACAAAGATCAAACTACTGCAAGGCATTTTTTGAAGTGACAAAGATCATGTTAGTTCACAAGGAATACTTGGATGGATACTTTAACTGCATTTAGAACTCATAGTTAGGATCCGGGGGTGGGGTTCTTTTCTTTTCCTTTCTTTAGTTAATATTGGAAAGCAACTCATAAATTATGCACCATTTACTTAATCTACCTATCGTCTGTCTGTCCACATATTTCAGAGTATTTCAGATGCAAATGATTGTATTATTAGCAAGCAGTTTCCGTTAGCATAAAGATAAAAGCTCATATTACAGTAGATCACCTATTAATAAGCAACAACAGAGAGGTATCATATTACACAGGAAAATAGTTTCTTCATCGAAATGTATGTACAAAAAGTACTGAAAAAGCGCTTGTGAAAGTTTTAACTCTAAAAGCATTCTTTTAAACTCTAGTGAATCTTGTGATGCTCAGGGCTTTTGCTTTGAGTATGCAACTTTTTCAACTTCCAGGCCACACATAATAAAACATGCCAAGTTCTTTGCAACGTATTTACTATAAAAAGTAGAACCTCTAGAAACAGCTATTGCATTTCTAGCACATAATATACTAGCTGCTTGAAGAGTAATCTACGATTGCAAAGAAAAAAATCCTACCGGGGGTTTCTTCATGAAGCATTCTAGTTTCTCTTCCAAGCACAATAGCGTTGTCCTTCATTCTCACTGGTAAATAAATTTCAAATGTTCAATTAATATGTGTGTGTATATATATATATATATATTATGTACATGTAGGAAAACTCCATAGTAAAACAACAGTAAAATCTTCATATAAGATAACCCTATGATAAAGCATTAGTAGCTTGTATTATCACCCAGTTTCCTAGTTTGATATTTCAGGATGTCAAAGGCATTGAGAGATAGCAATCGTGACATTTAATATACAAATTTCTTTCACCTGTTTCGGGAGTTGGCAAAATAACAGCAGCAGAATTTTGATGTCCCATAGTACTGCCAGCTTTTGAGATGCACGGCAAATGATGGGATATTGTTGTTACATCAACCTCCTGTTCTGGGAACTTTACCGGACTTGCCGCAACATTCAGTATTGCTTTTGCCTGAGCATTTGTTATATTAGAGACAAACATAAGGGGGGTAAATCACCATTAACAATCATATTAAAATAAACAAATAAGCACTGGATAGCTAATAATAACCAACAATACCTTATCTGCAGGCACATCATCATATACATTTACTTTGCCACAATAAAAGATCGTCATTTGCCCAACCAGTATATTTGTTGAATCAGTGGCCCTGGAAAAACTGAAATCTCTTTAGACAAAACATTATTCACTATTAAGCACCATTTTAGGTTTGATTGATTATGTTTACAGATGTCACAGTCAAAAGAGTAAATGACACAAGAACACGGTTGGCTAACTCCATTGAGATATTCTTTTTGGGTAAGCTTGCCAGGTAATAAATCATAACAGAATCATCTTTTGTAAGATGCTGAATCTATCAAGATTTCAAGGGCAACAGAACTCATAACAACGAATTGAAACCTCATGAATTTATCTTTGGAGATGATCACTACATGGACAAGTTATTCAGAAATCATCAGCAAATAGGAGAAGCTCTAAGGATTGGGTATGACCTGTATTCTTCATTATTTAGATAAGGAAATATTTGTTTTCCAACTTATGGGTTGATAAATACAAATATATTTTACGACATCGTAGAAATAAAAACTGTAGCACATGACACAAAATAATATTTCTTTCTGCTCAATGAAGATGGTGATTTCACAGGTCTCATCAGCAAGACTCTGCGTGCTTGAACAGGCATTGTCAAAAATCATGCTGAATTTGAATAGTTTAAGAATACCTGAACTCCACATTAAAGATTAAATTTCTTCTAGAAAATGTTATGGATTCCATAAGGTGAAGGGTTCACTCAATTCTTTTTTTACTTTTTCTTGACAGAGATCAGAATATCTCATCTTACCACTAGAAAAGATATTGGTTCTAATTAATCAACTTAACAAGAATGTTTCTTTTCCTTTTTTGCAAATGTAAGTACACATATAATGCTTGGTTAATGAATTAGACCTGTAAACTTTTTCTTAGATAACTACATTATCTTAGTAAACTACAATTAAAAAAATCTTTACTGTTAGAAGATGCTGGCCAAGTGACTTTTGTAATGATCACTATCAGTTCAAGCTCTAGGCCACAGTTTTCCTTGATCCACGTCTTATATAACCGTTTGTCCAGTTGCATTTAGCAGTGAGCTCCCACATTATCACTCAACCCCCCCCCCCTTCCCCAACCCACCTAAGTATGTTCGATTGCTGTTTAACATGAATTCTGACCCATCATTTTCGAGAAGATTTCCCAGAAGCTAATATATACAAAAATTTAGAAAACCACATGCATTCATTATGAAATTAAGAAGAAGAAAGAGAAAGAAAAAGGAGAGAGAGGTAAAATAGTAGTAATAATAATTATTATAATAATATTTGAAAGAAGACGTTAGTCAGCTGTTGGAGTGTTGCGCAAGCATTCACCAGATAAATACAAGAATTTATATAAAAAAGGAAAGATAATTAGCAGTAATTATCACATAAGTCATTTCTCTAATGGATTATATAATATGAATAACCTCGCTTGAGCAGATTCATCAATGGCCGCAACATTACGGCCAGGAAAACCACCTGAGGAATCAGGTCTTTCCGGATCTTTTCTACGAGACGCGGTCGTCTCCTCTGCAGAAGCAGAATTTTCAGCATCGCCGCCACTCGTTCCCTTAGTAACCTACATTTATATAATTACAAAAGATGAGGAACTCGCTCGGCACTAAACACGTATTTTAATTCAACAACAACACAAAATTCAAGGCAGAACGTGCACAGAATCTTTTCATCGCCTCCTCCACTTCCACCCTTTCTAGGTCTTTTCCAAGTCAATAAAACACAATATAAATTGATATCTACACAGACGAGTAACGCACGCTCTCTAGAACAGCAGTGTTACTGCTTTGGCTATTATCCGGACACGAGATGCGAAGCTTCTTGCGCGAACTAGCTCCGGAATCCGGCGAGGCTTCCAGCAGCTTCTTCAGCATTATCACTTGCTGAATCGCCTGCGATTTGTTCCAAGAAGGTCTCCTCATTCCTGCGCCAAAATCATCACATAAATTAGCATAAAACCACCGCCTCAAACAGGATTAACAACTGATTCCCCCAATTCCACCCCCAAACTCCCCCTCCACCTCACCTTTCTCCTTGAGGTAACGGCGGCAATCTTCGCGAGTGACCTGAGCAATGTCATCCTCAGTGAGCTCCCCTAGCGGCTTGTCCAGAATAAATTTGGTCTCCTCCTGCGGCATCGCGTGCAATTCCAGCAGCAGTTCCGTAATTAAACCTTCAACAGAGCTCCGGACAGCAGATCGCACCAAAATTACTCGAAATCAAGCTGTTCCTTCTAGGTATTCGAAGCTCCGCCGCAGGCAGTGAGTGAAGAACAGCGCCAGTAGGGGTTTGCGGTAAATGTGGCCGTGGCTTCGCATCGCTGTCCCGTGCGAGAATTTATTTATTAATATATATTTTTTTATTTCTTTAATCGAGTGGTGAGGGTATTGGTTACTTGATGCGACCCAAGTCTGCAACCCCGGTATGCCACGTAACTGTCTCTGTATGTGAATTTATAGTATTGCCCTCTGATTCCTGTCATTTACGATCTTGCCCCTTGATCAATTATTTCCGTTTTATAAAATTAAATTTGACCTTTTCCGGTTATATATATATTTTATTAATAAAACTGTGGGAGTAACTTTCATATGAATGCAAAGGAACGTGCGCCTTTAAATGATGGTGAAAGCAAGCGATAAAGTGCTTAGCGAAACGGCATCGTTTTGAGTTGGCCGGCCCTCTTCATTGAAAGCAACCAGACGACGCCGTTTCGCCATGTATTTTTCTTTCTTTTTTTCCATATTTGATTTGACATTTCACTCGAATTTGTAGAATATAAATTATTATTATTATTATTATATCAAGCAAGCCAAATACTCCCTCCGTCCCCATGTAACATAGTCTATTACTTTAGATAGTAAAAATAATTATAAATTAAGAGATTAAGACAACTAAATAGTTTAATTAAGATTAAAAAAATTTAAATTTAAATTTTTAAAATTTGATTAAAGTGTATATAATTAATTTTCCAAAAAAAGAAATGACAAATTATGTGGGACGGACGAAAATAGAAAATAGAGACAAATTATGTGGGACGGAGGAAGTAATATTTATCTTACCTTAATCGCCAAGGAAATTGATGCGTAATGGCATCTAAATATAATTATTATTTTCAAAGTATATACACTAAGCTAATTAAGATGCAATTCATGGGACAATAACACCAAATTTGGTGGTGTTTTTATTTAATTAAAAATATTATTTATTGTTAACACACGTATTTTAAATCCAAATATTTTTCACAGTCTTCGCACAACCAATAATATCACAATCATGATCGTAAATAAAACACCATTCTTGTGCATAAAAGATAGCTCACCAAAAATAAAAAATTAACATAGTTAAATAGAATGAAAAGTTAAGTTTGATTTTACTCCCTCCGTCCCACATAATTTGTCTCTATATTCTATTTTCGTCCGTCCCACATAACTTGTCCTTTTTATTTTTGGAAATATAATTATACACTTTAATCGCAGTTTAAATTTTAAATTTTATAATTTTTTTAATCTTAATTAAACTATTTACTTATCTTAATCTTAATTTATAATTATTTTTACTAAATAATAATTATTTTTACTAATACACTTCTTAATTACTTACTAATTATATTTTACCTAAATTTCCGTGTCTACAGTAATACATCCATATTATATGGGACGGAGGGAGTAATATTTTTTTAGTATATTACTCCCTCCGGCCCACATACCGGGTCTGCTACACTGTAGACACGGTATTTTAGGAGGGGTGTAATTAGTAGATAATTAAGAATGTATTAGTGAAAATAATTATCCGATAATATAAATAATTATAAATTAAGATTAAGATAACTAATTACTCTAATTAAAATTTTTAAAAAAATAAAATTAAAAAGTTTAAAATGAAATTAAAGTGTGTAATTATTTTCCAAAAAAAAGTGACATGGTATATGGGACGGACAGAAACGACAACGTGACATAGTATGTGGGACGGAGGGAGTACAATACAACATACACTACATTCGTCTAATTTGAAAGTATATATTTACTTTTACTGCGAAGTTAAAAAATAATATTATTGTCGCCTTTTAACTAAGAATTTATTTGTTTTTTATGTATCGAACTTTAAATACTACTAATATTATATTCATATCAGTGTTGTATAATACAAATACAATGATATTTGTATAAAATTTATTTAAATGTAAAAGATATTTTTAATATTAAATATAATAACGCAAAAACAAGTAAATACTTTATTAAGGGACAGAGGAAATAATATATTAATTATAGTAGGTAGTTAAAAAATAATTTTGCCCTTACTAAAGTAATAATAAGATGACAAAATAAGAGTATTTATAAAAAAAGTATATATATTTTTTAAATAATTATTTTATAATTGAACAATTCAAAATAAAAATATATATATTTTATGAGTGAATGGTCGAAATATTATACTCTCCCGTCCCATTGAAAGGTTGTTATTTTCTATTTTTGTAGTTTCAAAACAAGGTTATCATTTTTAAATTTAATAATTGCATTACCTATCTAAAATAATAAATATCTTTTTAATTTACATTATATTATACAAATATCATTATTTTTTTTATTAAACAATACTACTAGAGACATTTTTGTCTTTTTTATTACAATTTATTATAATATTAATATTTAAAAATTTAAGTGAAAAAGAGAGAGGGAATATAATATAATGTCAATAAAAAAATTAATTGACAAAAAAAAATGTAACTACTTTATACTATTATTAATTTTTTTAATTAAAATATTATTAAATATATGCCCTTTTCAATTCTTAAACTAAACAAATATATTTCATAAATTTAAATTTTTATTTAGTTTTTTAAAAAAAAAAAATAAAAAAATTGATAGCTCAGTCTTTTGACTTAGGTCATGAGTTAAAACCCTTTACATGCTATTTATTTAGTTTTTTAAAAAAGAAAAATAAAAAAATTGATAGATCAGTCTTTTGACTTAGGTCATGAGTTAAAACCCTTTACATGCTACAGTGCTATATATACTGAGATTTAAATAATAAAAATTTTGAATTTGAATAATTGTATAATGCAATATAAGTGTTGATGTGATGTTTTAAATATAAAATTAATTTTTAGTATAATATAAAAAATAGAAAATAAGTGTTTGATTTGATATTTTTTTTAAAAAAAAATAAAATAGGATGAATAGTGGATTAGAAATCGAATTAACCAAACAAACGACTTTGATCGAACTTTACTCAGAACTACTCAGTAAGCACATTCATAGCATTGCGGCTCCGACGTTATAAAAAAGAATAATAATAGATAAATAAATTTAGATCGCTGGACACAGGAAAATTTATCAATATGCTGAATCTATAAAGGATCAGCACAATACCATAACCCTTCGGGATAATCTTCTTGTATGGGTTTAATCCCTTGTTGGAGGCCAATCGGGAGAGTTCTGGAAGTCGTTAGACGACGACACGTGTCCTTTAACGTAAATATGACGTGACCCGCCGGTATTCAGGAAGTTTCCTTGATCTCTGTTTCTGTAAATCCATCCAATTCGTACGGTTACATATATATACATCATACATATTGTGAGTCTATATTTCCCCCGCCGTCAAGTTATCCGAAACGCTCAAAGTCTGCAATCGTTATAGACCAGAAATCACATCAGTGTTGATTCGTTGCCTATTGCGACAGGAAGTAGTTCCGGACTTGTTTCGAGGATGTTTGCGAAGAACGACGTCGAAACAGGCCAACGGCCGCTGTACCCGACGATGCTGGAGAGCCCCGAATTGCGGTGGTCGTTTATTCGGAAAGTGTATTCGATCATCTGTGTTCAGTTGCTTCTCACGATAGCGGTTGCCGCTGTTGTCATCTCTGTTCATCCGGTTAAGCACTTTTTTGCAGCTACTCGGGCTGGTTTGGTGCTTTACATTGTTCTCATATTCGTTCCGCTTATTGGTACGTTTCTCGTGTTTGCCTTGTTTTGCTTTTTTCTTTTATCATTGAGCCATTTTTTGTTGTTGTTTGATTCGATAGGATTGTAATTATATGAATTTTTACCTTCTGATAAAAGCTATACTTGAATCGCAGTGCTGTTCCCGTTACATTACTATCATCAGAAGCATCCAGTGAACTATATTCTCCTTAGTCTGTTCACAGTGTCGCTTGCGTTTGTCGTGGGATTGGCGTGCGCGTTTACGAAGGGTAAGTAAATATATTTTGATTTTTTCAAAAGAAAGCCTCTTAGTGAACCTATAGAGGTTTGGTGTTTAATATTGAATCTTGACTTGTTGAGTCTTAGAAGTAAATTTGGAAGGCAAAAATTAAGCACGTTAGATCTGTTTCCGATACTTCATGTGCAGATATAAAAAAGAGTCCGATTAAGACCCAGCCAGACATGTAAATATGTATATAAATTGTCATCTGATTTGTATAATGTATAAAATTTGTTGTGCTAAACAATTTTAATCTAATGTCTATACAGAAACAACAATAGAAATATCATTGTAGAAACTATAAAGGATAATTGTGTGAGTTTGTATATATATGATGCAAACACCAAAAACACTTCTCCCATCACTAGTAGGTAGTAATTCAATTGTATCCTGAAGCATAGAATTGTGAATCTCTTGTTGTTTTCCTAGAATGAATTTTTTAGTGGTATTGTTTTTGGATCATGTTTCTATTGATGAACTGAACATGAGTTTATTCTAATTTCTTGCAGGCAAAGTTATCCTGTTGGCCGCCATCTTAACAGCTGCTGTGGTAATCAGTCTCACAATGTACACCTTCTGGGCTGCAAGGAAAGGCAAAGATTTCAGCTTCTTGGGACCTTTCCTGTTTGGTGCTCTCATAGTTCTTTTGCTATTTGCATTTATTCAGGTGTGTCATGAATGCTTTCTCTACTCTTCTCAGCCTACATACACATTAATTCACAAATTAGTGCTGATAATTCAAATATTTACCAATGCAGATTTTATTCCCTTTGGGAAAGATAAGTGTGATGATCTATGGTTGTTTGGCGGCCATCATCTTTTGTGGGTACATAGTCTATGACACTGATAACCTGATCAAGAGATACAACTACGACGAGTATATTTGGGCAGCTGTGGCACTCTATTTAGATATCATCAACCTCTTCATGGCTCTGTTGACTATTTTCAGAGCTGCTGATAGTTAGTTAGGCTTCAGATATTGTTAGCTTCTGGTTTCAAGTCGGATAATCACTTGTAAATGATTGATAGCGGAGTGCTGTTTAGAAACACTGTCTTCATCTTTAGTTGAGCAATTATGATAATACATTACATTTAGCAGTTCTAAACATTGTTCATTTTGCAAAATCTTTGGATTACAGTGCAACAGGACCAGCAAGTGCTTCAAAGCGCGGACATGATTCTCCTAGTATGTCTCGACTTAGCATTATATTTGTAAGACTTACTCACGAGCTTTTATTTCAATTACAGGATGGTAGCAACAGCCCAACTGGTACTAGGAAAACTCCAGGTACATTACATTTCCATCTTGATGATATTATATACAGCAAGTGCTTTCAAATTGTGACGTGATTCTTCTAGTAAGTCATAGTCATTTACTACTATTTTAACAGAGTAGTTGCTGAGAAATGTAATCTATCGCATTATGGCATGTCCTATATTCCCAGTTGCTGTTGTTAATTATTTTTAAACTCTTTATTAGGTGAAAGTCATGGCAGCCTTTCTTGATCTCATAATCTACTTGCTTATATCCTCTGCAGTATAGCTATATAAGCACTGATCCCATCCCTTTTCTGGACACACACAATTCACTCCTGCTATCAATTCTCCATGGATAAACAGGACAATGATGTGGAAGCTGGAATGCCTCTGCTGCGACCGTTGCACCAGGAACTGCACTGGGCATTCATCAGGAAAGTGTACGCGATCCTTACTATCCAGCTTCTTGCAACCATTTTCTTTGCATCCCTTGTAGTTTCTGTTCCTTCGGTCGGCACTTTCATCAAAGACAGTTCATTTGGTCTGGGCCTTTACATTGCTGTCCTAGTGCTAGCTCTTATTGGTAAGGCAAATATATCGATCTATGACTATCTTGATGAACATGTAAAGCTTCTTTTTGTGAGGTTATATTGTGTCCTTGTTCTGCAGTCGCGATCTTTCTCTACTGTTTCCAGCATTCGTACCCCGTGAACTTCATCCTGCTGGGTATCTTCACCCTGTGCTATGGTTTCGTCATCGGCATGATTGCTGCATTCGCCAATGGTTAGTGACACCAATCTTGATTAATGTCTAGGAACATCACAAGATGGAATAGGCAAAAAGTTCTCTGATCCCTTGATTTTTTTCGAACAGGGAACTTGGTAATCCAGTCGGCTTCGGTAACAATTCTGGCGGTTTTCAGTCTCACAGCTTACACAATCTGGGCATCGAGGAGAGGTCAGGTCTTCAGCTTCCTCTTGCCCTTCTTGATCACCATTTTAGTCGTCGTCCCTGTTCTCGCCATACTCCAGGTTCCAGATTCACCATGCTTCTAATACTGTCCAAGTTATATGATCTCCTTAACAACACCTAACTGAATCTGAATGCTCTTCAAATGCAGATCTTCTTTCCCATGGGGAAAGTATTGGATGTTATCTACAGTGGAATTCTTGTGCTATTATTTTGTGCATTGATCATCTACCATACCGCAGTCATGATCAAAAGCAACTCTTACGATGATTATATCTGGGCTTCAGTCTCTCTCTACTTATCCATCATCAACCTCTTCCTGGAAGTTCTCTCATTCATTTTCACTCTCAAGAGCAATTGACCCTCCCAGGCATGTTCCAATCTATTGCAATTAAATTTCTAGCCATTATAATTGAAATTATGTCTCTACATGCTTTATAATAGCTCAAAACTAGCAATCCTTGATAGAACTAGTTGGTAGGCATAATTCTTACATAGTTATTACAGTTATAAGCTTTAGATACATATATATAGATAGATTAGGTGGTGTTATGGCTATTTGCTGTGCCTTTTCTTTCTCTCTGCAACAATGGAGAGAAGCCTAGACACACCCTGTGTCCACATCTCATACTCCCTCGCATTCTTGCACTCGAACTCTACGACTCCTCGAACTTGTGTCTTCAGCCCGAAATACCGCCTCTGCTCTCCATCCTCGAATAGATGTCTCCCCGGCCATGCCGGCATATCCTTGCAAACCTCCACAACCACATCTGTATATACCACCCGTTAGTATCAAGACACTAAAAAAATATAAAATAGCGAACTTTGTCTACAAATCATGAACTTAGAACACTACTTTTCTTTTTCTTGGTGATCGTATTCGCCACATGCTTGCTCTTCATCTTCAGCATCACCTGCGCATAGGGGGCGTTTAATTGCCTTTAGTAAAATTCCGTATGCTGTCTATTCGAAAATGTTTTAGACGGTTATATATGCACAACTTACATTCCCGCTACGGTGAATGTAAACCGATACGATTTTCCAGTGAAGATCGCCTACATAATCCAGGAGAACGTTTTCCTGTTAGGACACATTCTAGTATTTGGTAACCGAGTTAGATGAATAGAATCGATACCTTTGCGAGTCCTTTTTAGAAGCTCGGTTCCTCGAGCGAGCATTTCTTGATTACAGGCAGCCAGAAAATTCTCCTCCGGCAATAGCTCCTCACAGTAACTCCCCGAATTGTTACTACTCGAGTTGTTCCCTCTTTCCACCGGAATCGCCGCTGCTACATTCCACACTTCTTTCAGCGCCCTCGCCTTCAATGTAGCGACCCCACGTAGAGCTTAAATAAAACACTCACCGATTGAGATTTACAGCTTCGATTATTAGTTGCGTAGAGTTCAAACGGAACTATTCAAACTCACCAGTGGCTGCAGCTGCGGTGAGAGTGGATATGTCGCCGTGCGACCGAACACTTACAGCAGAGCTGATGGCGGACATGAGATGGTCCCGATCAGCCCCCATCGCCTCTGCTGCTTCCACGCACTGTGCAGCCACTAATGTGGCTGCCGACGCCACGGCCATGTCGGTCTTGGCCATGTGCTCGTCCTTCTGCTTGGCGGAGGCAGCTGCCGTAGCAGCTGCTATTGCAGCGACGGCTGCAGCCACTCCGGCCACTGAAACAGCCGCGTGCAGCTGCGCATTCTGGGCTCTGCTTTCTTCTTTCTTCTTCTCCCTCCGCTCCTTGAGCCACCGTCCCACTGTCTTGCCGCCTGGCGTGGTGGTGCCGCCTGTTCCCCCTCCCACGCGAGGCGTGCCAGTGAATAGAGGTTGCAGAGTATTGTTGGCCCGTAGATACTAGGATTTAGGAACTCAGAATAAGTAGATGCTCTAAATTGTAGAAAATGTTCAAAAAATTCTACCTTTAGATTCGCCAACTTTCATTAATGATCAATGTTGAAGCTAGATTCGACCCTTAGTATGTTTACTAGAAGTTGAGACAAGCAAGATTATGTGTTTCTATAAATGACTTTTGCCCATTAGATTCAAACAAACTGTAAACTATCTACTTCATAAAAAAGTTGAAAAAAACAAGATCCTTTCATTAATCCACAACGGGTAATCTAGATTAAGCCGTTGGATCCCAACAAAACCTTAACTAACTTAACTATTTGATCGAGAAGTTGAAACAAACAAGATGACCCTGGAGATTACACCCTTAAAAGGACTCGTTCACGCAACCTTCCAATAACAATTACACTCGAAGAATAGCGGCTGCAAGTTACGAAATTACTAATAATAGAAAATCTAAATGACAACCTTGCTAAGTTGGCTATTTTGATCTAAATCTTGAAACAAACAAGATGACACCGGGGGATTATGGTTAAAATCTCATAGCATGGATTGTAACAAATTTTGAAGTTTGTTTATTGTCATGGGAGTAGGAAGATTTTTACATATTATTTTTTAACGTTATAACTAGGTTCATGTACATTATCTTTTTCTCTAGTAGATTATTATATTGGCGCACAATTTTTTATCATCTCCAAAAATGTTTATAACTTAGAAAATTTCTATCTAAAATAAGCCAAAGTTATTGAAGTGAGCGAAGGTTTTGTGAGCGTTAGCAAAGTCAAATAAAAGAAAAGGGGATTTAAAGGGTTAAAGCATTATTTGCTGTAAAGGAGAAGCTAAAGATAAGATAATATCGAGAGTAACAAAAGCAATAATTTCTTTGTAATTTCTCAGACTCCCTTTTCTTTCTTTCTTGCAATACTAAGTCCCTATTATTGACCAATCATCAGCCCCACACGCATAGATTAAAGACAAAGCAGCAATTTTTGCAGTAAAGTGAACCCAAAGAAAAAAAGGGATTCTTGAAAATGAACACCAAATCCAAATCTTAATCCTAAATGAAATGAAATGAACAGAGAGAGATTAGAGAGAGAAAGGATGAAATGATGAATAGTATACCTTGATGACATCCTCATACTCCTCAGAAGGGGAGATTGGAGGAGACTCAGTTTCTTCAGTAAGACAGCCATTTAAAGGCCCACTGCTGTGAGAAAGCCTTCCTGATGTCAATGGTGATATTTCCTACATTAATCACAAACTACATTTCAGACATACGTATACCACTGTTTTCGGGACCTCTAGTCCCGGGCCTGCTGAAGAATGTAAAACGCGGAGTTGGTGGGGGGCGGGGTAAGGCAAGGCAAGGAAGGAATGAGAAAGACAAAAATCTTTCGTAACCCAAAACAACAAAATTATGGATTCTTGTAATTATATTTTTCACCAAACCCCCCATTCACATTGATTTTAATTTCCCAGAAAATAAAAAATAAAATAATTTCAAGAATGACTCACGGATTGAGACATAATCCGTTCGAGAATGAGCTGAGAGGTAGCAGAAGAGGCGAACGAGAATGCGTTCCCGGAAAGCTTCCCGGAGTCGTCTTCTTCTCCGGCGGGGTTTTCCGGTATGGTCGCGGCGCCGCCGCCCTTGGGAGGTGGCATTGAAGAAGGGTTTGGGCAAGAGGAGAGGGCTTTGGAGACTTGGAAGGCCGAGGCGCTCCAGGACCTCGCCAGAAACTCCATCGGGCCTCTCGGGCTTTCCGGTAGGTGGATTTCTCCGGTCGGGCCGCCGCCGCCCTTCTCCGCCCATAGTAAGTCCATTCTGCTTCTGCCTCCGCCGCCGCCGCCGTCGGTGGTATTATGGCTGTGCATTGTTGGTGGTGGTGGGATGCCTTAATGGGGCAGTTGTGTGTTGCTTTAGGACAATCTTTGCATGAGAGGAATTTATAGAGTGAGAAGGGGGTTTTAAGAGAGAGGGAGAGAGGGGGGTAGGGGCCCACTTGGTCAATGGGAATGTAGGAAGGGATATTTGGTGGTGTGGTCAATGGGGGCCACCGTGGAACATATGGAACAGTCACACACTACATGCTTACGAGGTGTATTTAGTGTGTATTTTGTGTGGATTAGGTATCTTTAATTATGTTATATATTTTATATGAATATAATATTATACTAGTGGACTATGATATTAAATAAAAATATTTTGAAAATTATATTACACTAATAAAGTGAAAAAAAAAGTATAAATTTAATGTGCACATAATTGTAACATGTTTTTAAATAAATACTATTTATAGTTTTGTTTACCATTTTTGTCCTTCCTAAAATAATAGTCGTATTTTTATAAATAACTATATGACATTAAAATTATCCTTATTTTTTCATTATTATTATACCATTGTTACTACTTTTTATATTAATATAATCACATGACCAAAAAAGCCATTTATTCTTACTTTTTATCAATTAATTATTAATATAATATCAATATTCTCATGTGCCAAAATAAAACAAGACTATACTTTTGGACGAATGAAATATTATTTTTTTGCATCTCATTTATGTATATTTATCTTTACTAATATATTTTAAATTATTTATTAATTATATATTTTTAAAAAATTAGTATCCAGTGAGGTGGACATGATATCCGTAAGGGAGAGTATAAATTTGATGGAGATATTCTTTTTTTTATTTATCTATTGATTTATATTTTATATAAAGACAATATTAATATTAAAAAAATTATGAAAAAAACAAACAGATGAATATTTTATTTTGGGACTAAATAAACATAAAAAATGAATCACGTATTGCCAACTTCTATATTTTCCAATATTATCTGCTATCAGCATTTAATTGAATTTTATAATTCAATAGTAGTGACCTACAATCACTGTTCACACATTAAAGCAGGGATGATATCAATGAATGTGCAGTGATTTTCCCTGCAGTTCGTGCGGTTCCAGCTTCGTTGGTGTTGTACGTGCGCTGAGCAGGTACAACTCTGCACTGCATGCAATTGATGCCATAAGAAATGTGTGTTGTGGTTGCTTTTTGAAAATTCTTGTACATGGTAGCTCTTTTTCTTTTTGGCATTGTTTTCAAGGAGTAAAAAAGATTAATTTTATTTTATTGTTCTTATTATTAGTAGGACTACTGTGGCTATTCTTTTCTTTTTACATGCTTTTTCTACATTGGGATCCCCAATCAGCTTCTTCCCTACCAATCCTGTCTTTATCATCATCATTTGGCAAGAATTTTGATGGGCCTTCAACATTATCTTATATACCTCACTAATCTTGATTGTCTTATGATGGCTGAATACACTTGTGTTCTTACATCATCTTAATGTATAAACAATTCTTATGTACTATCCTAATTAATCCAACTGACCCCATCTCAAATTTGGGACACAAAATCAAGAACACAATGATGATTGAATCACTGTGGGGGCCATTCATTTCCCACCAACAACAATTCAATCCCTTATTCCAAAAACTAACGAAAAACAAATTACACAACATATACAATTATTGATCTCATCAGAATATACATGTTAACACAGCCCACATAACAAGTAGGAACACATGCATATTTATGTGTTGATCAAGCAAATTAGCACTTTAATAGAAAAGTGGAAGTAAAATCCAAGCCAAGAAATGAAATTAGCATGATCAAGAAACAAGACTATATATGTTCATTTGTATTTAACACCACAAACATAACATTAACACTACCAAAACACAGCCCAAGCCATTAAAACAGTAGAAAATTACCAAAAGCCAAGAATGTGCAAGTATGTTAAAGAAAACACAGTAAATTAATAGTGTAAGAAAAGAAGACATAGAGCATGATGAGTGAGAGTGCAAGGCTGTCTCCTTACATGTCTTAGGAAGTGGCAACATCAGAAGCCGACCAAGGTTGTTTGGATCTGGAAACTGAACACTACCAGAGAGAACACACTCTGAAATCATCCCCATTTTTATTTTTTAGTATTTTCTTGTTTCTGACACCAAAGGCGTGCCTGATGAGTCATCATAAACCCCTCTTCACCTCTCCCAGCTTCTCCAAATTTGCCTCTGCATAATTCAATCTGAAAAAATAAAATTAAATTAAAAAAAAAAAAGAGACAGTGTAAGAATTATCAGCTTTATCTGTTTAAAGCAATGGGGCATCTTTTACTGGACCAGAGCCTCTGCCCACCTCTTTATTCCCTTTGCCTTGTAGCCTCAAATCATCACATTGTCCTCCTCTCTATCTGTTTCTTCTTTTTTAAAATTTCACCATTTCTCTCTCTCTGATCCACAAACAGCCCTTTATTGTTTTCCCCCTGTTTTCAAAAAAAAAAAAGAAGAAATTTAAAAATGGGGTGTTAGAATAGATACAATGTGTTTTTAAAGTTTTCACAGTGTGGTGAAAGTGAAGTTGCATCATAATGCAAAGTGGTGTGTGTTTTGCACAATTATCAGAACTTTTTGAGTAGGATCAGAAGATCATCATTCAGAGAGGAGAGGAGAGAGAGATCGACTATCTGAAATGACCATGCATGAATCATAAACAAATATCGATTTCAAGAACTCTCAGGCAGGTTTTAGGAAATGGGGTTTCCACTCATTTGATGAAGATTCTCTTGATATTTGTGTTTTACTGTTGACAATGAAACATGACTTAAATTAGTAACTGCATAGTTTAGCCTTAAAAGTAATTCCAAAAGGTGAAAACTGGCTTCTTGGAATCAAAAGTATTCTGGAAAATTACAACAAGATCAAAGGTAAGAAGTGGAAATAGAAAATACACATCTCTTAGTTGTCTACAAATTATAATATCACAACAACTTAAGTGGAATCTCTTCTTTATTGTTTCTCACTATGTATTTATTTTACTATTTTAAGTTGTCAACAATCAATACATTTGTTTCTTAATTTATCAAAAGCAATCATCGCACAATAGTAAAATATCATTACCATCACATAAAAGCCTACATAGTACATACCACTATATTATTTTAACTTTATGGGCATTTTAGTCAATACACATTTAATTAGACTATAGCACTTAATCTACTTAACAAAACATAAGTTACCGATGACTTCTTTTAGATAAGTTTTTTTTGGAGTTTCGAAATTTTTCTACAATAAGTAAATATAATATTTTGATAAAAGAAATAGACATTTGATATGAGATCTTTTTAAAAAAATTTATTGTTAGATAGAAAATATCAAGTTCTTTGAAAGTATGAATGTAACTAGAGCCCCGCATTCTCAAGAATCAAATAAAGCGGCCACACTCCCGTAAAGGATGGTTTGGTGAACTCGTGACCATAAAATCATGAGTTTACCAAGAATTCTTTCGATTTGGTTTGAAAAAAATTGACTTAAATTTTATGTTTAAATAATATTAGATGAAAATGGAAAATTTTGGATAAAGAAACACACCCTTTAACACAATCAATCAATCATATTTCATAAAGATTAATGAAGTTCTCATAAACTAAATGGCATTTAAGTGAAAATTAGAGAATGGAATTCAAGAATACCTCATCCTTTGTTAGGCTGCATACCCTTACAACCATAGTATTGCTTCGTCGTCTGTCTCGAAAACTCAGCAAACGTCATCCCATCCTTGAGCCGCGATCTTAGAGGAGGAACAATCTCATTAATGGTTAAACTCGATGATCTATTCGATCCCACCGATAGAATTCCTTCATCCGAATCACAATCATCGAAAGGATAGTCCAAGACCGAAAATTTCTTGCTCCACGACGGCTGCAAGAACACTACAAAAGTCTCCCGGCTCAAATTGTCCATCTTTGCCAGCCTGCATACGCTGTGAAGCGTCGCTCGAAGCCTCCCCTTCGACAACACTTCCGCCGACTCCCCAACCTGAACTATAAAACTCCCTTCGGATGCCCTCGCCATAAGCAGCCGATTCGTCGTTGGATGATACACTCGCAGATGCATATGGCCGAGAGGCGATTCGGATTCTTCCGCGTTGATTCCATTCGATACCATAAACATTGGAGATGTCAGAATTGTGAATATCCCATAGTCGTAATGCCATTGCTGCCATAACTCTAATTCACTATCCTCTTCTTCCTCCTCCTTTACATTAGTTTTGCAGGTTCTGCCATGGCGGATTCTGCTTCTGCTTGCCCCCTGTGTAATCAGTTTATTGTCTGCAACGGAATGGTAATGAATCAGTCGGCCTTTGGCCGTGCCGGACTGCAGCAAGCTCTGCTCCAGATCGCAGCCTCCGATCAGTTTATCGCAGGCTCGAGCGAGATAAATCCCCAATTCCATCATCCGAAACCCTAATTCCCCAAATGTAGAACCTAAATGATCAAAATCTCCTCCTCCATCGCCAATCTCTCGACGCTCATTTCTGAAATCGATCTCATCGCCATCTCCGTTGTACTTCATCTGCTTCGCGAAAGACGACACGGTTCTCTCCGGATTCTTCAATGGCACATCGCTCCCCAAATTATGCTCCTGCTTCACCACAAACGCACTGTAAACGTCAGATTCCCCTTCCGAATCGGCGGTTTTATATATATATATATATCTGAGAGATTTCGAGTTTACCTTGAGAATCCGTTTCCGGTCATCGTTGTTAAGAAGAGCAAGCTTCCGCGCCGTCGGGAGCAGAGCACGGCGGAGAGCTTCCGCCTTGGGGACGCCGCCGACGGACAGCAACCCCGCCCCGCTCCGGCCGAGGTTTTGCATTACTGAATCCGAAATCAATCGAAGCCGCTCCGTTTCTTCGGTTGATTCCGGCGGTTGACCCGACAGCAACGCCATTAGATCGGAATACTGAAGCTTGTAGAGATCGAAGATCTCTTCCATCTCAAAATCGCAATTCGTCAGGCCGCCGTCTGCAACATCGCCGGAGGTGAGCAAATGCAAATGCTAGTTTCAATTTCAATTGCTGTTTCAAAACCCTAAGCCCTAATTGAACTGTGCTTATATGCTAAAATCCCACGCCATTGCCAAATTTTCAGAGAAAAGCATAACATCCATACATAGGATTACTCCAAATTCTACTCACCATTCCATAATCTGCTTAATCTCAGCAAAATCTACACACTACATACACACACACACATACATACATACTATATATATATATGTGTGTGTCCTCAACATTTGGCATAACCTACAGGCAGTTAGTTAGTTAACTCTGCAGCCACGACTTCATTCATATATAAAGTTCACCATGGCTGTGTGTGCTGTTCTTCACTCAAGCTATGTTCTCCTTGAAGCTCTTTGTCAGCCAAATGGCGGTTTCCCGCGGCGAAACCTTCTCCGGTCCGAACGGCTTCAGCAGCACCTGAAGCTCGTCGAATCGTTCCTGCTGCAGCAGCTGCGCGCTGAACTCGAGCAACCCCTCGAGCGCTTCAGCGCGCTGCTGGTACGACGAGGTGTCGAACCTGCGTTGCTGGGAGTCAGACGACGAACGGCTCGATCCCACGTCGCCGGCGCTGGCCGGATTGTTCAGCTCCGAGCACTCGCTGCCGTGAGCCGACTGAGGAATGGCAAATGTTCTGTCCAGAATCTGAACTGTGCATTTGTCTTTGGTGATGGAATGAGGCGACGCCAACAAATTTCTTCGGCTCGGCAGCTGCAGAGGATTGTCGAGAGATGATAATGGGAACTCGAACATCTTGTCGATTCTGGGAGCATTGACAGAAACATCCGGCGAATCCGTGCTGCCAAGTGGACCGGCTCGGGGCTTGTATGGGGCGGCTCGGGAAGGCAACGGAAGAGACGCGCGGCGGTTCGATTGGCAAGGTTTTCTCGCCGGGGTGTGCGACACCGGAAGCTACACAAGAACGCGCGCGTTAATCGACAGAGTACGGTATTATTACATAATGTCGTAACGAAAGATTGATAAGGGTGTCGTAAGAACCAGTTCGCGTGTCGACCCGGGGTTTGATATTCTCGATGGAGTTGAGTTTCTCCGGAGGTTCGTAGATGGCTTTGCTGACGTTACTCTCGGCGTTTTTGTAAACCTTTTCATGATGCCCAAATCTTCGGCGACAGACAGATCAGAGAATCTGTTGTAGTTCGACTGCGTGAGAGATTCTTGAGCCCTCAGCGAAGAACCCGGAGAATCCAATCCATATCCCGATATGCTCGGATTCAACGCCCGGTTGTTGCCAAACGACAACCTTTTCTCAGTCTTAGCGCCTTTGGGTTCGAGAAACCTTGTTTTCTTGTCATAATCGACGTCCGATTGTAGAGACGGAGGGGTATGCCGTCTCGGGTTGTTACACTCGAGCTGAAGGTTCAAGATGTAGGGACGAAGATGGGGATGTCTAAGCAAATCTGCAGCCTGGGAACGACAAAAGGACAACATTTATAACATAAAGTATCGCCGATTTGCAATTAAGATAACTGATCCCGAGCACAAGCAAGAGAACATACACTGGGCCTAAGCTCGGGATTCTTTCGGAGCATACTCTTGACAAGCCTGCGACTGGATATGTTTCAAAGACATGAGTTAGCGACAGCAAATGGAGGGAACAGCGCAGAATGAATTATCGAGCAACTATGGACTTACAATGAACTGGAATACATCGTAGGGAGTGGAGACACTATTGATTTATTTATTTTGTGGATCAGTCCTTGTATATCCTGTTCGTCGAGCCAATCACAACGTCAATGGGACATCGAAACATGTCAAACAATCGAGAAATGCGTCGTATATATCCTTAGTCGAGAAGATTAAGACATAACAGACTTACAAAAGCTTTGAATGCAGGCTTGTGAGCGGCTAATTCGTAAAAACAGCAACCTAATTAACGGGAGATAAGTTTTGTAAGAAGGGAAGACAACAAAGCTTTCGAATGCGCAAAACTTAGAAATGGTAAGTTACCTAATGACCAGATATCCGACTTGGAGCCGTAAGGTATATCAGCAAGAAGCTCGGGGCACATGTAACTCGGCGTGCCCACAACCTATACACATTTTTAACATAAGTACAAAGACATTGAAGTCGAGAATACGATAGTTTTGTAATTACTAAACTTACAGAGGATGCAAGATCATCGTCCGTCAACACTTTTGCAAGACCAAAATCCCCTGAAAACACGGGACAATAGGAAGCATATCATGATGAGTTTCCGGTTGTTCAACAGTAAGTTTTTATAAAAGGGTACGAGATTGACTTATAGGGTGAATAAACCGGTTACCTAATCGAACATCCTGATTTTTCATGAGAAATATATTCGAGCACTGAAAAAGACATGAGTAGAGCATTTTAACGAGACGTCCATGTGGCGTAAAAGTTTTTAAAATATGGCAAGACATTGGCGCAGTATACCTTGACATCACGGTGGAGTATGTGGTTAGCATGCAAGTAATCGAGCGCCATCAGAAGTTGAACCAACCACTTGCAGAGCTTCTGTATTTAGCATATGGATGATTATAAGATTCTATAGTTTGGCGAAGAATACCGAAAGTTGAGACGAGTATGGAAACTATATATCATAGGAGAACAACCTCCTCGGAGAAATGAACTCCGTTTGCTTTCTTGATGGCTTCTGCCCTATACACGCCAACAAAATGGTAATGAAAATTCAACAACGTGAATCCATCAAACGACACTCTTATATGATCTTGGAAAACAGGTAACTTACATGTCTCCGCCTTCGCAGTACCCGATCACAATGCAAACAAAACAACCCTGAATTAACAGAGAGCGTAAGCTAAGCAGAAGACGTGCATGATCTAGTTTCATCTTCATTTTTTTTTTCTTTTACTTAGTGCGATAAAATGGCGTTGAGTGTACCTTTTCGACCCAAGAATCTTTGTACTCAACGATGTATGGGTTCCGAACTTTAGAAATAAGCTCCATCTGCAAGAAGGGAAAGTAAAATATCATTTTCAAACTATATCGACTATCACATTACGCAGCCAGTTAGCAAAGCGCGGACTTCTCATCGATACATCATACTTCACAATTCACATATATATTTGGTACTCATGCTTTGAAAACTTCCCTAATCATGTAATATATATTCATTATCCAATTACTTAGAATTTAATCAAGAAAAGACTGAATAATCACCTCCTGGTGGGCAGATCTTCGGGTTCGATCGGTCTGACGAGCAAGGCGAATTTTCTTCAAAACATACCTTTGAATTAACCAAAAAACAGAGACCATGAATCAGAGATATGGTCACAGATATAAATTTACAATGGCCAAATCTGTAACTAATCTATAAATGAAATCACATTGTTTGGGTATCAAATTTCGCCACCATTTCCTTACTTCTTTTTCTCCAGTTTATGCCGAACTAAAAGCGCGCTACCAAACGAGCCTTTACCAATCTGTTCAAGTACATCATAATTCTCCATTTTTCACACTTCCACCTTCTTACCACTTACTGCAAAATATTCAAATCCCTAAATGTGTCCACCTGAGAGTGTGTAAAATAAGTTAGAATATCAGAAAATTAGGTCTAATTTCACACTATTTGAACGAACTAAAGATCAAACTTTCCTTAGAAAAACAATAAGTAATAGCATTTTAGCACATTATTCCAAGAAACCCTACTGTATTACAGATCGACTCAAACAGCCAAGCTCAAGAAAGTGAAGAACTGACGAAATTTAAAAAAAAAAAAAAAATGGTTGTACTAAGAGTCTTGAAGATTTCTCTGAACCCCATTTCCAAATCAAATGAGAGACGAGTTGCAAAAGACACAGTACCTCAAAACGAAGAGGCCTGGATAAAATGCAGATCCTGGAGAGTGTGGAGAAGTGGATTTAAGAACATGTGAAAGAAAAGAAGATAGGTCAAAGATATAATCAACTTTTGGTGAGCGGAAAAAAACAAAAGGGGTGGAAGAGAGAGAGAGGAGAGAGAGAGAGCGGCAAAAGAAAGAAAGCAGAAAACACTTAAAAATAAACACAAGAAGAAAACAAAAGAAAGGCAAGATTTCAAACAAGATTTTAAAGAAAAAGAGAAAAGGAAATGCTACCCACTTCTTCACGAGGATTGAATTGAAGAGACCTAATAAAATGATATACATATACATACATACATACATACATATATATATATTTGGCAGTGTGTGTACTGTTCTGGTCCTTTCCTATTATTTAAATAATCAGCAAAGATAAAAACAGGGTAGGGTTGCGCAAATAGGTACCTTATTTTTTTTGTATGTATGGATTGGTAGGTTGTGGAGATTCTGGAAAACGACAGGAGACCAGACCTGAGCAATATCCTATATTTGGAGAAAGAAATTTGGAGGTGGGGGCAGGCACTCTGATTTCATCGAATAAATCTTGCGTTTGTGCTGTCGGTCTGTGCAATCAATCATCGATCGGAATGGAGAGGAGGTGGGTGAGGAGGATTTGTCATTGACGATGCCTTGGATTGATAGTTTAATCAGACTGGATTTGTCGACACTAATGACGTCTTAATCCTCTGGAAATTGTAGTCAATCGATAAAAACCCTAGAACCGCCATTGCCAGCTGGAGGAGTTCATGGAGAACCTGCAGGGATGGGGGAAGTAGAAATGGATAACCGACAGCCATTGAAGAAGACAGAGAGATTCATGAGATGAAATTAATGGACCAACGACACAGCAACCGCCATCAATCTGCATCATATCAAATTGGCAGTACTCCGTGCATCCACCGTACATTGATTATATATATAAATATCTATATATATATATATATATGAATATCCTCTCACCTTGGTTGTTGAGGACGTGATCCCATTCTCCGCCGACAGTCGCCTGTTATCGCCATGGCCGCAAAGCTTCACCTTCGTTTTGATTTTGGGGGGAAAGGCATACTTAAAAGGCCCATTAGGATTTTGATATTGGGCTGGGTAAGGCCCAATATTATTTAAATTGGGCTATTCAATCTGGACCGGTTTTATTGGGTGTAAATATCATTTTATTTATTTATTTATTTGGAATACTTTGTTTTAATAAAATATATATTAATAAAAATTTGAAGGAAGAGGAATAATCTTTTTTATGTACATATAAAAAGTAAGATGTTGAAAGCCATTTAAAAACATAATTGTCAATGAATAGTAATAATAATAATAATAATAATAATAATAATAATAGTGAATATGAGACACATATATATGGTTCCACTTATAATGGATGGAGTTAGTTCCGGGAAACTATTGACATTCATGCTTTTAATTATGAGGGAAAATTTTATATTTTTTCCAAATATAATCAAAATTAATTAATTTTTATCTCAATATAAAAATTTTATCAATTTTGGTTCAAATATAACCAAAATTTATCATTTTTTGTCTCAATATAACGAAAACTCATCATTTTTTGTCTCAATATAACTAAAACTCATCATTTTTTGCCTCAATTTAATCAAATCTTATCTTTTTTTGTTCCAACGTCAACAAATCGACGAAAAATGCTGCAAGATTGTGCAATTTCTTCAAATATAATTACAAGGTTTGATTTCTTTTCACGTCAACATTTTTCATCGGTTTGTTAACGGTGTGAGACAAAAAAAATAAATAAAGTTTGATTATATTTGGACAAAAAAAAAAAAGATAATGTTTGATTATATTGAGACAAAAAATGATGAGTTTTGGTTATATTGAAACTAATATTAATAAAAATTTTATATTTGGATCAAAATTGATGAATTTTTGTTATATTTCGACCAAAATTGATAAATTTTTTATATTGGGATCAAAATTGATGAACTTTGATTATATGGAAAAAAATAATTTTTTCCCTTATTATTAATATAAAAATAAATAAATAATTGTTTTGACTTGAAAACAAAATTGTTTATATATATATATATATATAATTTCAGTAATTTTGAAGACCGCACATAATGAAACTTTACATGTGTAGCTATTATACACATCATAATATATATATATATTTATTTAGTTTGGCATTCTGTAGATGGAATTAATATGATAAGGAATCTCTTAGAAAATAGCATATATGGATGATGTAAGGTGTAAAATATATATATATATATATTATAATCGTTAAAATTTTCTAAGATTTTATTTGTCATTTATAATTTAGTGTAACTTGTTTTGTCGAACCTAATTTACAAACTATTAAATTCAACTAGGATCCCAAATTGCAAGAATTTGATTACACATACATTATAAGAATTTTTAAATTTTTATTTAAATTCAAGGTTTATAGTTGATTTATTTGAATTTAGTTAAACACGAAGGCTCTATTTTATTTTATTAATATTATGATATTTATATTTATATTTATATTCAGAAAATATCATTTTGGTAACGAGATTTTTTCGTCTTTAAATCCATTTTTTCTGTTACTAATAATATTAGAGACGGAATTAATGATAGACTTGCGTTAGCTACGTGATCTTTATACTATTTTTTTTAGTGATTATTAACATAATTTTCATATTTAGCACTAGAAAATTATAATTATTAAAATTTCTTGTAAAAATATATTGTCTGTCAACTCTAATACTTTAAGAGATTTTTTAGTAAATTAAAGAAAAATGAATTATGCCCATATTGGTAACTAGATTTGTATCAATGAAAATGTGTAAAATACTTTTAAATTTAGTATATTAAAAGTGAGGTGCCATGTTATTTTAGTATATAAAAATAAAAGTGATGATAAATGAATAATGATGGGAGATCACATAAATTATAAATTGAAATTGACTTTTTAAATGAAATAATTCTAAATAATAAGTGGGACAATTAAATATAACAAAAAAAAAATATTATTTTCTAAGACAAAAACATTAATAATAATAATAATAATAATAATAATAATAATAATAATAATGATAATAATATTTTGTGGAAGTTAGTAGTTTGATATAAAATGGGATGAACTATTGCTACACAGTGTGATAGGATGCCCATATCATATGGATTATGATCTATCTCTTCATTATCAATTTGGGCCGCCTATATATGTTTTGGTGGTTTAGATTACTTAAAATAATAATAATAATAATTTTATAAAAAAAATAAATTAAATCTAGTATTTTAAATATATATATATGTATGGAATTAACATGATGTTTATAATAATAACAATAATAAATCAACATTGAAATAATTAAATTAATTAAAGCATATCTTAGAGTTTATTTACCCAACAATTTTTTCCTAAACGATTTTTAATAAATATTAATAAAATATATAGAGTATATACACATTTACATAATATAAATACGTTATTTTTATATTATCTACATATTTTTTTATGCCACTCATTAAAAAAACATCTAAAATAAAAATATTAAACAAACAAACCCTTTAATTAATTAATAAGTATGTTTACATGTCAGTGTTTAGTGAATCCCAACATTTATTTATTAAATTAATTCTCGTTATTTTTACATGAACATTTTTAATTTTTTATTACTTCATTATATATAAATACTAACTTTTAAAAAATTGTATTAAATACTCAATTTTATATTATTATTTAAAAAGAGTTTGTTTGTTTAGTAGTTTATATTCAAATGTTTTTTAAGTATAAAATATAGAAAATTTGTATTGATAATATATAAAAAAAAAAAAAAAAAATTGTTTATATATACTCCATCTCCATCCCATAACAAATTATTTATTTTTCTATTTTAATCTGTATCATAATAAAGTATTTATTTATTTTTTTTAGTAATTGTACTATCTACCTAACATTATAAATACCTTTACAACTTACAATATATTACACAAATGTCATTACCTTTATATCACACAATACTAATAAGGTTATCTTAGTTATTTCTACTTTATTCCTACTATATCCTAATATAATACTAATATTTCTAAAACTCCGTACAAAAAATAAATAGATAAATAGTTATGGACTAAAGAGAGAATTAGGAAAGGAAGGTTTGGTCACTTTCAGACATGCTGTTTATGCACAAATGGGAAGATATCTTCATTATGCTGTCTTCCAAATACTCATATAATTATGGACCATACGAACATCAGATAAAATAAAATAAAATAAAAAATTATTGTATTTATTTAATTTTATTTTTAATTTTTTGAGAGGTCAACTCATATAATTATTCACCAAGAATGGTAGAAGATTCTTCAGACAAGGAATGGATCGTAAAGTCAACGGACATCGATTGTTAGTGTTGGGCGATATATGAGTATGACTAGTAATATATACATATATATATATATGTATGTATGTATGTATGTATTATGTATATACACACACGTACGTTCATTGTGTAGCACGTTTTCATCCTTAAATGTTGTTAGCGACTTTACTTATACTCCCTCCGTCCAATTTCTATTGTCCTAAACTATATTTTCACGGTTTTTTTAGGTGATTGTCTTTTTGTTATGAATTAACAAATTTGTCCTTAAGTGTATGGTAGAAATTAAAAGTAATAAGTGAATTGAGGGTAAAAATATAAAATTTGCGTTTAAAAATTGAAATAGGACAATAGTTGTTGGACGCCCCAAATAAAAAAGTAGGACATTAGTTTGTGGACAGGGGGAGTATCTTTTAGTTTTCTCAAATGCGACATACTAACAAATTTGTTTCCGACAACTTTAATTTTGAACGACGTGTGGTTAAAGGGCTGTGTAATTTTGAGGATTTAATCATAAATGTGTTCGCTTCATAATTTTGGAATGAATGATTTTTTTTTATGTTAGGAATCGTATTAATAATATAAAAAAAATAATATTTATTTATATTTTTTATTATTATTATTATTATTATTATTATTATTATTTCTTCTCTCTGTTATAAATATATGAATTTGCGGCTTTGCGGGTATGTATTTTTTTTTATAATTTTGAAAAAAAAATGATTTGAGCTTGGTATTAAAATAATATATTATAAAATATTTTATGAAAGAAAAAAAATATATTTTTTTTTCAAAAAATGCATAGTTCAAATAGTAGAAACTGAGTTTTTAAGTAAAAGAAACAAACTCGCAAACATGTTTTTAATTTTAAACTATTTTATATATTATTATTTTTTTCAATAAAAACATATGTTTTCTTATAAAAATTTATATTAAAATACTTTTTTTAAACTAAATGTTATGTAAGTTATTTATTTCGAATCAAAACCAAACGTACCTATATGTTTGTTTGGATACCAAAATTAAGGAAATAAATAATATTTTAATATAAAAGCATATAGTAAAAGTTATATAGAGATTTATTGAACATTAATTAGGAAATATATTTAATTGATAATGTATATATTTGTGATGTAATTATGAAAAAATTTATGGGTTAAATTATTGATAATATTTACGTAAATAAAAACAATAATTATTTATTTATGGTGCAACCACATACTTAAAACAAATATACTTCAAAGAGTATATGCTATCATATTCCATACTAAGAATAAATTTTAATTTAAAATACTTTCTCTGTATTATAACAAAGTATTCATTTGTCTTTTGCTACTTAACATTAAAAATATTTTTATATTGTATAATTTTTTATACAAATGTCATTATATTAGTATTATAAGACACTAATAGAAGTATTTTTGTCATTTTCTCTTCATTTGTAATACGATTTGATATAATAATTAATATTCAAATATCAGCATGCAAAAAGTAAATGAATACCTTGTTATGGGACGGATGGAGTATAATACTTCAACCTTATTCGTATTTATTCCCTCAGTCCCATAAATATAATCTTAATAGTCTTAACTGGGTTGAACGCGATGTTTAAGGAATATTGATATTATATGGTAGTTGGTAAAAAGTATGGATAAAAAGACTTTTTTGCCTTTGTGAGTGTATTAGCGTAAAAAAAACAGTGGCAA